CAACTGACATGGCCAAAGCTCAACAACACGGAGCCAGGCTCGGACAAACAGCAGCCCTCGATGATCCAAAGAGGCTGTGGCAAGGTGAGCCTGCTCTAATGTATCGTTTTGAAGTCTTTCCGTGTTTGTTAGGCCAGCATACTGGTGGAACGAAGCCATGCCTGGTAAAAGCCTAAGGCCAGCTAGCCCTCCTTTTGCTGCTGTTCAGTTGTCCGACTCGGTTTACCTGACAGCCCAGTCCGCACCAGGCGCCGTTTTCTGTGTGTATCAAGGCGACAAGATACCGGACAATTTTAAAAATAAATTACAACAAAATAAGAAAAAAAGAAAAGGCCGAAGTACAAGGCGCCCAAGCCGAACCTTCTCGCTCAATGTCTTGCGAACTGCGGACTTGGGCTTAACGGCACGTCTAGAAAACAAGACCATTCAACATTTTCTATAAAGACAACACGGCGGCTGCTTGATCAAATTCAAAGTTTCTAGAAAAGAATCAACTCACATCATCTTCATTGTTTCCGATCCCAGGGTCTTCAGCTCCTTTGGTCTACTCATATCGTCGTTGACATTTCAAACATTTCTCAATTTCTTTCATCTGAACGATTTCCCAATTAGGAAATCCTTCGATTCCCTACCGCCAAAATGAACTACGGCGCCAACACCCAGGCCGCCAGGCCGCTCACCAGACGCGAGACCGTCTACCACTGGGCATGTGTAAGTTCTGTCTTGTTTCGTCGTTGTCACCTGAAGCTTGAATTTTGTGTGCGTTTTGCTAAATGTTGGCTTTTCTTTCTTTAGCATGCCTGCGGCGAGGAAGGCAATTCCGACAGCAACGACCACTGCACGAACTGCAGCCACCGCAAGTGTAGCTCGTGCAGCAGTTACAAGACGACCACCACGACCTACTAAGGTCGTTGCCTCCACAGTTTCTGTCTTCATCCGGCTTGCTGTCAAGGAGAAGCCTAATCGATGGCTGCAGAAACGCGAGAAACCAGCGCCCAGCGCAACAACAAGCCTACAAGGACCGGGCTAGTTTTGGAAAAGGTGCCTTGAGGACTGATCTCTACTCGTCTCTCGACCGAGCGGTTGGCCCTTTCGAACTCGCCCGCTCGACCGTCTGAGCCACTTTCTCGCCCTTCCAGAATGCTTCCCTTCCCTTTTGCGCTTCTCGTGCCCTGGCTTTCCTGGTTCACTCGTGTCATTTCAAACCGCTTTTGTCCGCCCCTAGACACTGTTGGCCATCATGTTTCTGTTTCTGTCTTTTCTTGTTGTGCCCGCCATTGCCTTTGTAGCCTTATTTTCCACTGCATTTTCCACGGAGTTTTAAGGAGGAATACTTGTAAAAAAAGGAATAGACATTATCTTTTGTTTCTTTTATTTTGTTTTGTCGTCCTCTACTTGTTGTCCTTAATATTCATAGTTTGCAGCGCCCGCAGCCTTACATTTGTATTTAGAATTCTTAAATGACCAATCTACTTCCCGTTTTCCTACTCAAAATACCAAATGTCAGGAAACATCTAAGACCTGTTCACCGAACACATGTCGCGTAACCTGCGCGCGCTCCTTCCAATGTTCCACTGTCGATTTGTACACCCCTCAGGGCCCATGCAGAACAGGCCCCTGTCCCGATCAGATCCAGTTCAGACTGGACACCCCTCTCAAAGTAAAGCCACCCATTTTCTCGGGACCGAGCTTTTCACAAAACTGCTAAACAATGACGTCTGAGCTACGAAATACAAAATGATGCTGCAGAACAGCGACAGCGGAGGCCTGTTTCGCCCTGGGAGTTGCCCCGTCATTTTTGTTTTTCTTCCTCAGTCGCCCCTTATGTTTAAATTCTCCTTGTAACTGTCTGGTTTTCTCTTGGCAGTGCACAACAGGTTGGAGGTGGTGAAACCAGACAAGAGACGATGGCGGCGACAAGCCAACGAAGTTTCGGGCAGCTGGCGTGCTGTTTGAAAGGCGGTTCGACAATGTCACAGGATGCCTCGCCCAACACTACTGACAAACTCGATGGAAAATCATAAAGTCAAGAAGAGAAGAAAAGCAGGAGTGCAAAACAAGAGGGCCAAAGGTTCGATGTGTAAGGCTGTGCTCGGAAGGGCTGCATTGCCTTTCCTCTCGCGAGGCGAGCCTACCTATTCACTCATGTGACGAGGACGATGCAACGGGATACAACATCACGCGTTGTACGGGCATCCAAATGGAGCTGGTACGTCCGCCAAGAAAGGACAAAAAGAAGGCCGAGTAGGAAAGGGTGTAAGGAAAAGGTGTAATGAGGTTGCGAAAGATAGGAAAAGATAAGAAAGAAACGACAATAACCAGTCTGTCACGTAATCATCATTATACGGCATTGGTGAGCAGCCAATCGATGCTTGAACAGCTGTCCGAAGTCGGCGACTGGCTCAGGGCAGCCCTTCTCCAGAGGTCACGCCTGTTATCTGAATCTGGTGGCAGTGAAGCAAGGCAGAACGAAAATGGAAATTGGTATCAACAAAGAACAAGGCAGTGAGGTAGTGTGCCTTCGAAAGAGAGACGGGTTTGTAGAGATGTGTGTCTGCATGTAAACATAGTACCACCGCCTCGGCCATGTCCGCCGTCGAGAGCCTCGTCCATGCTGGTGCAATCAATATAGGCGCGTTTCTTCGAGAAAAAAGAATCACCATGTACGGAGTATAATACCTCGCATATTCTCTACAACTTGTTTTCTGCGATTGGCTCACTCGTTATGTCCAAACAAAAAAGTGGAAGGTGGTACCTGTTGCTGCTCAAATGAGGCCGACCATTCAGGCAACCAACACCTGCATGTCGTGCGACGTATGTCGCATATCAACGGTAAGACTGTCATATGTCGTACACTGGAACGCATAGAGTTACAGCACGTCATAGTTGCCTCAAATGGACCTGCTTTTCAATATAAAAAACACTTGCTCTTAGGAAAATGCCTTGTGGATACTCTGCCTTCTGTATATTCTTCAGGTGCCTTTTGTATTTCCTAGCATGATTTTTTGCTCAGGTGAGCATCAATTCTGATTCAACCGACTCTACAGAAGTAGACCAAGGCAAGATTACGTTACTTAGTCCAAGGCTTTCAGATGCGCCTTACCTTCAGCGAGTTTGGTTGGCTAGGACGGTGAGATTGAGTCAGTGCCAACCAATATCAGCCTGGTATTAAAACTACGTGTCAGTGGCAGACAGTGGATCAGTCGCGTCGGTAATCCAAGAAGAATGTTGCATGCCCCTTGTGTGAACAAAATGCCACTGTCATAAATAAGATGGTGAAATGCAAAGACCGCAGTCGCATATTCAAAACAAACGAGCGGCGTCAGATAACATTGTTGCCTTGGGAGTTTCGGTTTTTGATTGACCATGGCGAATGATGTCCCTTGTTCCCTAAACACGACAGATACCGTATACCTGGTTTCTGCTCAGACCCTGTTTGTGGTCATGTCTCAATGAGGCCGTCGTGCATGAGGCCTTGTTCTATTTTGACACCTCGTCTTCCATTCACGTCTCTGGGATTCCCTCGGGTTGTTCCTGCACGTCCATTCCCTGCGCACGACGGTGTAGTTTCCATCATACTGTCCCTTTGCGCTAGGTATTCTCCAACGTGAGGTGCTACAAATGCTGGCATGAATCGTTCGTTGGGCACAGTTGGGCAGTGATGGCATCAGTGGTGTATTGACCCCTATCAAGTCCCTGCATATGCGGCTCTGTCCACTCTTGAGGTTTCATTTCAATTCAACTCTGCCAACCGGCGCACTCTGAGTCTTTTGTAGCAGGCAATCACCAGTCTTGGGGTAATTAGCCCCCGTCATTTGTTCTCAATTTATTTGTGTCCCGTCGCACTCCCGTCGCCCCTAGGACCATTCACTCAGAGAAATTTGGTCCGTCGTCTGCTGTTGACCTGCACCGCCGATGCGCGCTGTATTGTGAAGAAAAAGCTTGGCCTAAATGTGTAGCTTTGTCCCCCGTGGCTCTGTGATTGTGAAAGAAAGGGTGCCGATATTTTGCGATCATAATGCAAGGGGCCCGGATGGGGCTGAGTGCGACGCCTTGTGCAAAAAAGGGCACGTGAAGACTCGTCACCTCCGAATCACATCCTATCACAACTGCACATGCTTTGAAACCATGCACGGCGTATGTGAGCCCGATGACGTATACGCCAAATACACAGGACGAACCCGGAGCCTCAGGTGTATTTTTTGTCTGTATTTTGTTGCACAAGTTACCAATATAGACTTGATAGTACCCATCACTGGCCCTATCCGCTATTAATTATGTATTTCTCGGCACATTCCCATTTCACTTTCCAGTTTCTACATCGCTGTTTCAGGCGAATCCCGCCGGGGCCCTGACGGTTGTTTGCCTGGCTTGTGGCCCGTACCGATTTGTTTGTATGTCTGTATGTCCTCTCGTTCCCCTGCCTGCGTTGCATCTTCCGTTGCATAGCCTTCCCTCCTCCGCTATTCCTTCGACTCGTCGACAAAGAAAGGCTGAGTAGAGTCATCGTCTCGACGCCTGAAATATCTTAGTCGACGCCTCGGACATCAACGCGCCGCCTGGTTGCCTGAGCGCCTGGACGCCTTAGGTACCGGGACAGAACAAAAGACGAAGGTATGAGTCAAACGAAGACCGCGGAGGACGCAAAGACGCGGTCTGAGGGCGGAGAGGAAGGCTGTCCACGGACTACGACATCGGCGGAAACAAGGCAGAAAAGGCGGGGCGTCGACGACAGCAGCGTCGACGATGGTCGGCCTTCTTCGTCTAGGCCATGTCCTGTCTTTATGCCTCCGTATGGGGGGTCCTGTCACAGGTGTTGTGCTGTTTTGTCGGTCTTCGACTCTGCCCATGGATTGTATTGATTTGTACATAGGGGTCCCTTCACTACTCGTACACACAGCTCGTGGCCTGTTTTGGCCTTTCCCATCATGACAAACAAGAACTCTACCGCTGTACCAGAAGAGACAAACACTACCGTCGAAGCTAGTGTGGCATGCAACTTAACCAACACTCGTGGGAATCTTGACCTGGCCCTTCTTGCGATCATGCGACGGCACACCATAGCGCCAGCCCACAACGGTTGGCGCCCGGCCGTGGGGCCCCACATTTTCTGCGTTGATATCCTGGATCCGGAACTCGAAGCGGTCTGTGGCGACACGATTCGTACGCGCCTCCTCCGCCTCGGCCGCCAAGCGGTCCTTCTCCGCCAAAGCGACCTGTTCCTTGGCGGCCTTGTCCTGGAGTTCGAGCATGCTCTTCTGGTGCGACTGCTTGCCGCTGATGACGTCCTTCTCGACCTGAATCAGCTCGGGGATGGGCATGCGCTTGTCGGGCGAAAGCATCCTGGTGTGGAACGCACGGGCGGCGTCCTCGCGGGTAAACTGGCGCGACTCGGACACGGGCACAAAGAGCTGCTGCTTGGTGTAGGCGTGTGTGTGGATTTCGTTGATGTTCTCGTACGCTAATCCTCTATTCTGATGATAGGTGCCAAAGCTTGGTAGCATATCCAGCACCGCTTTTCTGTACGGCGTTGCTAGCTGCTTCCCCTGTTATATCATGTGAGACGTTAGCCATGGCTTGTGCTTCGCAAGCGCTCGTCCGTGAACGAGGGAGGAGACGACGAGAACCGAAACTAACGGCTAAAAAAAAGGACCAGAAGAAAGAGAGTAGGCTCAGAAAGATAAGCATGGCAAAGTTTTGTAACCATATTGTTTTGTCTTAATGACTAATCGAATTCTTGTATGTTTCATCACAGCCTGGGGGAAAAAGAGAAAGGGGAAAGGAGTAGAGGGAAAGTGACAAACGTATGGGGAGGGTACGAACCTGCTCGGCCCACTGCTTTTCGATTTGCTTGAGCCGCACGACGGCCGCGATGCGCCGCATGTCAATGCCGGTCGATGCCGCAAGACCCTTGATGCTCTCACCCCCATGCACGATTCTGCTATACACGAATTCGCGCATTGATTCGCTGAGTACACTTTGAGACTTGAACGCTTGGTTCCTCGGCATCGGGTTCGTCTTAGTTTCGCCTTGTGATCTCTCCGCTTGTTCTGAAAGCGACTTCGATCTAGCGGCTTCCGGCCAAAACAGAGGCCGACCCTTTTCCCTGATCCACTCGCGCATCAAGCGACGTTTTGCTGCCGACGCAACAGAAGGTGACGTTGAGAAAGCCGCCGACAAAGACGGTGCTCGTGTTGTGCTCGGTGCTTTGCGCGAGGCTGTGGATGAGGTCGGCAGCGGCCGCCGCGATGCGGAGAGGGAGGCAAGCGCCGGGCGTTGTAGCCGATAGCAGCGAGAGGAGGACGCTGTCGAGGTCGACGAGGAGGAGCATGAGGAGGAGGAGGTGGTGACGGAAGAAATGGAGGACCAGGATGCGATTGCTCGCCGGCTGGAAACGCTTGAGGCCATTGAAGACACTGCGGACGCTGGCGTGGAAGCCGTCGCAGCGGCAAATGCCGCCCGCGACGATGCTGGCTGCATTGTCGTAGAGAATTGGGTTGTGTGGGAGGTGGTGATGATGTCGCGTGGTGAGCAATTGCCGAAGAGAGGAAAAGGGAGAAGAGCTCTCCATCGCGAGCTTTCAAACAAAAAATTTGCGGTAGTGTGGGAAAGCCAGTGGACCGATTAAAGTGGACCCATGATTTGTGGCTGTGCGCACAAGCCACAAGTCAACAAGCCCCTGGCGATACTCGAACAACAACGAACGGTAGACGAGCATCAACTTTCGTAAGACCAAGCTTGGAAAGCTATGATTTTTAACTTGCCATCGTAAAGACTCGCATTTAGTTGAAACTTGAGAAACAACACTTTATTTTGTCGTTTTGACAAACGAGAGTTGATATGTCTTCTATGTCGCATGTTTTGCTTTTCGTGGCTGTGGCAATTACAACGATCAACAGAATAGTGTCTTTGGACCATGACTGTGATAGTACGCTATATGGGCGTTTACGATGTACTTCAAGTTTGTGTTTTCTAGCACCTATGGGCTTAGCTGTCCGTTTAGTATTATAAAATGTGACGAAAAGAAAAGAAGATCACGCTTGGTCACCCCCATTGACAGTCACCCATTGCACCTTCCTCTCCGTCGGTCACGCGCAGCTTCCTTCGCGCTTATCATTATGCGCAGGCACTTTCGCGAGAACGTTTATTATATTTTGTCAATAACCACTTTGCTGTCATTTGTCTGGCCTACTATATGCTATCGACGCCCTCATTTCATCCAGAGCAGGCCGTCCCGAAACAGCAGCCGTGCCGTCTTTTGCCATGGATATTCGGGCTTGTGCCTGACTTGGCCCCCATCAATCAATACTGGCCATGCGCGTGAAGTCCCTTCCATGCAAAATCCGCATAAAGCGACCGTTTCAGGCCAAATATCGAAAATGGCACCAAGACGATGACAACTTGAGCCGAACGAGCCGGATAGAGGTGAGGTACAAGTTTGCCGATCATGAGGCCGACCCTGGATCCTAAATCCCAACATCGACATTGACCATACTTCGCTTCGAAGCCCAATTTGATGCAAGTCGACAACACAAAAGCCAACGAGCTCTACAATTGAGGGTAACAAATTGACCGAGCGCGTCGCCGACGCACCTTGACCGGCTGCAAGAACCTCGACGACAACCGCTGTCAATATGACGTTGTCATCAGTGCGGCCTCGACTTCGGCGAGCGATATTCAAACGACTTTTACCTGACCTTTCCATACTCTTCCTTTCCGTTTTTCTGTTGGGCGCACCTGCTTTGGGCGCAGGAAATGTGAACAGAGAGATTGCATACGTCTATGGCACCGACAGCCATGGCGTGACGCGACAGCTGGCTGCCGACCGAACACCGGCACTGTACACATCGGACTTTGGCGATTGTCTGGGGGGCAAGAGCCTCTTCAACATCAGCGCATTTGACGCAGCTTACTACGCCGACAACATGACTGTCGTGTTCCACCTTGATGGAACGAGCAATGTCCACAACGAGTCAACCATGTGTATGTTATCTTGATCCGTGTGATCTGTCTGTATGACACGGACTAACAAACTATCACAGTGGTGATAACAATGGATGCATGTACGTGACGTTTTATTTCACTGATATAATGACAGTCCACGGGCCTAATACGTACTCTAGATGGCGAGACACGATACACTCAGACATTTGATCCATGCCAGTCAGGCATGGGAGGGTATGTCGGCGTGCAGTTTATAGTTTTGAAGTGGACGATTTCATCAGAAGCCACACCTAACCATGTAACTTTGCTCTAGTCTCTGTCCCATAAATTCCAGCTTGCCATTAACGATCTATGGCGCGTTCGCGCTCGTCCCGATGCAGACGGCCTCGATTCCGGACATTGCCCTGCAGATCCCCGACTTTGACGGCTCGGTTAACCTCCAGATCTTTGCCAACTCGACACAGACTGAGATTGGCTGCTTTCAGGCGGCTATGACGAACGGCAACTCCATCGGCATACCACAAATCCTGGCACCAACGATTGCCTTTTTCGTCGCCATTGCCATGATTTGCTCTTTTGTAACGGCAGCGTACGGCATTTCCGTACCCTTGATGCGTGCTCACTATGCGCATTCCCTGTCGGTCGTTCTTTTCTTCGAAACAATGCAAACATTCTTTCTGACGGGCGCACTCTCGCTGCACTGGCCCAGTGTGCTAGTGGCATGGTGGAGCAACTTCGCCTGGTCGGCCGGCATCATACGCATTCGACCGTTGGTCGCACAAATTGTTCGCTTCACGGCTTCCGCAGGAAACGCCAGCCAGTTCACTGGGGACAGCCCAATGTTTGTCAAGGGTGGAAGTGCGCAGCTGGCAGACAAGATCTACAATTCGGACAGCTCAAACAACGGACCGGTTCTGGGGGAGGTGGTTTCTCTCGTTAAGCGCAAGGTCTACAACAGCAGCGACCCGTACGACTACACTTGGGGCGGCGACCCTGTTCTTCCGGGCGTGCCACTGCCTGGAACGTGGCAAAGTCTCTCCGGGACTCTCAGTAACCTCAACATCCCAGGCGCATCCGCGTTTACCCTCTGTTTGTTTTGGACGGCAATTGCTGCGGTGGCCTTTCCACTCGGCCTGATTGGCATGAAGGGCCTGTTTGACTTGCTTTCCAGGCTTGGATGGTTACGGGAAGACTGCATGGCCTACTTTCGCACACACTCGCTGCAATATGCTCGACAGGGGGTGTTTCGAGTGCTGTTGATTGCATTGTCCCCGTTGCTGACACTGGCCGTCTTCCAATTCACACAACACAGCTCGCCTGGTTCCACGGCATTGGCAGCGATCGTGCTGGCCATCCTTGTGGCCGGCGCAGCATACATGTGTACAGATGCCATAAGGAGGAGAAACAAGCACCGGCCCCCGCAAGGCTCTTTCTCGGCGACGCAGTCGTTGTCTCCAAAAAGCCCATCATTCACAAAACGGAGGGCGAACCGCGGAAAGCGGCGCATCTCGTACCTGGAGGACGACGGCGACTTCGAGGCAAGGCAGCGCCCTGGTGTCCACCAAGACGAAAAGTACATCAAGCGGTATGGCTGGCTTTCGGCACGTTACAAGGCAAGCTGCTACTGGTTCTTTGCTGTGCACCTGGGAACGCAGTTTGCTCGGGCCTGTGTTCTGGGAGGCGGTGCGGACAATGTGAGCGTCGCTGATGCCACCAACAACACGCTCACGGGAATCGCGGCACCGACGGCCCAGCTGGTGGTTCTGCTTCTCTTTGAGATTGCCGTGCTGGCTACCTATGCGTATTGGCGGCCGATCGAGAGCAGCCGTAATTTGGCGCTGGGCGTCTGGGTCTTGGGCATGGGACGCATTCTCGTGGCGGCCCTCTGCATCGGGCTGCTACCGCAGGTCGGGATCAGCCGCATCGGCGCGACAGTCATTGGCTTCGCTATTGTTGTCGTCCAGGTGCTGATGCTGTCTATGGTGCTGGTGCTGGTGGCCATCAGTGCGGTGTCGACGTGGCTGTCGTTGACGCGCAACCAAGACAACTTTTACTCGGAAATGTTCTTTTCCGTCCGCAAACGGTACCTCGAGACGCTGCTCGCCAGCGCCACCGGCGCACCGGCGCCCCTGACACGGAGGCAAGAACGGAAGCAGGCCAAGGCACGCCAGCGCGCCGGCCGCGAGGCCGAACGGTTGGCTGCGTCGTTGCCGCCACCGGCGCCGTCCTTTAGCGTGTACGACGTGCGGCGCGCACCCAAGATTGAAGACGTGCACTATGCCGAGTCCGACGAAAGCGAAGTCGAAGAGTTTGGGGTGCACGATGTGGTGTTCCGTCGGACCATGGCCATGGGGCTCTCTGGGCCGAGCGGGAGCGGGAGCGGGAGAAGCAGCAGAGGCGGCAGCAGCGACACGACGGGGCCGGCGACGGAGAACGACAAGGCCACGGACGAGGATACGCTGGGTGCCTTGGGCGAGCTTGGGACGCAAAGCATGGCGGCACGGAAACGGAGGGAGACAGGAAGCGCAGCCAGTCTCGTGGGCGCACAAATCTACGACCCGGCGCGCATTCTTGCCCGGCTCAACCGCAGCCGGACGAGCAGTGCGGCATCATTGCGGTCGGTGCCATCGGCCCACGACAGCATACGCCGCGTATCGGATATGGCGGTAGTGTCGGGCCCCCTGCCGGGTCCACCTCAGATTGGCGTCCTTGCCGGAAGACGGTCAGCAAGTCCGTTTGGCGGTGGCCGGGCGAGTCCTTATGACATGCGGTCGTCGTCCGCTACACCTGTTTCCCGTGGTGACGTGTCCATGACGCCCACCAGTTTAGCCGGGCCCATTTCTCGGCGCATGACGCCGACAAAGGAGACACTGCAGCGATACTCGACGGAGAGGCAGTCACTGCAGTCGCTGCGGTCGACGCCGGTGCCCTATCCGGTACCCGAATAAATAACCGGAAGCGGAGGCGGGAGACCGAAGCGACGAGACAGATCGCGACCTTTGGAGAAATGAGGGAGAGACAAATAGAACGGTCATATAGCGGCTTGCATTTCGGAAGCCAGGTGGACCTGCATGTATATCCACGGTGTCATTGGGAAATAGTAATTTGTAGTAATAGGGGCCAATTCATGTCAAGTCACGGATTTGTATACGTCCGCATTTTCTGGCACTCTCTTTGGTGAGACCTTCCACGTCGACCTGTAAGTCGTAATACTGCATATTAACGGACCTGGCCCTGCCCCAGTGGATTGTGGGGTCTCCACCCCGCTAACGTTGCTGAACTACCAGACAGCGGGGTTGGCGGGCATGGGGTGGGATGAAATGTGCCGATGGCACTGCAATGCGCTTAAGTGCTGCGACACGCGCGGAGTATCTTAACACCAACAGCTTCCGCCCACACTGGTCGGGCCCTTGTTCCCGACGAAAATACACACAAAGTGAACTATCGATTGCCTCGAGCCTTGTGACTAGCGGATGTGTCATGCTATGGTCATCTATGGAGCAGCCACGGTTGGCTGCAGGGTGTAAGGGGCGTGAACTGATTGTGGACGACGGACGGTGGGCCGGTGAAGGATGCCCGGCGGGATAGAGGACGTGGTCGGCGACTGTTTCTTTGTTTTGTTTCTTTTTGAAGCTGAAATTCACTTTTCGTTGCTTTCCTTTTCTTTCCTCCTTTGTTCCTTCCTGGTTATATTACTTTAACGCTCGCCTTTGCGCCAATTCTGTACCTGCCTCTTTCGTCGCATCGGCACCGTAGCACCATCGCCAACGTCTTCCCAATTACAGTGTCTCTTCAACACCTCTGCCACAACCTCACTGCCTCACTGCTCCACCACACCGCTACCACACCACCACAATGGCCGCCACCGACAAGGAAAACAGCCCGCCGGTGCTGCTCGATCTCACAATCGACAACATCACGCCCAACACCATCCGCATCAACGACCAGTCCCCCGACGCCCGGCTGCGCTACCTCATGGCCCGCCTCGTCACCCATCTCCACGACTTTGCCCGCGAAACCCGCCTCAGCACCGACGAGTGGATGGCCGCCATATCCTTTTTGGTGCAGACGGGCCAGATCTGCAGCGACGTGCGCAACGAGTTCATTCTGTTGAGCGACATCCTGGGCCTGTCGCTGCTCGTGGACAGCATCAACCACCCGAAGCCGACCGGGTCCACCGAGGGCTCGGTGCTGGGGCCCTTCCACACGCACGATGCGCCGACGCTGGCCAACGGCGCGTCCATGACGTCGGATCCGGACGGCGAGCCGATGCTGGCGCTGTGCCGGGTGGTGGACCCGAACGGCAAGCCCGTGGCGGGCGTCAAAGTGGACATTTGGGAGACGGACAGCTCGGGCCACTACGACGTGCAGCACGCGGACCGCGACGCGCCCTCGGAGCGGTGCGTGATGGTGTCGGACGAGGACGGCCGGTTCTGGTTCCAGGGCATCAAGCCGGTGCCGTACCCGATCCCGCACGACGGTCCAGTGGGCAAGCTGTTGACGCGGCTGGGACGGCACTGCTGGCGCCCAGCTCATGTGCACTTTATGTTTGAAAAGGAGGGATGGGACCACCTCATTACGTGAGTTCTCTTGACCTGGATGGATGCCCGTGTCCACTTTCCGGTTTTCCTTTTTACCTCACGTCTTCCTCTCTTCAGCGTTGCCCTTTACCCGCACTACCCCAAATCCACCAGAGTTCCTCTCCCACACCCGCTAACCGATCCGATCCGATCCGATAGCGCACTGTACCTGCGCGGCGATCCGTACGAGACGTCCGACGCGGTCTTTGGCGTCAAGAAGAGCCTGGTCGTCGACCTGGGCCGCACCGACGCCGCCGTGTCCGCGAAATACAATGTGCCCGAGGGCACCCTGCTGCTGGAGCAGGAGTTTGTGCTCGTCACCAAGGACGAGACGGAGCGGCTGCGTGACCAGAACGCCGTCGAGGCGCTCAAGACGCTGGGGCTGCACATGAAGCTGGTCGACCACCTGCCCGTGCCGGATCTCGACTAGGCGTGCGTGCATGCGGGTGCGCCGTCCTCCTTGTATATAGCCGTGTCAGATGAAAAAGATGAAACGAAACAATTGCTTCCCTCGTCGGAACGTGTCTCAATGCGTGTTCTTCTTGCCGTCGGCCGCCGCCAGCTTGGCCACATTGTCGGCAAATCCGTGTGCGCCGCCGTGGCTGGCAATGACGTCCCAGGCGTGTTCCACTGTGAAGACGGCATCGACTTTTCGTCGCCTCCCGACCAGGCCCACGTTCCGCGTGCTAGGGATCCGCAGCATCTCAAACTCCACCGCCCACCCGCAGTCCTCGGCCACGCCCGCCACCCACTCGACAAACGACGCGTACGTCGACGACGAGGCCAGCGTGACCGACACGGACGCTGTCGCCTCTCTGGCGGCCGACGACGGTGGGGGTGCACGAAACCGCGCGCCTGTAAAGTTGTGACTGCAGCAGGGGATGGCAAGGAACGCGCAGCCGGACAAGGCCGCCAGCAGCGGCGTCCAGACCGTCAACTCGTCCGCGTGGTTGGCAATGAGGAACGTGCCGGGTGGGAATGTGCCGTCGTGGGTGGACGATGTGCGCCCGGTCTCGGTCTCGGTCTTGTTCTCGTTTTTGTCGTTGCCTTTGTCTGTCAGAAACGAAGGCAGAAGCAGGCTCTCTCGTAGCGTCGCCGTTACGCACGTCGGGCTCGCCCCGTCTCCATGCCCGTAGGGCTCGTTGTGCTCGTATTGCTGCCACGACCGCCGCTTGCGCGCATCGAAACCCCAGCCCCGGTAGCCCTCTTCATTGAGAATGTGCACCAGCAAGCCGCTGCCGCAGCCCACGTCCACAAAGCCGGGGAATTGTGCGGGCACACTCGCCTCGTCCTCGCCCTCGCCCTCAACCCCGTACATGTCCCGCCACAGCTCCATCAGGAATGCCGCAATCGACAGGTCCTCAAACACGTGCTTGGCCGGGTCCGTCGTCTCCTGCCACGTCGCCACCAGCCGCCGCGCGTGCTTTTCTTTGAGGCGCGTGTACCGGTCCTGCACCCGCGCCTGCGGCACCAGCTGGTCGTGGTGCACGCGCTTCACGTAGCCCGCGCGCTTGCCCTCGCCGTGCTTGCACACGGTGTTGATGAGGCTGAGCGCGACGCGGGCCAGGATGGGCCGGCTCAGTTTGCTGCCCGCATCGTCGGGCGGCGTGGCCAGCGTCTCTGGAAACAAGGAAAAGTGCATCGACACGGTCCCGCGGCCGTCCCGCGGCCGCCACGCGTGCAGGAACCCGACGCCCTGGACTTTGGGGTGGTAAAAGGGCACGTGGGCCGGGTCGGCGACGTGCGGGAGGTAGACCACCAGGGAGCGCTCCACAGCGTCGTCCTCGTCCTCATGGTCGTCGTTGCCCTCCTCGCCCCCGTAAAAGAGGCACGTCTGCAGCATCGGCTTGTCGCGCATCGTGTTGCGCGGAATCAGCCGCCGCACAATCGTCCGGTCGTCGGCGCGCACAAGCGACGCAAAACAAGGAAACGGCGTCACGGCCCCCTCCGTCGCCGCAGCCGCCTCGGTGGTCTCGGCCAGAATGTCCGCACGGAACAGCCACGACGACAGCACATTCGGGTTGCGCACCAAGTTCTGCATCACGGCGTCGAACTCGCTGGGTCCAAACGTGCACGGCCGGTGCCACATGGGCGTCCACGTCCCGGGCCTGCCACTGTCACCACCATCGCCCGACGTCGGCGTCTGGATCAAGACCGGATCCGCATCGTAGGCATATTCTTCTGGGCCAGGCAGGGGCGGCGGTGTCGCATCGGTCATGCTTGGGGGTAAGCTGTGTTGGGGGACACGAGGAGAACAGGGAAACGGTCATCAAGGAAAGCATTTGCGTAGAGAGAATTAGTGGCATGAAATGCACGGCAGAAAAGCGCTTAAAGTTAGGCGGTGAGTGCGACGGACAGCGCGTTTGTTAGGCGCGGCTATGTAGTGCAGCCTCGATACTCGACTGCAACCTCGACCAAGTTCGCGAAACCCCGAGTCAAACGACAACCAGACTTCGAGCATATAAATAATATAAAGATTTAACTACTAACAAGCTATCTGACGAAGTGAAAAGGCGAAACATCGCCAACGATTTGAACAACCCCACAATCCGTTACCCGGTCGTCTGCCATCTGCACAATAAGTCAGGTAACGTCGCCCACCTGAACTCTTCTACGCACGGAAAGCTCGAGGAGAAGCCTTGGGCGTCGGCACTGTAGGAGGTGCCGTGGGCTTGGAGGTCGGCACAGGCTCAGGGGACTTTGCGGGAGGGGACGGGGCGGGAACCGGCGACGGCTTGGAGGTCGGCACAGGCTCAGGAGACTTTGCAGGAGGGGACGGGGCGGGAACCGGCGACGGCTTGCTCGTCGGCACAGGCTCAGGCGACTTTTGCAGGAGGGGACGGGGCCGGAGCCGGCGACGGCTTGCTCGTGGGCACAGGCTCAGGCGACTTTTGCAGGTGGGGATGGAGCCGGAGCTGACTTGCTGGTCGGCACAGGCTCAGGCGACTTTGCGGGAGGGACGGGGCCGAAGCCGACTTGCTGGTAGGCACAGGCTCAGGCGACTTTGCAGGAGGGGACGGGGCTGGAGCCGGCGACGGCTTGCTCGTCGGTACAGGCTCAGGCGACTTTGCAGGAGGGGCCGGGGCCGGAGCTGGCGACGGCTTGCTGGTAGGCTCTGGCTCAGGTGACTTTGCGGGCTTGGAAGGAACCGGGGTCGGGGCCGGTTCCTTGGATGTCGGGACAGGGGCCGGCGGAACCTTCGCCGATGCTGTATAGTAGTGTGAGCCAAGTACTGCATTTCTTGTTTTTGTGTTCAGTTTTGCTTTTTCAAAAGTGAGGCAGTTCGTAAACTCACAAGAGGTCACAGCCTTCGAGGACGACTCTGGAGGAGCAGCAGGACCGTTGTCAACGATCGGAGCGGCCACGGCGAGGCCGGCAAAGAAGAGGACGTGCCACTTCATCGTGCTTTATTTTCAAGAATCAGAAGATGGTGTTGGAAAGAGGGTTTGGTTTGATTGTCGATGAAAAGATGACACTTGAATCTGGGTGAGCAGTCCCCCTTCTCTTTATACTTGATATTCTGTGCCCCCAACATGCAAGGATGAAAGTCCGGGCTCTCTTGGTCTCTTTCTTTTCGAGTAACGTCACGATGCTGCAATTTCTTTTTAATTTAGCACATATTTCGTTCCATTTCACCTTTCGTTTTTCCTCTTTTTAAAATGACCTCATTCACCCGAATCAGATTGCAGTTATATTGTGGTGAAAGAGGAGATGCACATGCCCCATGATGTTTCTCGGTGCTTCACAGCTTCGCCATTTTCCAGGATCGCAACATTTTACTTTCGATCATACAATTACACCGGGTATTCAAGACAATTTTGAGTGGCCTGCTCCTCCTGTTCGAAATCGTTCTCGGATATTGCGTATTTTACACATAGACCAGACAGGCAAATAGCTTCCGAGTTGTGCTTGAGAGGACCGTCAGGATCAGGAGGAGCGACTAAACTAGAAGCTTGTGTACCGATAGATGGAAAGAGGGGCACACAATAATGAGTAAATAGAATACGTGAGAAACGATGTCAATAAGCAGACCACACGGACCGCTGTCAAATGCTCCGGGTCGAAGCAGACGGACGAGGGACGTGTCAAGATGTAACCATCTTTGGAACGTCACTTTCACCGCTTACAGTACAGGTCGTCTCAAGAGAGACCTAGAGGGATAGAAATACATGTCACTTTGTATACGCTAGAACTAGAACATCTACTGATCAAGGTCGGCAATAAATCGTTGAGATGGCACGACATGTCACCTCTTCGAGCTGGCTATTTTCCATATTGTCATATCTGCATCCACGAATCGCGTCGTTGGCAGAATATCGCGTCAAGCACACTCTGCAAAAGAAATAAGGCAATTATCAAGGAAACATGAAAAAGACAAAGTCCACTATGCAGATTTTTAGAAAGACATCTTGCAAGCCATGAACATATTTTTGGTATTGATTTCTTCAAGAATCGGTGTAGCCGCAATTGTGAACGCCAAGACGAACTCCTGGATTACGCAATCCAGGTACACTCCCAACCCAGATCGCCGTTACTGCCAAGTCGTTACCCTATGATCGAGAGCGACAGGACGCCTAGAAAGCGGCAGCTACCACAAGGGAGCGAGTGAGGTTGCAGTTAAGCTTTTTTTCACTTTCCGGGTCGACCGGGCCCTTTGGGAAAATTGGGGGATGCGATATTGTTTTGTTCGTGAAGCGGCACTTGTGTGGAAAATGTTCAATTTCATTGCTCAATCCCCCTCCTTGGCAAAATGGACATAAACAACGCACATATATATATGTATATATATATTAAGTCTCTGGTAGGAGGCGGAGATGGGATGAACTGCTTGAGATCGACTCAGTTGGCGCTTCGCTCATCCTTTCGGGACATATTTATTATTGATTTATCCATCGTCATTTGAAGGGGGCATAACGCCTTCCATGAACCATCGAATAACCGCCAGGAGCAGATTCGGTGATAACAACCAACGGAAAAGAAGCTCAAATTGAAGCAGTCGGATTACCCGGAAATGTAGTGCAAGACAGTCCTCTCAATGCTGACCTTCTGCTCCCACGTAACGTCTTATCTGTCACGCCCTGAAGTAATAAACGTGTGTCAGAAGTTGACTTACAAGTGGCTTTTTACAAACAGTACGGAAGATCTAGGGATATCAAATAAATTGAGATTGCATGCACCGCGGAGAAATACATATCATAGCATCCTAGAGAAGTAAATGGCACATTTGAATACAATGTTTGCTCAGATGCAGTCAATATACAATTTTCCATGCAGATTAAGGAACCATATTAGCCGACCTCTCCCGTTTGCCCAGACTCTGCTGTCATTCATCTTTCAGCTTTGTCCATTCATTCCTAGATACGTCTTACTTTGCATTTACATGTTTGGTTTCCAGCGTTCTCCCATCCCCTCAAACGCCTAAAAAATGCACACGGCGTTGGGCGGACTCGCCACGCCACCCGGCAGGTTGAGCGGCGCGCTCGTAAAGAAAAAGGACCACCGCTTCTGCCGCTCACACTCGGCCGCCAGCGCCTCCACGTCAAACATTTCGCCTATGGGCATGCCCCAGTAGCTCAGCAGGAAATCGTGCAGACGCCAGTTGTCGTCCATGGGCACGACTTCGAAGCCGTTGGAGTCGCCGCCGACGGCCGCAAAGTGGTGGTTCCAGAGCCACTCGAGCGTCGCCTCGCAGCCCTGGACGCCGATCCAGGCATAGGCGTCGGCGACAAACTTGTGGTCCTCCTCGCTGTGCTCGTCGTACCACTTGGTCCAGCCCGTGCGCACCAGCAGAATGTCGCCGGCCCGGAAGACAAGGTTGGCGTCCTTGGCCATCTCGTCGAGCTGGGCGACGGTAATGGCGTGGCCCGACATGGGGCTGTACACAATGCCCTTGCGGGCGGCGTAGGCGACGTAGTCGAGGAGGACGCCGCGGCCGACAATGCCGCCGCGCTTGGTCCAGTCTGTGTGGTTAGCGGTGCGAACCAACAGTGACGGATAGCATTTGCAGACGCACTCTCAATGCCCAGCTTGCCGCTCGACAGCAGATCGTCATGGTGGATGCCGTTGTAATAATAGCCAGTCTTGGAATCGCCCCAGTGGCCTACACGATCAGCAACAAGTCAAAATGCCAAAACAGCACAAAAGAGTGCAGCATCACCCACGAAGTCCATCCCATTGGCTGCCGACTTGGGTGTTGAAGCTGATCTCGTCGTCGTAGCAGTAAAACGGGTAGCTGGGCTTGGTACGCCAGTCAACAATCTCGTGCTTGAGCGTGTGCCGCCCAAAGGCCTCCTCGCTGAGCCGGTCCAGGCCCCAGTTGAGCGCCACGCTGCGGCCCGTCTGGATCTCGTCACGCGCCTGGCGCACCACGTCCGGCGTCAGCAGGTTCAGCGTGCCGAGCTCGTCCTTGACATCGTCCTTGTCAAAGAGGCCCCAGGCGCAGCCGTGACTGACACCATGTTAGCCGATGTTGTGCGTCTTCTGCTTCTGTCGTGCCTCTCAGCACCGTCTCACTCACGGCTTGCCCTCCACGTTGGGCATGTCCTTCCAGTTTGGCAGCTTCGCGGCATCCATGTTGCGGCGTGCGAGGTGTCAAGATGTGCGAGAGTGTCTAGAAGGCGTAAGATGGAGAGGTAGGTTCCGAGTTTCGAGCTTTGTTGTATTAATCATGGAAAAGCAAGTCTCATGCAAAATGTGTCTGCCCAAACAAAACAAATAAGGGCTGTATTCGTGGTGACGTCTGTTTAAGAATGCTTCTTTGTTAACAATCGTGTTACTCAAAAGGGAAACAATGTCGTTTCCTGCCCCTACGAAGACTGTTTCTCCTCTGCGATGCATTGTCAGGATGCAATCTTCCCCTTATCCTGCGGGGCAGACCAGTCGCCAAAGAAAGGAGCTCCCATGACGACGTCCTTTGAAGTCACGGAAGTAGCTTGGCATGAGCACGACCTGGAAAGCTTTCAATTGACGGGTGACGAATTCCGAGGTCCGGTTCGTTTGGTGTTGTTATTCTTGTTGGCGTTTTTGGCGGTGGTCTCTGGCGTTGTCTAGAATTGGAGATTACCCTGGAATTGGCGCGTTTTGCCCGCCGCTTGTCACCAGGCGAGTCAGCGCCCAAGTTCGCCCTCAATCTTCCCCTCCTCACCCTGGGGAGAAAACAACGGTCCGAGACTGCTCGATGCTCGGCGTGTCGCAATCGTCTCGCCGGCTACCATGTGTTGGTTTTCTGGGGTATTTGTGTGGGCCACGTTGACAAGGCATATCAAATCGCATACTGTACAGCCGGTCAAAATCAACAGTGGTTAGTATTTGCGAGTTCAGTTATTCAAATATCACAGTAGGTCACCCGTCTACAACTTTGGAGTTTGTTTTGGGTGTTGGGGAGTTTTTGTATAAGAGTAATAGAAAATGCAGATGCAAGTGCAAGTAACAAAAAATGTAATCAGTCTCATCCAGTGCTAGGCATGTCTTTCTTTCCCTTTGTGATCCTCCACTCAACTCAAATGGGACCGTATGTACGGAAATTCCCAACAAGCAATCAACCATCTTCCATCAACCTTTCCTCGCATTTAATCACAAATATCAAAAGCACAGGTTATAAAACATGTCATCCTCTTGGTCCCAGCTGTTCACCAAAGAGGTCCCACACTCTGGGATTTTTTCAAAACGGCAAACCCGCACGATTCTTCAAGGCGCCGGGGGACAAGCCCATCATGTCGAGCAGCTCATATCTGCATTTAGTCTGAACCAAGCTAAGCCCACTCTGCCGTACCGGTCTGATCCTGTTCCTCAGTAGCAGTGGGCTGCGCGTTTTCATCATCGATGACCGTCACATGGTCGACAATCGGAGCCGCGGCCGGAGCAGGAGCGGGTTCAGCTGCAGGAGCAGGAATAGGAGCAGAAATCCGGGGATTGCCACGAACACGCGCCCGAGGAGGGACGCGAAGGGGAATAGGGCTAGTGGTAGGCGTCGGAGGAGTTGGCGAGGCCGACAGGGTACTACGGCTGCGAGTCATGGACTCAAGCGAAAGCCGCTCCGAGTCAGATGAGTCGTCTGAATAGGTAGACCCGGCAGAGGAAGGCGGAGAAACCGGCAGGGCTATCAGAAGGGCGATTTCATCCATCATAGGAGGCAGCTCCACGTTATGTAAGTTTTCTTCGATGTTTGTGACCACAGCGCGGCCCACGCCCAGCTCCACATCTGCACTGAATGCCACTGCCCTCTTTTCCTTCCAGTCGATGACACGGCTCTGGATCTAGTAGAACAGCTTGATCACAGCTAGAAGAGGGAAAAGGACCGGGGAAGCGAGAATGCCCAATATCAGGATAAACGGAGCCAGTTTCTTCAAGGGTTTGCCTTCCCGGAAAACAGCCGGAAGCCAGTCTTGGTGTTCCGTGCCCATAACTACTGTCATGATGTAGCCGAATACATAGACGGCAACAAAGAAGATCATCTCGTACATCATCTTCTCGGATTTCTGAAGATTGTTGACTGAGATATGGGAGTTGTGGTCAAGGTAAGAGAGTGAATGCCGCTCAACAAGGAGATATGTTGGTAGAGACCTGGCCAAAGGGCATCCGGTCAAAGCGGAAAGGAAGGGGGTTGGGAGATGAATTCCAGTGGTCTTGTCGAAGACGCAGGGCTTCTCCGCTCCAGTGTAAGAATCCATAGCCTTTACACGGTTTGGATGACCGAATCTGCGATATAGAGATAGAAGTGGTGGTTGCTTGAGGCTCGACAGAGCTGGTAACGTGGCGGCTGCTCTGGAGAGCGAGAGTGCAGAGACGTGGGTGAGGATTGAAGAGAGTTTAGGACGCTGGATGGCCTCAAATCTAAACCGAAGATATTCTAAAGTGGGATTTGAACCTGCAGAAAGTTGAAAGTCAGCGAAAAGTCAAAGCCAACTGGGGTGTGGGACAGGTGCTCGGCGTGTTGAAGGACTTGACTTACAGGTCTGGCGAGCGTGACGAAAGGCTATGCTCTGACCATATGTGAAGCTCGCTAAATTCGACGTGGGATGTAGGAGAGAAGAAGCAAAATAAAAAATCCAGCGAAGAGAGGGGGCTTGGGGTCCTTTATATGGACTTCCTGTGACGTGGACGTGGCTGCCGTTTAGGAAACGTGCCTGAATCGCTCCTTCTTTCTACGTTGTCCATGACTTATCAAGTGGGGCATTTGTGAGTGAATGCGAATGCCCAGCAACAAGCACAATGGCTCCTTTGGGCAAGAACACAATACTCAATTGTGCCGCCATTTTCCAATATCGCGAGAGTCGTGTGTCACGCCCATGACTTGTCGATGGGTCGGCGGCACCTCCATGGCGGACCGTGGAGTGGAGGTGAGCGTATAGTGATGAGTTGGCCAGCATGAAATGAAAACTAATGAGAGATACCAAAAGCGAAAGAAAAGTGAGGTCGTTCTACAAACCGACGAGGTAAGTCTACAGACAAGGTAAGTCTACAAAAGCAAAAAGGAATTCTCACTCCGAAGAAACGCTTCGGCGCTGTTAGTGATGCCCGCACCTGGGATCGAACCAAGGACCTCAGCATTACGAGTGCTGCGCTCTACCACTGAGCTATACGGGCGGTTTGGCGCTTGCAGGCGTCTCATATGGGACGGCGGCTCGTTAACTGGGGTGTTGAGAACAGCACCAGTTGCAAACGACAGCCCAAGTGGGACATCCCAGGGAAACTGGACAGACCGGCCGTGAGAAGGACAGAATGCATGGCAATGATGAACTGACGCTCCGTACTGGAAACACGGCCGGTTCCTGTATCACGATCATGACTTGTTCCAGTGAAAGTTGCTCGGCAATGAGGGACGACGACAGACGTCGCAAGCTCTCTAGGCGGCCTGTTCGCCACAGTGATTGACAGCCTTTGTTCTAGGCTGTCCGTGCAGGCGGGAACTCGAGCATGTCGTAAGGCTTAGTTGTCTACAACTTACTGGGAGTGCATGACGGGCGCTTCTTTGAATGTGCTGGAACTGTTTCTACTGGCTAGCAGCTGCTCGGAGCATTCGGGTTGTTGTTCTGCCTTGTTGGGACAGTTGCGTCGGCTTAAATTAGCACCAACACATTCCTCCGATCCCGACGGCTAGACATCGGGAAGCCGCGTGGGATCGACGGGAGCCAACATCGAATAGCAGATAGGCTACCAGCATTGTCCGAGGCTTCATCCCAAAGGCCATCTGCTTTCATCGTCTTTCTTCGTCGCATCCTCCATAACAGCATCGCCCGCCATGGAGACTCTGGCTATCACCAAAGTCCTTAGGGACGCGCCCACAGGGCCTCCGAGCCATTGGCTGGACAGCACGCCGACGGGATTCCGAAATCCGTGGCCTTCATTCCGCCAGACATTCTCGGTGACGCAGATGCTGCGTCTGCGCTTTGGACCGGGCCGCAACTTTGTGCCTGTGCCCGAGAACCGCGAGGGACTTGTTCCTATACAGACACCCAACTGGGGTGCGCATGCTCAGCCGAGCCAAATAAAGGCCACCTGGATCGGCCACTCGTCGTTTCTGATCGAGATGCCGTTGCGGGTGCACGAGAGGCGAGAGGATGGTACTGAAGCGACCATACAACGACAGTACGGCCTTCGTTTCTTGATGGACCCCGTCTTCTGCGAACGCATGGGTCCCGCCCAGCTTGTCGGCCCCAGACGCTTCTCGCCCACGCCCTGCACGCTCGACGAGCTGCCCCTCGTCGACGCCCTCTGCATCAGCCACAGCCACTACGACCACCTCGACATTGACACCGTCAAGCAGCTGTACGCCGACAAGTCGCAGAAGCGAACGGCCAACGGCCTGGCACCGCTCCAAATCTTCTGCGGGCTCAACAGCAGGCCGTGGTTTGTCGCCAACTGCGGCGTACAGCCCGAACACGTCACCGAGATGGACTGGTGGGATGAGGTCGATCTGACAGTCGCAGGCACGACGGTACGCCTGGCCTGCACACCGAGCCAGCACGGCAGTCGGCGAGGGGTCGGCGACCAGGACCACATGCTCTGGTGCTCCTTTGTTTTGTCGGAGCAGGAGTCCAAGCAGGAGTCCAAGAGGACCGTGTACTTTGCCGGCGACACGGGCTACCGGAGCGTCACGGACGACGACGTAGCCGCCAGCACGTCCGTCGACGACCTGCCACACTGTCCCGCCTTTGCCGAGATTGGCGCCAAGTACGGCCCCTTCTCTCTCGCCCTGCTGCCCATTGGCTGCTACACACCACGCACGAAGCTGTCGCCTGTGCACTGCTCGCCCGAGGACGCCGTGGCTGTCCACTTTGACGTTCGGAGCCAGCTCAGCGTGGGCATGCATTACGGCACCGTTCGCGGCGGCCTCAGTGCGCAGTACGAGGATGTACGAGAGCCGCCTCAGCTGTGGCGCAAGGCTGGCGAGGCGCGCGGGTTGGTATGGGACAAAGACTTTCGATTGTGCGATATTGGTGAGACTGTGGTGGTATGATGACGGGAGTGGCTGTCAGATTTACGAAATCATGATTTGCAAAGACATATTAACAGCATTCTTTTGCATGTATATGTATATATATATATTTACATATTTCTTTACGTTCGCTTTCACTTTTGCGATAGACAACTCCTACTCTTCAAAAGTTCAATTTATGTGCAATTCAGTTGTGATAGATGCAATGGCTGTTTCCCTATACCATATGCCACGCACGCTCCGCGCCACGCTTCCTATCGTCCGTACGAACCAAACCCACGAGCGTGATTTGTCTTTCCTTGACACTGCGTATCATTAGACACGACTCGTAGTGACGCAGCGAGATCTGCGAGCTCGGGCTCAGCCACCCATTGCACTTCGGGGGCCGTGAAGTTGGCCGGTCCGTATAACATCCACGCCGACAGAGGCATCAGTGCGCTATGGATGGTCGCATTCACCGACGTCAACAGCGCCGTCTGATTCGCCCGCCGCAACGCGTCGGCATAGCCGTCGGGCGCGCCAGGCGAGACCTGCTTGCCCAATGCGCCGGCCAGAACATACGCCTCGAACTTGGCCGTGTTGTTGAAGTCGCGCAGAACAAAGGGCGCCCGCGCGTATGAAATGGGAAGGTCGACAAGGGCCAGCGCGCCGTATGTGACATTGTCCAGCCTCGTCACGGCGGACGTCTTCGTCGAAGCACCGCTACGGATGGTGCTGTTCAGGGGCAGCACCAGTCGCTGACCGGTCGATGTCCAGTAAAAGAAACCGGTCAGCCAACCCGACACGGTATCGTGCTCTGGTGTGCCCAGGCAGGCCGGGTTGTCGCCCGCGGCCGTCACAATCTGGTTCCAAAAGAGGCGCGTAGCCGTGCTGTCGGGCGCGTCAAAGCTGCGAATGACCCGCCGCAGGATGGGTGTCAGCTGGTCTTTGTAGGCCGCCGCCTGCGAACCAAACGCGGGCAGGCGGTCCAGCTTCCGCAGCATCTCGGCCCAGTCATCCTGTGCGCCCTGTAGCGTCACCGACGGCAGACCACACGCAGGCCGGCGGGCCTCCTCCGGCCGCCCCACCGCGGCTGCGTGGGCCTCGTTCTGCCCGAGCAGAATAACCGTGGACGTCATCTCGTCGACGACCGTCGAGGTGGTGAAGTTGGGCATGGCCCACAGCATCAGCCACGGCGCGTGGCAGTGGCTCTCCGCCTCGTACTTGAAATCCTGGATGACGCGGAACCATTCAAAGTCGCTCAGCGTCATAGGGTCGGCACCAGCCGTGCGAGGCTCATAGATCTCGGCCGTCTCGTTGCGGTGGCTGCCGACATAAAAGAACAGCTGCGTCAGGATCGTGAACCAGACCTCGTCGGGCCGGAGCACGAGATGGAGGTGCTCGGCCCAGGCCTGCAGGGCACCGCGCACAAAACTCTCGGAGGAGGGCAGGACCTGGTTGGCTGTATGGAACGTGCTGTCGTCGAACACGCCCATGAGGACCTGCGCGTCGCTGCTGGCATGGTCAAACTCGTTGGCGGCGCTGCGCCGGTAAAAGTCGTCCAGTGACGTGGCGCCGGGTGGACCGTTGTACAAACGCGGTGCGCCGCCGGGCAAGATGACGACATCAGCGGTTGCTGTGCTGTCGAAGAACAGACAAGCGAGGGCTAGAACCAAGGCTGTCCAAGTGGTCGGCACCAGCGCACGCTGTCGTTCAGCGCGCATCGCGGCAAGAGGGCGGTGAGGTGTTGATTCGGCGGTGATGGCTGATCACAAAGGACGGAGGTGACGACAACGACAGATGAATCGAAGCATCGCGGCACACAAAGATAGGCTCACAGGGTTGATCAATAAACCTTCGTGGCGAAGTGTCTAGCGGCTCGAAGCCCCGACTCTGTTCGATGCGGGCTGAAATAGCCGTACAAATTGCGTCGCCTCTGCCTTTAGGCATGACCCAGTTGGGCTATGGGCAAGGTGCGCGGAGAAATAAAAGGCGAAGGAAAGATAGAGACATAAGAAGGACCAAAAAAGAGACGACAAGGCGAGAGTGGTAAAAAGTCACAATGGGCTCATGAGACGACGAGTCAACTCCCACATCTACCTCATCACTTGATGGCGCCAACATAGCCCACGAATCGATACCGCAGCGAGGCTCGTGACATCTTGCCCAAACATGCATCACTCCGCTTGGCAGCTGGCGACGCCTGTTCAAGGCTCTACAATTGTCAACTTGTGACACATTGGTTCGTTCGTACGTTGTAGATAACCATGCACATGCAGCCGTTTGCCATTACACAGCATCCAGATATACGAAACGCCCGAGTATAACTGGCTTTTTTTGACCGCTTTTGCAGTCTTCCGTGTCTTCGTCGGTTGGCTGCATATTGTGGAGGTTGTGTTGACCTTGCGAATACTTCGCAGTGCTGGGAGAAGAAAAGAAATGGCTCCGTATATCTCAGAACGTGTCCGCGTAAACATCTCGAGTCCTGTCCTCCAGCCGCCGCCGCCCTGCGGTGATCAAAGGCAAAAGTGCAGCTATCCGTCAGAGTCACCAAACAACAACGACAAAAACAAGAACAAAAAAGAAAATTTAGATTAAATAAAGAACATCTGAAAAGGAGCAAAAGAGCACCAGGACGAAACCGGATGTGCTGGGTTCGTCGCGCTTATGTAAAAGTTCGGCCAGCTGAGTGTTGCTTCGCACTTTTGTTACGACGGTCCCAGTTGATAGTCTCCTCGCTTTTGTGTCGGGGGTTTTTATGTCTTGTATATTTCTGTTGTTTTGTATCTTTCAGTTTTCGTTTCGGTCGATTTCGATTTGAGACAAAAGAGAGGAACCAAGATCGCGCCTGCCGTGATCTTCGCCAAACATCTGCGTACCTGCCTAGATGCATCGAGTTAAATACAGTGCCCATAATTACTGTGCACACTGTATGTCGCAGCCATTCTTTAGCGCAAACGTGCCTCTTCTCAGCGCCGGATTGGCGGCGGTTTCCGGCGACGGCTTGCACTTGCCGTCCTAAGCGACAAGCACTGACGAAAACAATGACGGAATAATGTCAAAAGTACGATGGAGAACGACTCGTAACATGGCGCAAGTCATCTTCCAATAAGGCAGGCTTGAAGGAACACCCAACACAGTCCTTCTATTCCCAGCGCTAGCCGCCATGGCAATTTATATTGTTCGTGTTGAGCAGGAGAGATCAACCTAGGACTCGGCTGGACATGTTGCGCCGCGCCAAAAACAGGTCGCACTTGCCTCTGGCGCTGATGGTGCTTCCTGCCCCTTAGGGCCCATCACCAGTTTCATCTTTCTCGTTCTGTTTTCAGCTTCATCCAATTCTCCTTTCTTCTCTCCCTGCCTCCGTACTGCCACTCGCCTTCTTTCATTCCACGTCTTGCACCAATCCAGTTGCGCACGCATCCACACTGGCAAGACCCCTCGTCCTCGCAGACTACCCTCAATTGCTTTAGAAGCTTGCCGATGCGCTCGCCGCCTCTAAACACCAACGCGCTCGCGCCGACGAAGAGCTTTCGTCTCTAAAGTCAAAAAGTCGCTTTGGTTCCTTTCATCCGTTGAACTCGAGCAGGCCTCTCGTCTGCCTTATTCGATCCCGGACTGTCCGACTCGTCCTCCTGCCACTTGCGAGTCTTCAATGTCGATCCAGTAAACAGAGCTCAAAACACGCGCCTGCGCAACCCAAGTCCCCAGGCGATTCAATCAGACCAGGCCGAAACCAAAAACAGACCAAAACAAAAGACTGCCAGAAGAGTGTGGTTCGACAATACTGCAAAAAGTAAAACAAGATTCGACCGTTCGCATCGTGCGTCGCCGAAGCTCTGTGCAGCTCGAAAACAAGAGTCTGATATTGCCGTTCCAAGCCAGTTTTGCGACGACCCAAAACACCAGCACCAAAACCCACTGACCGACCTGCTTTGGGCCACCCCCTCTCACCTCCTAAGACGCAATCGCTGTAGCAAAAGTGTGCCCCTCACTCACCCTCCCCCACCCACAGCAACAGCTCCTTGATTCCTTGCTCGCCTATGGATGACCGAGTAATCGCACCAGGACCCAGGCCTAGAGAAAAGAAAGCCGCCAACGAACCCAACGAAAGCGACCGGGAAAAAGAAGGCAGCGTCTGGGAAAATTAAGAAACAGGACCGCCATCCAATCCATGCCCTCAGCCCCCTAGTCACAGCCATTGCAGTGCATTGCCTGCTGCACATCACGCTAAGTTCTCAGCGCCATTGAGCCACATCCAGCCGCCACCACCGCATCCTGGCCACCATCTCGCCCCCCCCTTTCGACCTCCAATAACGAGTAGAACAGCGCGTCGACCACATCACACTAGCTAGCGACCCGGAACGACTAATAAACAGCGCGCACTTCACTTCTGCTTATCCCCATATCCCACTTTAGGACCGCACTTTTGTGTGCGCGTTGTCTCTTCGCGCATCGCACTTCTTTCTCTCCCCTTTTTGCAACGGCCATCGACCACCCGATCGCTCACGATGAACGGCGCGACCTCCTCGACCGGCCCGCCGGCACACTCGACGCCACAGACGGACCCGGCAACTGCCCCGGCATCGGCCCCGTCCACAAACGGCGGCAGCACCAACGAAGCCAGCGCGGGCTCGATCAAGAAGCGGAAGAAAGATGCCCTCAAGCCGATCATAACTACAGAAGGGTGAGTTGGCATTGTTTTGCTATGGTCTTTGGAGTATCTGTGTGATTTATGTTGCATTTGGTGATTTGTTGCCTTCCGTCATCCGATTCCTAGCGAACCTTGGCTTTCTGTTACCCCTTCACCCTTTCACCTACCCTTTCCCCCATCCCATAAGCGCGGAGCAAAAGCACTCGCGCCGAACAACGCAAAGGGCAGTCTGCGGCATGACAGAACTCAGATGTGACACGAGGAAAGGCAAAAACAGACCAAATGAGCACAGACCAGAGCATGTCAGACGAAGACCGAAAAGAAGACAGAACGCGCAAATGCAAAACGGACCGATCAGAGCGACGGAGTCCTCGAAAACATGGCAGCATCGACGAATCCAGCGAAAGAAAACAATCGCGATACCGATAAAAAGGATGCAAGACGGATCAACCAGACAAAATAAAAATACAAGAAAAGGAAAAAAAGGAACAGGGAGTCTTAAAAAAAAAGAAAAGAAAATAGCTGGAAAAGGCGCATGCACGAATCAGCTTCTTCTGCAATCAACTCGTCTCCCCTCATTCTTCTGCGTCTGATGCGTCTGATGCGTCTTCTGCGCCTCTGCTCTGGACTGGCCCGCTGCCAATGCTGCTCTCCTCTGCTCTCCGCTTCTGTGCGTTTTTGGCTGCCTCGCCTGTTTTGTTTGCTTACGATTTGACCTGCCCACCGCCTAACACTCCACCGTCTTTCTCTTTGTCCCTTTTCCATTCCCGGCCCGTGTCTTGGTGTCTATGTCTCATTCCGCTCTTTTGCGCACGTTCGTTCTGTCAGACACTCGACAGCTCTTCTGCACCTCTCTGCTTCGTCTCTTTACCCAACCCGTATGCTTATCCTTTTTCCACATCTACTCGATCTATACCTCTTGCCGGGTCCCGTTGGCCTTCTTCAACTCTCAATTTTACATCCTATTCACCTTGTCACTGGCCCAACTGCTTTCGCATCTTGCCTTCCTCACCTGTCGTCATCGCACATCTGCACTCCCGTCGCCGACCCATACCTGGTTCTAGACCATGATCAGTTCTTTGGTCTCTGCCCCGAACTTGCCTACTCTTCTCACCCCGGCATAAGCGCCCTTCATCTCAGGTCTCGATTTCACTTCACTCCCATGGCTGCGCGTCGCCGTCTCTGATGCGCACTACATTTGGTGCTTCCCTGCCTCATTCATACTCCCCTTTTCTCCTCTCTCCCTTTCCGCCTTTCTCCTCTTCTTCATCCTGCACCCTTCTCTTTCTACCCAACGCGCCATTCGCTCCCAACCGCCCCCAATGCTGAAAAGTCTCCTCCCCAGTCTCCGCGACGTGCGAGACCCACCGCCAAAGTCAAGGTCCGGCCTCTAACCCTCCCTTCCCGTTCGCTCCTACTGTGACCCTCCACGTACACTCACGATCTTTTACCAATCTATCCATCTGTCTTCCTCTGGGCGCATGCTTTGTTTCATTCTCACTGTTTAACTGCGCGCTTCGTTATTGCTTTTCCTTTGGATTGGCCTCACCCCTGCAGCAACAGCCCCTCCCCCCACTTTTCTTCCATCGATCAGCTGCGCCGCCTTTGACCACTTCTCGGCATCACTTTTCGTATCGTGAACCACAATCGCAGTCCCGCTAACACAGTGTGCGCCTGCGCCACCTCTCTTTTAGATCCTCACACATCTCTGGCTTAAATCACTCACCAACATCTTCGTCTTCCGTTGACGACGCCGCCGATAACACCGCCGACGAAGAAGACTCCGAAGACTACTGCAAGGGCGGCTACCACCCCGTCCAGGTCGGCGAGAAGTTCAAAGATGGAAAATACACCGTCGTTCGGAAACTGGGCTGGGGCCACTTCTCAACAGTTTGGCTGTCGCGCGACAATATCACCGGAAAGCATGTCGCCCTGAAGGTCGTCCGCTCAGCTGCTCATTACACCGAAACAGCCGTCGATGAGATCAAGCTCCTCAACAAGATCGTGCAGGCCAACCCCGACCACCCGGGCCGCAAACACGTCATCAGTCTCTTGGACTCCTTTGAGCACAAGGGTCCCAACGGTACACACGTGTGCATGGTGTTTGAAGTCCTGGGCGAGACCCTGCTCGGCCTCATCAAGAAGTGGAATCACCGCGGCATTCCCATGTACTTGGTGAAGCAGATCACGAAGCAGGTGCTGCTGGGTCTGGACTACCTGCACCGCGAGTGTGGCATCATCCACACGGACCTCAAGCCCGAGAACGTTCTTATCGAGATTGGCGATGTCGAGCAGATTGTACAAAAGGTCGTTAAGACCGAGTCTTCAGATAAAGAAAGCAACCGCAATGGTCGCCGGAGGAGACGCACTCTCATCACGGGCAGCCAGCCGCTGCCCTCGCCATTAAACGCCAGTTTCGGGCACAACTCGCCCTTTGCCCCGCCAAGCTCACACGGCAGCCTCGGCCAAATGCTTCACGACTGTATGTGTTTACCTCCCCACCGGCGACGATTCTGCATATCTCAACTAACAATCTTTACAGCCTCCTCCCACACTCACAAGAAGGACTTCTCCTCATCAGAACACGATACGGACCATCATCATAAGGCTGAATCGATCGAAGAGCTCCAGAAGAAGCGGGAAAAGACAGAGTACGTATTTTGTTTTCCGGTCCACGTCTTGGCACGGATGCCGGTACCAATACTAACCGTACTGCAGAGACATCCTGGCCAAGGAAGTGTCTGGTGTCAGCCTCGGCAAAACCCCATCACCGTCTTCTTCGAGCAGCCCATCCAGCTCCGGCGACAAGCGGAAAGCCGAAGAGCACCAGTTCAGTATCGATGTCATCAGCGTCAAGATTGCTGATCTTGGCAACGCTTGCTGGGTCAACCACCACTTTACCAACGATATCCAGACCCGCCAATACCGTTCCCCAGAGGTCATCCTGGGTGCCAAATGGGGCGCCAGCACAGATGTCTGGAGCATGGCAGCGATGGTAAGCGTCGCGACCTGCACGTGTACGATTCGAACCCCACTAACGTCTCCCCCTCCAGGTCTTCGAGCTCATCACGGGCGACTACCTCTTCGATCCGCAGTCCGGCACCAAGTACGGCAAGGACGACGACCACATTGCACAGATCATCGAGCTTCTCGGCCCTTTCCCCAAGTCGCTCTGTCTCTCGGGCAAGTGGTCACAAGAGATTTTTAACAGAAAAGGCGACCTGCGCAACATCCACCGCCTCCGCCACTGGGCCCTGCCCGATGTGCTGCGCGAAAAGTACCACTTTAAGGATGAAGAGGCCCGGCGCATTGCCGACTTCTTGCTCCCGCTCCTCGAACTCGTGCCGGACAAGCGCGCCAACGCCGGCGGCATGGCCTCCCACCCGTGGCTTGAAGATACACCCGGCATGCACTCGGTTGCCATTGACGGTATCCGTGTTGGAAGCCGAGGCGAAGGCATAGACGGGTGGGCTACCGAGGTGCGGAAACGATAGGCGTACCTCGAGGAACGAAGACCGGGGAGCGGGCAGTTTGGCAGTGGGATGGAGTAGGGAAACTAACCACAAACAAAGAATACGGAGGAGGAACGGAACAGACATAAACAAGGAGAGCAGTGATTGTGACCAACATTACCATATTATTGGACTCTTTGGATGTTTTAATCCCTCCCCCTCCTCATCATTTGTCCTCTACTGCACTCATCTGCATATTATACGTGGCTGCTAGCGATATATTACACTCTTTTGCGCCTCGCACTGGTTTCTGCGCCTTTTTTTGTGGACTTACATGTTATATAGAGAAGCCTGCTTCACCCGTTGGTGTGTCACTGCTGTCTTGTTTTTATCTTTTATTGTTCCATTGGTGTTGGAGGAAACATTTGGTCTTCACTATCCTATATAGTTGAGGGTTTGTTTTGACGCACACATACAAACACGCATATTTTATGTCATTGTCACGGCGAGACGCTGTTTTTGTTCTGTACTTGCGCTGACAGCGGTCTTTTCGTAGAGCTTGCACTTCCCAAAACATATTTTATAGACCCGTCCTGGTTGTTGGATGCTGGAGCCACTACCCTTTCCGAGAACTTTGCTCTTCCCCCGAGAACCGAATGCACCTATATTTATTGAAAAGTCAAATGCGCTTTGTTTTTAAACGCGAGCTTTATACATGGAAGCTGAATCAAAATGCGCTCATTGTAGCGCTGAAAGGATGAAGCAGACTGGTGACCCAAATTTAATTATGCCTTGTACCTAGCGACCGGAAAACGCCCACTCCACAATAGTAATGAGAAAACAGAACAGAAGAAACAGGTAGCAGAGCGACGCATATGCCATGACAGACTCAATAATGAAAACAAGACATGGGAGAACGAATGCAAAGCAAGCTAATGTAAAATCCTGGCCAAGTAGCATCACCACGTAACATCTCCCCCCCCCCAATATCCACCGTTTGCTGCATGGGCTTCCCCGCCGCACGAAGCTCTCATCTATTTCTTCTTGTTCCGCATCTTGGCTCGTTGTGCCATCCGCTGGAAAGCTGCTACACTGCTCGCACCAATCGGCCGGTAGTCGGCTCCGCGGTGCCCATCAAATGTGCTCTTGGGCGCAATGGTGTACGACTGTGGAAGGCCCACGGGCGTGGCCCGGTTCGCATTCACGACGGGCGGCGCCAGCTGCATCTCGCGGTCCAGCTCGAAGCGCGACATGGGCCGCTCGGCCAGCGTCTGCGTATACTGGCTGCCGGGGGCACCGCCCATGGCGCTCTTTTGCTCGGCCAGGCGGGCGGCGCGGTAGTCGTACTCGCGCGTTTCAATGTGGCGCTTCTTGAAGTCGTCCGTCTTCTTGAGGATGGGGCGGCTCCACTCGCCCACCAGGCGCTCGGCCATGCGCTTGATGGCGGGCTCCGCACGCTTGCTGCGCGTGTAGAACAAGACGACCTTGCCGATGCCGCTGCTGAGGAGGGCGTCCTTTTCAATCGGCAGCTGGGTGAGGCAGGTGAAGATGTCGCGCTGGATGGTGTAGCTGGGCAGGGAGCCGTCGTTGAGCGGTTCCAAGAAGAACTTGAGCGACTGCAAAAAGTTGGTCTCCGGGTCGAGGATGGTCTCCTGAATGTCGTTGCGGTTGAGGACCGACAGCACCTGCGGCAGCAGCTGCAGCTTGTTGACGGCCGGGCGGCCCTCGGCACGGGCATCAATGTCCGCCATGCACGCACGCTCCATGCGGATCTTGAGCTGCGCAATCTCTTCATCGGCCATCTTCTCGAGATCCTGTCATAACCACCGTGGTTAGCAAAGCACGCATACCCGTTTGGTAGGCTCCCCCACATGTTGTCTTGCGCAGGTGTAGCTTACATCCTCATCCTGCTTTCTCCTCCGCTTGTTGGGGTTGCGGATGGCCAGATCAATGGCCCGGTTGAGCGCACGCTTCCGGCGCTCCTCAGGCGTCAGGTCCTCCTCGTTGACCTCGGGCGACGCCGACTTCTTCCGTCGGGGGGCCGATGCAGCGCCGTCATCGGCCCGCGATCTACGCGCCCGATTGGACCCCTCGGCCGCCTCGTCGCTGTCGCCCGCGCCTGGCGCTGCACCGCCATCGCCCGCCGCTGGGCGCCGCTTCTTCTCCCGCCGGCCCTCCTTGGGCTTCCGTGGCTTTTCGGTGCCGTCCCGCTTGCGTTTTGTGGCCTTGAGCCCGCGTGCCGCTTCCTCGTCAATCGTCACTGGCCGCTCCTCAATCTCGGCCGTGGCCGGGTCGTAGTCTTCAAAGTCTTCGTCGACATCCGACAGCTGCTCCTCGTCTTCGTCGTCATCGCCGGATGCACCGCCGGCATCCTCGACAGTCTGTGGTGCGTCGTCGTTATCGTCACCGTTGTCTCCAGCCTCCTCGCCATCCGGACCAGCAGGGTCAGACGCCTCAGGCTCGGGAGTGGCCGCGGCCTTCGCAACATCGTCATCGATGCCGGCGTCGGCCTTTGGCGATATGGCCGCAGCCGGAGAGGATGCTTCGTCGGCCATTGTAATGTGACTGAGAGTGGTAGGGTTCGTCCCTAATCGTATTCGTGGGTTTTGAAGTGATGAGAAATGGGTATAGGTATACAATAAAGTCGAAAAGCAGGAGGAATAGTGCCCAGCGTTCTTGTCAAGGCACAAACAGGGATGACAGTAAACGGACGAGATTCGAAAGCGCCGGAAGCAGTGAGTGGACAAAGGACGCTTGGAACGTCACCTTTTGCTCTCATTTCGTCAAAATCGCGTTGCTTCGGCGCGGGCTGTTCAAGCACTAAATTTAAAAATTGGGGCACGTGACTGGTCATGTGCAATCTTTCAAAAGGTATATACTTAGTGCCTGAGGCAATGGTGCAGCTGCATACCAGACTCGCAAGACTAGTCCCTGGTCAGACCTGTTTTACCTTTGTTTACAGGCGGCGAGCTCCAAGCCCGTTGCCACCGACGACAGGCGGCTACAACGTACCGTGCCACCAAAAAGTTTTGGCGACAAGACTGCGGTCCCACGCTGCCACGGCAAACAATTGTTCACAGCACGGCCGACCGTGCATGAGCGACGGCAAACAAACGCATCCTGCTTTAATATCCACGTCTCGCCCGTCACCCACATTTCCTACCTTGTTCCTAAGACCAAAAGCAAAACAACAATTGCCTGAGGACACAACGAAGCCAATTCCAACATCACGACGATACATCACCACAATCGTTGTTGGTCGCTATCACGATGAGTCGGAGGACATTCGAAGGCCCCATGGACTGGGAATACCAAAACAACCGTGGGCCTGTGGACGTGTCCAGTCCGTTCTCGCAGATCCCGCAAAGGCCCTTTATGGGTACGTCTCGTGAAGCAGCGCTTGCGTGTTCGAATGCCCTTCCGCGTCACGACTTGCTAACGTTTTGTGTCAGGTCCCTCCTTTGGTTCCTCAGATTCGCCTTCCAAGCTGGCGAGGTCGGCCAATCCCTTTGCTTCCATTGGCGCGAACGCGGCATCGTCGTCGTTCCATGCCAACCCCCCCTCGCCGTCAAAGCAGCAGTTCCCCCGGCCACCAAGCTCCTCCATCTTCAACGCCCCCTCGACCAAATCCTATCCGGCCGCGTCGCCCTTCCGCAACCCGGCATTTACAACGCCACAGAAGCCTAGGGAAGACATCTTCTCCGAAGCGTCCGGGGCCGAGGAGAGCCCCGCGGTACAGAGTGATGCGTCCATGGCGGCCGAGGACACGCCCGAATACGAACGGTTCGACAGCGAGCTCGCCCAAGCGACCATCACGCCAGCCTCGGCTGTGAACCGCAAACTGTTCCACGACGAGAACGACTCCCCCGCTTCCACACAGAGCCAACAACGGCAAGCGTCGCCGTCGCGGCCGACGTCAAGTCATGCGTCTGGGCGTGGCGCGGTGCCACGGGGGAAGCTCGACTACCTCTTTGGGCGGCGCGACCGGGTACGCAAGCGCAAGCGGCAGCTGGGCGACAAGGACGTGGGCAGCGTACGCTCGCGGCACAACAGCAACGGCAACAACAACAACTACACCTCTGACGAATCGGACGACTCGGACGCTAGTGAATGGACCGACGGCGGCCGGTCTCAGCGGAGGCGCGGTGGTGGTGACGGCAAGAAGGGCCGCCGCGGGAGAGAGGGCGGTGGCCCGAGCACGGACGGAACGACGGTGAAGCGGGGTGCTATCGGCAGCCTGTTCTCGGCGATCCACGACCACCCTAACGTGCCGCTCATCCTGTCGTGGTGGTTGCAGCTGGGCATGAACGTGTTCTTCATGGCCGTCGTCATGTGGTTCGTGTGGGGCGGCATCTCCATGATGCGGGCCGACATTTCGCATGCGGCGGATGCGGCCCGGTCGCGGCTGTTGGCACAGATGAACGACTGCGCGCACGAGTACACCAAGAACCGCTGTGCGCCCCTCAGCGAGCGACTGCCGGCGCTCAACGTGATGTGCAACGAGTGGGAGGTGTGCATGAACCAGGACCCGTCGAGCGTGATGAAGCTGCAGGTGTCGGCCAAGAACGTGGCCGAGATTATCAACGAGTTTGTCGGTGTCATGAGCTTCAAGGCTTGGGTAGGTTTGCACTCGAATCCATACTCTGCACCTCTGCATCATTTTTTCGTCTCTTTTTTTTTACGGACGATTTACTAATAATGTACAGGGTTTCATCCTGTCAGCTATGCTGGCTGTGATTCTGGCCAGCAACATGGGCTTCAGCCGCTTCCGCGACGCCGCGTTCGTCGACAACGCCAAGCCCAACCTGCCCTCGCCGCACGCGTACGCGTCGCAGCCCGTGGGCGGGCCCCCAGGACCGTCGTCGCTTCCGTCGTCCCAGGACCCCAACCAGGCATATATCTGGGCACCAATCGGGCAGACGCCGCGCCACATCCGGCGCGAGTTTATGCTGCAGCCTGACACGCCAACGGACACGGATGGCTCGCCAGATGTTGTCCGCGCGGCCATCATGCCGCCGCCTCAGACACCGTCGTTCCGGCGAAGCCCCAGCAAGGGCGAGCGCGAGCGCAGCCCTGCCAAGGCCAAGGCCAATCGTAGTCCGAACAAGGTCTATTAGATCTGTTTGGGCTTGTATGCACGTGACGTTCGAATAGGGGAGGTATATCTTGTATAATAGCGACAGTAAAGAATCTTGGGAGACACGGCTTCTGGAAATGGGTCCGAAGGAAACTTGAGCATAGATTTTGCCGGCGTATGTTTACTAGCGTATGTTTATTATCTGGAATGAAAACGACGATTGGCTTCCTTCACATCCTTGGGTGGTGACGGTTCTGTAGGAGACATAACCTTTACCTGTCCTATCTTCTCTTTATTTACACTTCGTGTGGACTGGTTTTTATTTTGCCCTCTTGCACATGGTATTTCGTCCCACTTCCTCCCTTAGAGCCTTGATAGCTCATATCTTTGTACACAACGTGGCAGTTGACAATGGCCGAGATCCGCCTCGATCTGGGCCGAAATGGAGTCTTGTTTCCCTTGGAGTTTTCGGACGAAATGAAATGCCAAGTCTGCTCGTGCCGTCATTTTTTCTCGCGAGCGTCATCCAATGTCGGTGGGCCGCTCCAAGGCGGTCGAGGTCTGGCAAGTTCTGCAACCAACAAAACTAGTGCAGTTTGAAGCCACAGTCCGGTGCCTCAGTCGCATTGCGCACTGCGAATACTGAGTCGCACCGTTCCATTCTAGTTGTGGTTTGAGGCGTGAGTCCTTCCTAATCATGACTGTAGCTCCTTCCAGTGCGTTCAGAAGCACGCTATTTCGTCTTCAGCGCTGTTATAGTGGGTAAATTGCTACAATAAGAGGAGACAGCGCATGTCACCCACGCGACCAATTAGGCGGGCAGGCGGGGTGCCACAGTAACTAGCCACTAAACTATCTTTTCTGCTTTGTTCGGCCAATTCTCCGTGGCAATGTACGGAGGACACGCCCCGACTAAGTCCAGTGGCGCCTCACAGTAGCATGAAAGTACAGGCCGTTTTCGCCGTCGAAATACGCAAGACCTCTTTTCAACGGCTTTGATATTTTTAATGCCCGAGACACAACCCACAACCGACCGCCCCCTCCTGCCGCCCAGGAACAGGCCTCGCCAAGCCCATAAAAACAAATCTATGCGTATAAACCGCCATTGGATCCCGACCGCAAAAGCCAGTAACAAATCCCATCACAGGAATCGATTCACGAACGCAACTCGGCATCATCGCTCGCGAAGACCACATCCCACACGGATCGCATCTCACAGCAATACACCTGTCCCTGGCGCATAAGCATGGTCCTTACATAACACACAAAGATGAAAGCATGATCTCTTCGTCGTTTGCATCTCGAGGCGTCCTTCTCCAATTTCCTTGCGTGGCTGCAATTTCTCGGTAAATCGTCACGATTGACAGCTTTGCCAGCAGCTTGCGACATTCCAGCGCCACCCGACACGACCAGCCCACGCCTCTTCTCTTTGCTGTGCGTCCTGCCCACGGCTGCATTGGCTGCATTGGCTGCATTGGCGACCGACGGCAAGCATGGACAACAAAGAAGACGACCTGTCCAGTTCGGCAGGCATCCCAACGCCGAACTCGGCCGGCGGCCAAGGCAACGCCGCACGCGGCAAGCAACGGGCGGCGCCCGACTCGGAACCGGCTGCCAGCACGTCCTCCACGGCCACACCGCTGTCCCAGGCACAGATATCCAAGCGGCGGCGCGGTATCGGCGTGGTCACGCCCAATGCCTGCAACGAGTGTCGCAAGAAGCGCGTCAAGGTGAGGGACAACTATGTCAGACTGTATTATTATCAGCATGACGACACGACAACACGACTGACAAGTGGGCCTACAGTGTGATGGACGACGACCATGCGGGCGCTGCCGCGTCCAGAGGGACGTTGAGTGCGTGTACGAGCTGCCCGTCCGCCAGTCGAAAGAGGACCTCCGGAGCGAGATCGAGGTCCTGCGCAGGCGCCAACGGTCCAGCGACGCCGTCATCTCCGCGCTCAACCGCCCGGGCATATGGGAGGATATATTGAACCGGTTGCACAACGGCGAGACAGTAGAGAGCCTGTCCGAGTATCTTGATACGGGCGCGCCAGCGACAGCCGCCTCTACTGCTACAACAAATCCAAATCCAAATTCAAATCCAAATCCAAATCCAAATCCAAATCCTAATGCAGCGGCACTACAAGCAACCAGCACGACGTCGACGAATACGCCGTCGCAATTCCAACGCTCGCTGCCGAGTGCTGCGTTCCTGGGCGGTGAGGCCCCGACATACGTGCCCTTCTCGCCAGGAATGACGCAGGGTGGGCAGTCGAGCGGCGGCTCTGGTGGTCCTGGCTCGAGCCAGAGCATCAGTGAACAACAGCTGCCTCATCCGTATCAGCAGCATCAGCGACGTTCCCACCACCAGCAACAACAGCAGCAACATCTCCAACCCCCACAGCATCAACAGCATCAGCAGTTTCAACAACATCACCGACACCAGTCGCTCCACCAGCACCAACAGCATCAGCCGAATCAGTCGCACCTCCAGCAACATCACTTTGAGCAGCTGAATCAGCAGCATGGTAGTCCGTGGGGCGGCGACCCCTACTCGGCCACGAGCCAGGCACCATCCACCCAGAGCGACTCACGCCAGGATTGGAACATGCCGCCCGAGTCCCGCGTCGGGTTATGGGTCGAGGGCGTCGGGCCAGACGACCAGTCCGGCTCTGGCGGTGGCAGCGGCGGTGGCGGCGGCGGCGGAGGCATGGGTGACATGAGTTCCGGCGGGATCCCACGGTACCGCGGCGTCGACCAAATCCTCGCACCCGACATGCCCGACCTCAAGTTGCCGACCACCACGTGGACCGACATCTCGGAAGATCTCAACCTCGTCCAGCACCTCTTGGCGCTCTACTTTTGCTGGGAGTATCCGACCTTTGCCTCCCTCAGCAAGGAGCACTTTCTCTCCGATTTCCAAGAAGGCCGCCCCCGCTACTGCTCGCCCATCCTCGTCAACGCCTTGCTGGCTCTGGGCTGCCGCTTCTCCACCCAGCCCAACACACGCGCCGTGCCCGACGACCCGTACACGTCCGGCGACCACTTCTTCAAGGAGTGCCAGCGCTTGTTCTACCTCGAGGAGAACCACCACAGTCTGACCACCATCCAGGCGCTGGGCATCATGTCGATTCGAGAGGCAAGCTGTGGTCGCGACTCCGAGAGCTGGTACTATGCCGGCCAGAGCATCCGCTTGGCCATTGAGATGGGCCTGCACCAGATCCGCAACGACGACGGCGACGAAGACGAGGTTGCCGTCAAGGCCGCCACGTTTTGGGGCGCCTTTGCCCTTGACCAGTAAGTTGCTGTCGACCCTTCCAACGACGCTTTTGTATTTCCTCTTTTTTCTCACATCTTTTCCCCAGTGCTTGGTCCCTTGCAACAGGATCCCTTCCCCAATGCTCCTGCTTCCCGCTTCTACCGCCAAAGCCTGCCATCATTGACGGCATCGAGGCTTCGCACTGGATCCCCTACACGGACGACGGCGCACCTTTGCAGCGCTCCTGCCAGCAGCCGTCAAACGTACGCTCGGTATACAAGTGCTTTTGCGAACTCAGCGAGCTTGTGCACCAGTCCCTCTATATTCTCCATTCTCCTGGGCGCCCTCTCACCAGCCGCGATCTTCTCCACATCTATACAAAGTATCTCAACTGGTACGACTCCATACCAGAAGTCTTGCGACTCGGACACAACTTCACCCCGGCTGTCCTGTTCGCCCAGTAAGTGCATTGGTGCCCTAATGCCTCTATGTCCTACATGTACTAACCACACTTGCTCTCCAGCATGTACTACCATTTCGCGATCCTGCTGCTCTTCCGGCCCTTGATCAAGCTCCGTATCATTGGATCCAGAATCCTGCCTAAAGATGTCTGTCTACAGGCCGCCGATGCCATCCAGGGCCTGCTCCGCTCCTATTCCCAGCTCTACACCTTGCAACGAACGCCGTCCTTTGTACCTTACTTTGTCCTTACCTCGTCCATCATGCACCTCGCCATTGGCGCCTCCACATCGGCCGAACTGCCGCCGGGCGGCGACATTGCCGCTGCCATGGCCAACAAAGCGTCCACCTCTCTTGCCCGTCGTCCCAAGGACAGCGACGATCAGAGCATGCACAGCGTAAGCGGTGATGGAGGCAGCAGTAACAGCAGCACCGGTGGCGGCAACGGTGGCGGCGGCGGCGGCGGCGGCGGCAGCGGTGGTGGTGGTGGTGGTGGAAGTGGAGGCGGTAAAGGAGCACACCACGGCGGCGAGGACTCGAACGGCGGAGCAAGCAACAACAACAGCCCCAGTCCGGGCCGTGGTACTACCAAACTCGACTCCCGCGTGGTCGAGTCCATCAACCGCGGCATCGCCGACCTGACCGCGATGGTGCCCTGCCACCACTTTGCCGAACAGGCCCTCAACATCCTGCGCTACCTGGCGAAAAAGTGGAACATTGACATCCACATTACCCCCGTCACCAAGTCGTCCAGCGGCAGGCTCATCGAGGACGCCGACAGCGACCGCCTGCTGCGCCCCATGACCACAAGGCTCAACTTTTTCACGCCCAACATCGAAGACAGCGACTTCAACTGCACCTGGGGCGTGCTCGATGCTGGCGTCTCCAAGGGTTTCTTTACCGGCGGCAGTGCCGCATCGGCGTCACTCGCCAAGGCCGCCGACAATCTTGACAATCCGCTCTTCTGGCCGTTCCCTATGCAGGGCCGGCCGGTTCTGCCTCTTGGAAAGAAGCTCGAAGAGGCCGGCTTTGCTCTCTTGTAAACCTGGACACGTTCACGGTGGGCGTTTAAACATGTACGAGCGACAACTTGATGACACATAAAATATGAGCACATCTAGAGACAAATATCAAAATATAAAGTATGTAGTAACAAGGGCTAACCGGCCATACTTTGTGTACTTTGTGTGGCATTCTTCTTCGGCATCATTCATGCTACGTATAAAAGTAAATCAGTGTACGATGTGCCGGAAATCAAGCCATCGAGGGGGAGAATTAAACGAACAACTTGAAAACCGATGCAAAAAAAAAATTGTTGTTCCTAGTGGGGTTCGAACCCACGACCTGTGCATTACTGTCATAGGAACAAAGGGACTTGCGCCGCCTCTGAGTCTATCTAATTCGGGTGTTAGAACAGGCTTCGCCAGGCTTTCCCAATAGGTAATTTTCGGTTCGACTTACAAGAGCACCATGCTAACCACTGCACCATAGGAACGGAAAATTTTGATAGTTTATCCGACTCCGGGCTTATTCCCATTTATACAGGATACAGCGCCGGCCAATCTCTGACAGCGCGCCATTCATCGATTAGCAATCACTTCCCCTGAAGAATAAAAGCAACAAACGAAAATAAAATGTGCTGTACAGCTGATCTCTCTACAACTTTACAAATTGTCATCATTCTCGTTCTGATAAATTCACGGAGCTACTCGATGTGCAACTGAAAAATAAATAAATATATATGAAATAGCACTTGATGACAGCGAATGTTTTCCTACTGCCACGTTGCAAAATTTTGACAGGTCTAATGAAAGAAGCTTTTTTCTGTTACGAAACAAAATATAACAGAATATGTGTTACTATACGACCTGCAATGTTTTCGTTTTGAAAAGTCCATATCATAGCATCATAGCCGACAACTCGCAAAGCAAACCTTTTGACCTGGGGGGTTACAAGTTCTGCAAGTGATCTTCCGACTTCGTCCTCAAATATCTTCAATTCGTGTTCAAGGCACGAAGTTGTGGCACACCACGTTGGTTTGAAGTTCTATTCTTGACAAAAAAAAAAACCTCTTGTATACACACACAGAAATCTTCGACTTTTAGCCTTCCCCCAAAATCTGGACGTGGCCGTGTTATTGTTTTGTCGTTTTCAGCTCGTCGAACTTCTCACATAATCGATGACACGCACGCACTGGAATTTACACACACTCACAAAGGTTGTCGAGCCTCAATACAACATCGAGTCAGCTGGCCTCGTCGCACACATTGCCACTCTCGGGGAAAGTAGGTAGTGTGTATCTTTACGAGGTGCAGCAAAACAGCACCTTTACCGGCGGCTCGGATACAATGTTCCCAATGTCTGGGGACGATGGTTTCGCGTCGGGGCAAAAGGAGGGTGGCTGTGGAGTCAATCTCAGCTGAAAATGAAAAGCTTGACAGGAAGACGAGAAGTGATATGCGATGACAAGTACACGAAGGGGGGCGACTTTGAAACAAAGCGTTGGATTCGAGGCTGGCAAGCCTTGTGGCCTTGCTGTGGTATCCGGCCCGTCGGGCGCGAGGAGGATCGGGCGCGTCACAAAAGATCTTTTTGTGGAGGGGGCGTGCCACGACGAGGAGCTCGTGACAAAAACAGGGAGATAGACAGCGCATAAGATAAATGTGAATAAAAAAAAAGTGTCAAGTAGTGGCGGTTGCGTACGCGGTTAGAGCAGAAGAGAATGATGGGAAAGTAAGATGGTGGAAGGAGACAGAAGAGGAAAAAGTACGCAAGGCGGTATATCGGTCATGTAGCATGCACCACCCCCTGGTAAAGCCTACGGGGCGTCATTGGAAGAGCCGAGATAAGCCAGAGCAGAGTCCGACGGCTGTGTTTTAGTTTGTGGCTCCGGGGGAAGGGAACATGGTCACTACGTCGTCTCTTGAGTTGTGCTCCGTTCCCATCCCTTTTCCGTTTTCTGTGCTTTTCCTTTTCTTTTCTTTTGTTTCTCTTTTTTTCTTTTTCCTTTTTTCCTTTTTTTCACCGGCAGGCATCAGCGACCAAGACTATTTTCGTCGACCTGCATAAGGTTACACGTGGATATGGGATTCTTCGCGGAATGACCATCCTGGTTCCGCGCTACAGAAATGGCATTCTTTGCGTTTAGTGTATGTTAACCTTTGGTTTACTCTGCTTCCCGGCAGGGTCCAATTTCAATGAGACAGTCTCATTGGCAAGGCCGATACGATCCACGACTACCTCTTCGACAGTACTCCGTAAAAGAACAATTCTCATTCTCCGCAGTGTGTGTCACTATTGTTGTCTGCTATCAAAGTTGCCGCCACAGATGCGGACCTTGTGCGGCTATTTCGTTTCTTTTTCTCATTTGTTCCTTTATCTCTACCTTTCTTTTCTTCTTCGGCACACAGGTCAAAGCGTAACATGTAGATCCATACTCCACTCCCAGCACAGTTCGGTTTACTCCGCACTGCCCAGACGCCGTGATTATGGTCCATGGAGGTCCAGATTGGTCTTGCTGCAGTTGAGGCACTAAAGCAGGTTGCAATCGGCGTTTTGCGTATACCTGTCACTGTCACTTTCTGGGTCACTGTACTTGTGGATCAACGGTCAGAAGATTAACGATCTTTGCAGTTTTAATTCTCGTAAAGTATGTTGTACATCGTACGGATATTAGACGTTCTGGGATATTGTTCGAAAAGAGAAACTGTTGCGTCGGACTGCAATTAATGGTCGATCAAAGCTGGGGATCCCCCGGCTCCGAACGGTAAGTATAAACAAGTACTTGCAAACTCCAGAAATGACATTTCTCACTCGTAGAACTTGGTCCCTGATGAATTATCGCTTCTACAGCATACCGTTTTCTCTTTTTTTTACTGTTTCACTTCTCTAACTACTACGGCATGTCGTTTGTTGCATAATCGTACGTTTTTGAAGAATCGTTTGCTACTGCTAGTTGACCATTGTACAGAATGTCCTTGGACTTTGGCAAAAGCCACAAAAAGAAGATAAACCCCGACAAAAGCGGCCACTTGCATTGCACTGCCCACGCGAATGCAACGGTGGCGAGTGTATCTTTGTGTGCTTTGTGTCTGGGCAGATCTCTCTCTTCGGCTGGACCTCCTTTTCTTCTTAATTTTTCACTCGATTTCCATGTCACCATTGTTTGTATCGATCGCCATCGTTTCTCGGGATTTGCTAGTAAAGTTCACCGGGCCTGTCATTGTGACCGATTGGGACCTCTGCATGCTCTATTACGACATCCGGAGTACTTACAACATACGCAGACAACTTTCAGCTGTTCTTAGCCCCCTCTCCCAGCAGCGCACATGCAATTAACTCCCCTCCCCTGTCTGTCACACTGTTTCTCCCACCCCTGCCTTGAATAGTTACTGTACAATCCCTCGCTCTCCCTCTTCATCCAACCCCCTCACGCCAGAAACAATGGCTCGAAGGTGACGGCCCATGTCGGTTTCCTTCATTGCATGACTTGACGTCTAGATTCTCACTGTTCCAAATACAGGATGGAAGGAAAACAGAGGAAGCCGCCGGCTTCGCCGTGCAGGTAGTTCTAGTTGCATATGCCGCTTTACAAAAATAAACAAATGGGCATTCTTCTGTACCTGCGTGCTATTTAAATACTTTCTTTTGGCGTGCGTCCTTGGTCCAACGACATGGCTTATCGTGGCGCCCTACGGAGTAATATGACAAAACATAAGAATGTCAAAAAAAAAAAAAAAAAAAAAAAAAAAAGAAGTGGCGATTGATCCAAGAACTCGTAAATGCATTTGCTGCCATAAGAGGTCGCCTGGGGTGCAGACATGCAGGGGTGGTTGAACGCTGGAAAAGTAAAAGATTGTGGCTGTGAGACGACGGTGTCTTATTACAGGTCTTATCGCTGCAGTGTTTGTTGATCACCAGTTTTTGGAATTGCTTTTGGTAATAAGCTGATTCGGGAGACTCAAGAGCGAGTTGATTGTCCATTTGATGGGCGGAAATGTGTCGGAGGGATACAGTTATTCTTACACTTACTGTGCGAGATGCTTGTCCCTTAAAGCTCTGTTGTTGGCATATTGTGTCGTGTAAGTTGAAATTTCGGCGTGTTTTCCATTTATTTGCAGTCAAGGCTGAGTAAATTGTCGAACGCTGCTGAGGGCGTGGTTCTATCAGAGATCTTCATTTTGCGGGGCTAGTGACCAGAAAGAACATAAAAAACGTGGGCAGCGGCCAGGGGAAGTGTGCCTGTCCTGGTAAAGCTAGCTTGGAGTGAAAAATAAAGTTTATTAAATCCAAAAGACGTATGTTGTACTCCGTACATGTCCAACCTGTAAAATCGTATGCTGGTTGGAACAAATTCAAAGAAACAGAAAATTAAGAAACAGAAAATACACAAAAAGCCAAGAAAACAAAAAGTAGAAAACAAAAAATAAAGAATTCACCGGACCCGGAGTATAACCTCGTGCTGCTACAAAACAGGCACACCACACAGAGCTGTAAATCGTTCTTGGGCAAATAAAAGTAAGTCGGCAGTGATGGACAAAGCAGGGTATCCGACAGGAGATTAGCAACAAAGCAATAATTAAAGAAAGATATAAGGCGGTACCGAACATTAATTTGTTTCAAGAAGAGAGGGGACAAAAACGCGCGACGATCCAATCGAGCCCAAAAGTGGTGAGACTTGGTATTAACAACCCTGGTAAAAGATCTCCTTGGCTTCGTATGGAGTGGTCATGAGGTCCTCGACCGAGGGCAGCCAGAAGAGCAGGCTCTTCCAGGCGGGAGATGCCGAGGCCTGGCTGTCTTGGACGTCAATGTCCTCGTAGAACGCCACGGCATCGGACGTCAGCGAATGCTCAAAGTGGACATAGTCCATACCCTGGCGGGCATTGCTGAAGGTGTAGATGACACTGTTGAGGCTGCTCTGAAGCTCGACCTGAAGAGAGCGGTCCTAAATTGGAGGTGTTAGAGGCGGTGGAAGAAAGTGGACAATGGAAAACCACCGAAATCATGCTGTTCGTACCTTGGTGTTATTCTGCTCATCACGGCGCTGCTTGTCCATGAGCACCCAAATCGTTCCCTCCACAAGGATGCGCAGGGCGACATAAGCCACATGTGTGTTGACAACGTTGGCCGACGTGAGGCGCTTGATGAGCTGGGCGTCGGCACTGCCAAAGAGATCGCGAAGCCGTTCGGCCAGATATTGTGTCAGCATGATGTCACACTGCGCGGTGATCATGCGCGGCAGTGGTGACTGGTTCGGCATGGACGTGGCATCTTTCGGGAGGCGCTCGATGCCAAGCCGTTCTGAACCGGTGATGTATGCGGAGAGTGTTTTTTGGACTGTATGGAAGAAGAGCGAGAAACTCGCAGTCAGTAAGAGTCCAAAGTGATGGGATGCCTGCCTCCGGCTACGTTGATGGCCTTACATCTCCCAAAGTCGTACTCGAGCAGCAGCTGAAGTTCGGGTGCCTGTGGGGAAGGAAAGATTATATATTAGTAAGACGGATCAATACTCTCAATGGGGAATCCTACATGGCCCTTTTAAGGAACCTTCCCAAAAGGGACTTGGGACTCAGGACTCACTATGCCAGTATCGATCAGGCGAAGAGCCTCTTGGTGGGCCCGGCCCTGTGTCGCCGCCCACGCGCAGGCTTGGCTTCGGATCTGGAAGCGGAGCTGGTTGAGGTACGCCGCTGGATCAACGACGGCATACGAAGGCAGATTGATCCATTTGTGGTTTCCGTTGGCATCCGTGTACCGACGGCCCGTCACGTCGCCGTACCGCGGGACGAACTCGCGCACCAGGAGGGCGGTCTGCAGAGCCGCGCCGCTGGTAAAGACAACTTCCACGGCTGCGGATCCGCTCTTCCAGTCGCCGTCGTCGATGACTGGAAGACTGGCCTCGTCCTTGAACCGCGTCGTCAGGTCGAGACCACCGACACGGTGGAAGACAACACCTTTATAATTGATGAGCCTCATGGTCAATAACGGCAAAAAAAAAAAAAAATCACGAGGTGACGTGAGTGTGGTAATGTGAGAGGGTTGTAGATGCGACAAGGGAAGAAAACGAGTGTGATCAAGAGCAGCGTGGAGCAAGATGAAAGGTATCTGGCTTATAAGCCCAGAGTAGGAATACAGCAACGATTGTCAGAAGAGCAGGGAAGAAGGTGAAGAAAGGATAGAAGAGGAATCGTGAAACAGAAGAAAATATCGAGAAGGGGGAACCTGCTATTTGTACTTGATAGGACTCCCTCGCAAAGAAATACAAAAAAAAAAAAAAAACAATACACACAGATCGAGACCAGGCACAGCAAAATATGTAGGCGACTTCATATGTAAGTAGGCGCAGGGCAAGGTCTCAGGAATAGGTTGCTCGCTCTCAAAGAGGACTGGGGTGAGGTACGAAAGGGAAACGGGGAGGGGTGAGGCGACTGGCAGACCAATAAAAGGAGGCGTCCTATACAAAACAGAGTCTGACGAGGGTGGCCTGCTTCCGATGAGCCAAAGAGCCATCCTTGAGTCAATGGCACTCCGTCCTTGGACTTGAAAAAGTAAGCCAGCTGATAGGGCTGCAGCTATCTGCACTTTGCAGTCGTTGCCTGTTGTCATACGTTCGCAAGGTAAAGTGCTTTTTTACCTGGCCTGGTTTTAGGGTATCCTGCACATCGTATGGTGTGCATGCGAGTGCTGAAACCAAGAAATGGCCGTTTGCTAGCCGCACCCCCACGGTGAGCTGTGGCAAGGTGAGACAGGGCGAGGAACAGAGCGTGGTGGACGAGAACGAGCTTCTGACAAGCTTGTCGCTCAAACTTGGACGTCCTTTTGCCGCGTTTGTCGATTCACCTGGGAACAATTGACTTTTGAAAATTGACGGTTGTCGACACTACCCGTCTCAATGGCCAATGGCGGCATTTGTTTTATGTGGCATGTACGGAGATTTGATGCCGCACCGTTGCCTTTTCCCCCCCATTACGACAGCAACAAGCGCGCCAGAGGGCGTGTATCGAAGCTTCCAAGCAAGGGCAGATCGGAGATTGAGCTGCGCTCGTGATAAAAAAAGAATAAAAAATTGAAATGACGAATAAATTTGTCGCGGATACAATAGCAAGGAATGCGGCAAGAAGAACAAGCGGTGGGACGAAGACAGGAGCTGATGTGACGATCGCTGGGTGGTGAAAGTCGTGGTCGAGGTGGAGATCGAACGGCGGTCGGGTTGGTACAAAGATGAGGCTGGGTCAATAAGCGGTATTCCTGCTCCAGCTGGACGTAATACGACGCACAACAAATCATGCAGAAAACAAGAACACATGACACCGCCTGAGTGACACCGTACAGTTCTCGCTATGCATGGGACAGAGTGTGCGTCAAATAGGCGCGCGAGATAAAATGGAACGCTGAACAAGTATTTTTGGGAGCAAGTACAGTATAAGTGACAGTGAGCTACAATATGCTGGCAATATTAAACAGAAAAAATAGAACAATAAAAACACAAAAATAAAAGAAATAGATATCACCGCATGAAGGATCACGCGAGGCGCATCCCATATCCGACCCATCAGAGCGAGCAGGAGGACACAGAGCGAAAACTCAAGAATATCAGAAGAAATACGGCCAAGGTCGGTTTAGCGCACATGCAGCATTGCCTAGATATTGAAACGCTGTTCCCAAATACGACAATGACGTCCGCATGTCTGGTCCGTTGAGGTTGTGCATACTCCGTTTTTGTCCGTCTGCTGGTATCCTTTAGCCTTGTCTGGGCAGTGGCCGTTCCTCCTGGTGTGGTTGTCTGTTGGTGGAGTGTTGTACTCGTCAGCAAAGTAGTAAATGCTTGAGTAAGAGGCTACTCTGTAGACTCGAAGATATTGCTAAACGGGGCCGCAGGCGAGGGTCCAGGCCAGGTAGACAAACCTTTCTGGGCTTTTGTGGCGTACGAAGGGTGTGACGGCCAAAGAGTGTAGTAGTACGAGGCCAAAGGAGGTTGGAGAACAAGTTCGAAGTAATATCTGTAATGTAGACGGATAAAGGAGCGCAGCAGGCCGCATTGGATGACTGCATCTTTGTAAAATCACAGCTACACCCCACTGGCCTGACCATCACCCTCCCTTGCTCTGTTCTGTTGACTGCACTTTTGTGCGTTGCCCGATGCACATATTTTCTGCATGTGGATTTGGCCCCCAGGTGACAACAGACGAATCGCTGCCTCGCCTTTCTTCTGTCTCTGTTGTATTGTGCACCGCCCGACATCTTCTGTTGGTCACCTGGACTGTTCGGTTCACGTCGCACAATAGGATTGCCTGCCGTCATACCTGTTGTCCAAAGTCGGTGAACATTGTTCCTGGCTAGCAGAGGCGGACGCTGCGTATCGAGCCCGCGACGCTTGGTAATTCAAGGCCCTTGATAAAATAAAAGAACCGTTGCGGAGTAGCTTCCTGACCAACTACCCGAAGCTGCGTTGACGCCTGTGGTCAGACATTTGCATTCCGAGCTTTGGAGTGGGTCCGGAACGGACCTACGAATGAGCTTGGCATGCAGTCCTTAAAGGACGGGGGCTTTCTCTGCTCGCTTCTGCAGGTCGTTTAGGTTTTCATTCGTTGGCATCTGTCGCGGTGCTGTTCCTTTCCAATCTAATTTTCGGTCTGCGTCTGCCTGCAACTTTTCGTTTTTACTCGGAAGTCTTCCCCGACGATGTCGTAGTGTATTTGGGAGAGACCGGGGACCGCAGTGCCGTTGGCCCATGCGCTTTTATGCTTTCTTTTTTTTTCTTTGTTTTTTCCTGCTCTGGGCCGCTGGAAAGGTGTCGGCTGATTGTTTCGCGATGGTCGCCTTAAGTCTCCAAATGAACTGCCCGAATATAAGGGGGGTGGCTTTTAACGGTGGTTCGTTGACGGTCAGAATGGGCGTCGGCAGAACCAAGAAAAGGCGAAATCGTGCAGAAAAGCAGGATTGCGCATATGCACGACTTCTCTGATGTTCTTGAGGCCTAGGCTCTGATTCGGGATTGTACGTGGCTGACGTCGTACATCGGGTCATCTCTCATGGGTCTACTGAGGTCCTCCTAGTTTGTCCTCGTCAACTTTCATTTTCCTTCCCATCTCTACTACTTGTAGCTTCACGGATAACTTTCCGAATATGTCCCAAAGGTGACGAAGAGAAACGTAATCACGACTTCAAGGACAGAAAAAAGAAACTAGTTGTAACTGGCGACTTACACGAGTATATGCATGGGTTTCTTGCCTCCAACGACCAAGAGACCCTCTTGCGTTACCTGCACACTCGCGTGTCCTAGCTGCTGCATTAGCCATCAGCACTAGGGAGCGACCTGAGAGCCGTTTTGGGCGCATGCTTAATGATGCTTGAAGACCAGCTGTTAAATGTGTTACAATTTTGCTGGATTTCATTCTCCGAACATTCCGTGCCTGTCTGAGTTATGTGGTTGCAAAATGCATGGTATGTGCAGAGCAAGTGCAGGACAGGTGCCGACAAGCTAGACCAAATGGAGCACTAATTGGGTCAGATTGAGAACCTCGATCGATAAGTTTTGATTTTCTAGTGAGGTTGACAGCAAACTTACGTTCTGCTTTCTTCTTCCATTCTGGATATTTTCATGGCCTCCACCTTTCCTGTTTGGCAATGCCCCATTCAACAAATGAGAACAAAAAGACGGTGTATTGACAAAACGGATGTATGTCCGAAACGCCCGCAGCGGAATCTTTGCCGATTTGTCTTCGTCATTCGTTGTGTGCAGCCGACCTGTCTTGTGCTCCATTTGCGGCCGTAAACAAAGAAGAGTTCATTTCGTCATAATCCGATTGGATGTGTTCCAGCTTCTAGTTTTTCTTTTTGCGGGCAGAAGAACATGGGCCGATCCGACGACGTCGGATGGCTGACGGATCGGTTCTGCCGAAGCATGGCTTTAGCCAGTACGGCAGCGGCACGTCGTCTCTTTATCTTATTTCCTTTCTTTTTCTTTTTCTTTTCTGTATTGGCCGCGTGCTGTGTAGATAGTCTTACTGACGTACTTCCTGCTTGTGAAACCAACCGTAAAAGACGGTAAGATCGGAATGGTGGACGAGGGTTGGGAGGGCAAGCGTCTTCGGGTTGTTTTGATACGAAATCTAGCCTGCTAGTATAAATGGGATCATCAACGACATACTGTCGGTGGACAGTGAAATGGCGTTGGATCTCTGTGGCTGTTGACGGAAACCAGTATCATACCTGTTTTTTGGATGCTATCTCAGCCCGCCTTTTCCTTGCTTAAAAGTCATATTCCGACGCTCTGGCGGCTGGTACATGGTGCGACCACGACCCGATCGAATCGTTCGCCTTGAAAAGTGGCGGTCTGACCTTTAGCATCGACAATGCACATCAGTGGACCCGAGGGTGTTGGATATGCGCTGCGCTCATGGGACTAAGCGAGACATACAGTGCCCGAGAGTAAGAGCCATAGCTCGAAGTTGTGCATGAACACAGTCGCTGTGCTAGCAAAAGGATCGTCAGCATGGGCTGGAAAGAGACAACAAAACTTCAGATCGACTATGCGATCTATGGGGCGATAGGCGAAAGATGAGTACAGACCAAGAGTGATATGCACGTAGCACGTAATTTGGCGGAGAAACGCCTGACAGTCAAGAAACAGCGTAGAGTGGTCGTGGTAGCAGCTAAAGCAGTGTGGGTTTGGGGAGCAAAGTATTGACGACAGTGAGGTTCAAGTTGACAGTGAACATTTGGGTCAGTGCCAGGTAATGGATGGATTTGATGATGTTTCTTCTTATGTATAACTAGCTGCAGCAGCGTTTCGTGGGCAGTTACCAATTCGACGCACATGGCGTGGGAAGGAAAGAGACCCCTTTGTTTTCATCGCTCCTTCTTTGTATCGAAATACGGAAAGCGGAAGGAACAGAGTCGTTGAGACGGAACTGGATTCCAATAACCTGCTCAGCAGGCCGGTCTCGTAAGGACAGGCTCGTTTCGCCTCGAAAGGGTAAGAGCGACCGTTGTTTATGCATCTACACCAATGTTTATATGCGGCGGCATAATATGATAGGAAGGCGCGCAACAAAGCACCAAGGGGAAGGCACGACCAGAGTAAACAAAAAGCGACCAGCCAGCACATCTCCTGCCTATTCTGCCCCTCCAACAACATGACCTAAGAGAAAGACCGGTGCGATTGGAAACCAAAACAAACATCTCTTGCTCTACTTTCACCACGGGCATCACAAATTACAATTATCGTTGGCCACAACAGTCGTCTATATCTCTGCACCTCGTCGTCATCTATTTGGCTAACACTCTAACATTTGGACAATCAGATCATCCACGGAGTGGAAATTTCACCTTCGAAACAATCTCGCAGCACCTGAATACTTCCACAATGTCGAACCCACAACCGCACAACTGCAGTAAGTAGAAAAGGAAGACCTGCTGAGAAAGAAGAAACTTCGCAATCTCCACCCCATGTCTAGCTGCATGCTGCTTGAGACACATTTTCTTCGCCGAGCGTGTCTCAAACTATCTCAAATGCAAAGAGCTGACAATTTCTTCTTTTCATACTCGGAAGACATTACTCCTATGAAACTGATGGAGAAGATCTACCAAATTATCCAGATCCTCCAGACCCTCAGCACTCTGATATCGGAAGTCCAGGCTCTCTGTGTTCAAGGACTCCTTCGTTACATATTCGGCATTCTGTTCTACTTTACGCCGCAGCTGAACCCGTTCCACTTATTGGATGCGTACAGGGCCGCCACCAAGGACAAGACCTTTGTCTTTACTTCGGCGAAGCCACAAGATGGGCAGACACCCGGTAACGGCGGCCAGTCACCCCCACAGGAAGGCTCCAACAATGGCAGCGATTCGCCCAAAAAAGACGCAACAGAACCTCCAGCTCCTTGCGGATGCACAGCATGAGCAGAACTAGCTGATCGTGTCACCTCATCAGCGGGCCGGGACGCCGACCGTGGGGGGCAGCGTGGGCGACTTGGTGTGGACGAGGCTTCTGATCGAGATTTCTGCCATGGTCTGATTTTCTGCCAGCATAAAGACTCTCCTTCATCACATTGCTTCCTGCACGAATGAACTGTGTGTCTTTGTATTTCTTTAGCGTTTGCGAGGTGTGTGCCAGTTTATGGTTAGAATTCTGGCACAAGGAAGGTTCTGTGTACAGTGATTTGTTTTGAGACCGCTGCCGACGGATATGATTCGACTTTTGTCTGAGTGTTTCCCTACTACCCATTCCTAGAATAGTTACATAGTATATTGTACTAGAATCCAACTACCTGGTGTCCCCACATCTCTTTCTGTCGCAGAAATAATCTGCTCACTCATCCTAACCGATACTCTTACAGCTTGATTGTTTGCGAATACACACCCGAGCCGCCACCCACGTAAATGACATCCTTGTCCTTGTCGGTACGACCAAAAGCACACGATGTCGAGCCCGTCACGGAGGCCACCTGGTTGGGCTTGCCGACAGCCGGATCGACCTCGACGACTGAGTTCTTGCCATTGGTGGCCACGTAAATCTTACCGTTGGGTCCAAAGCAGAGGTCGTCGCCCATGAGGTTCGACCACAGCGTCACCACGGCCCCCGTAGCCTTGGCCGTGACCGGGTCAACGGGCACCTTGTGGAACGAGTTCTTGAAGATGTTGGTGTACCACACCACGCCGTCCTTGTACTTGATGCCGTCGATGCCAAAGGGGATCCCCCCGGACGGCGCCATCGTCGGGTCCGTCAGCACCACCGAGTAGGCGCCCGTCGACACCGAGAAGCGGTAGACGTTCCCCTTGCCGGCGTCGGCGACAAGCACCGTGTCGTTGTCGAAGACGGCCAGGCCGTTGAGGTTGCTGGCCTCCTTGATCGCCTTGATGAGGGACGCCCGGGGCGTGCCGGACGTAAAGTCGACTTTGTAAACGGCCTTGCCGCTGCCCCCGATGACGGCAAAGACATCCGGCGCGACCTCGCCAATGCCGCTGAGCCCGGACGCGCCCGTGACGACGACGGCCGTTGCCGACGTTTTGGCCACGGGGTCTACGCTGTAGAGAGTGGCGCTGTTCATGTTGGTCGCGAGGATCTGGCCGTTGCTGCGGACGGCAATGTTCTCGACGGACGCAATCTTGGCGACCTGCATGGCGGCGGACTGGCGGCGGTCGACGGCGGCCGCCCACGAGGCGGTCGGGGCCGATGCTAGCACGAGAAGGCCGGCCAGCAAAGCCCCCGTGGCACGACGAAACGTTATGTTCTGAAGCATTGCAATGATATCAGACAGGGGCAATCGGCAGCGATGTTCGAATGGATGCGACAAAAGACAAATTCGAACAGCACAAAAGAACTATGCGTAAACGTTCCACGAAAAACCGCGACGGTCTAGAACAGGGACCTTGGAGATCCATTTTATCCTTGTTTTGCACTGTTCTTATCATCGCCAGGAAAGGTCCATTTGCAATGTTGCGAGGCTCGTATGGAGCTACACCGGGACAAGTACAAAAATAAAGTTTGAATATCTCCGGCAGAGACGAGGGGATCGGATGGCGGCTGGAGGCTAAATATGGCAGTTGGGCAATACAGTCAGAACATAACCCGAGAAGGTTGTTGAAGTAGACAAACTGCTAATGGGCTGTCTCGCTGTTGGCTAATATGCCGGAGGAGCCAAGAAGGAACAGAGACATAAAAATTGCACAAATAATTGCAAGCCGTCTCGGCAGAGGCAAACATTGGAGGAAAATATGATAGATATCTAAAAATGAGTGTGACGACCATTGGAGAGCCCTTTGTCCGTGGTCGACCAAAAGCAGCAGTGTTTATCCCCCATCCTTTATGTACTCCATTTATCCATGTCAGTCGCTGCGTCAGTTGACTGAGAACCCTGTCCAGCAAAAATCCATCATGAAAATATTATTCTTGTGATGGCCACGACCATATGACTAGTCTAGGAGAAACATGGCCGTAGAATCACTATATATAATGTAACGAGAGTATGTGTGAGAGAAGCAGATTATCACACGGTAATGTGGAGAGCATTGGCTGGCCCCATTATGTCGTCCACGATTGTCGTGACGATGCTGTTCCAGTCGCCCATTGTGTCCGCTGGTATGTATGCTCGGGGTTTTGGCGGTGGCTTGGGTGGCTGGTCCGAAGCGTACCCAGCAGCCATGCTTGTGTAAATGGGCGGCGTTGCCGTCATTGTCGTTGTCGCCCGGTGTGAGATGACGCCAAGCTCGTTCATGATCAAAGGAGGGAGGGGCCGGTCTGCCCAGTTTTGCGGGCGGGGAGTGGTTGTGGTAGAAGATGAGGAGATTGGCGTCCTTTGCGTGGCAGTGGCTGTTGTGGTATTTCTCGCGGTTGCTTTCGCGGCAGTGCTGGACTTTGCATTCGGGCAGGGGGCGGGCGCGGCAGTTGTGGCCGGCGTCGATACGACGCGGCGCGGCTTCGAGAGCTTCGCTGCGTGCAGCGGTGGTTTCCTATCGATTTGGCGAGCCGGAACGTCCTTGGTGGCTGGTACAACCTTTTCGGCGATCGACTCGGGCGAGGACGACGGGCTCTTGGAGCGGAACATAAACAGTGGCTTTCGTGGCGAAAGCTTGGAACCACGCTTCACGTCCTTCTTGGAAGGGTCCGGGGGCGACAAAGAAGTCGGCTGTGGCGGAGTTGCGTCCGATGGAAGTGCCGGTAGCGGAGCGTCTTTGGTCTGAGTCGGATTTGTGGGCGCCGGCGGCGACGGAGTTGCATCAGGTTCGGAAGTGGGGAGGAGTTTCGTAGTTGGCATCGCAGGCGCCGGAGCAGGTTCTGTTTGTTGGCCAACGTCGGCCTCAGCGGGTAGTGCTGCTTGTACTTTGGTTGACTCCATTTGAGGCTTTGTCTCCTTTGCAGGCGTCGGATCCGATTTGTGCATCCGTGCATGCTTCTTCTGCTTCTTCTCGGCGGCTTCATCGATGGGCACGGAAATGTAAATGGCGAGGGCGTCGGCTTGCAGTGCCAGTGCCGAGGCGCTTTCGTGGCTTGGGTCGAACAGCTCGAGGGCTTCCTGTAGCGCGATCGGCTCTTCGGCCTCGTCCCGACCTCGCAGACAGCACCCCGGCGACCATGTCGCCTTGGGCCGCATGTGAGGCGGCAAGGCAGCTGCGCGTGCCGCCCACAGCTGCTTCCAAGGCTTGTGCACAGCCGGCTGGTGCAGCAGCCCGTAGATGACGTTGGCATAGTGCCAGTGACCGAGCGTGCGGCCGCGTTCAAAGTGGCCGGCGACATGGCTTTGGTAGCGCTCGAGCGAGCCGAGGAACGCGGCACAGAAACCGCAGGCCCATGCTCGCTGGGTACGGTTGCGGCCGGAAGCGTTTCGACTGTCGTCCGCGCAGGAGAGACTGCGTTCTTTGCCTCGGCAGGCGACGTCGTGCAGAATCCATGCTGTGCGATCGCCCAGCTTCTCACCGCATGCTGTACACCAGTAGGAATGTGCTGTCTTTGTTGTTATCGTCGGCTCTGTGTCCCGGAAGTCGGCTGCGCTTGTTTTTATCCGCAGCACTGGCTTTTCTTTTGACTTTTGCTTCGCACTTGTATGCGGACCCGTTGCTGTGGCTGTTGCCGTGGCTATGCTTCCGACGGTGGTCCAGTCCGGTTGTGGCTTCTGTTTTGCTGAGGACAGCTGGAGAGGCAGTGGGACATCGGAGGTCGAGGACAACGACCTTGACCGACCGTGATTCGAGGGCTGCTGTAGTTGAGAAGTGGAAAAAGACTTGTGGAGTGGTTGTGAGGTCGTCAGGGACAGAGACTGAGACCGAAGGCGCTGCGAGTGTGTGGGTGAAGAGGCAGTCCAGCGGTTGGGATCTGTGGAAGAAATTGCTGATGTTGTTTGCAAGTCGGCTACCGATGGAACGGCGAGGTCGTCCTCGACCTCTTCGTGAAGCGGCGGGCAGTCAAACAGTGACGACGAAGTGAACGCTGATATTGACCCAGCGGCGGTCGACGAAGAAGATCGGGAAGAGTGCGCGGTACTGGTCACCAGTGAGCTCCGCTGCGAGCGGCCGTGGGGATGTTCGTACTGCTCTAGCAGGGCACGGAGCAAAGCTTCACGGTCACGGGCGGAGAGAGTCTGGACATGTTGACGGGCGGCAGCCAGATTTGCAGGTGGCAGGCTGCCGTAAGCCGCGGCAGGCGCGTCCAGTGCCATAGTATGTGTGTATTGTGTGTGTGTGCGTGTGCGAGGTTGTTTCCTAGTTAACAGAGTGGTGTGAATTGTTGCATAGGCGAATAGACAGTGTCGGTGGCAGTGTTCTGTATCGTGACAACATCACCGAATTCGGAAGGCACGATGCGGAAAGGATATGTGTATGAGGAAGGTACAGGTCAGGATGGAAATGTATGTACGTCGTAATGGGAAAGAACGGAATATGAGAGAAAAGGGAAAGTAAGCGAATCAACAGAAAGAAGAATAGATATTCGTAGAGGGTAGGAAAAGAGAGGCAAGACGTGACATGCGTAAAAATACAGGACAACAAAACGGACATCGAGCGTCCTCTGACATGCACTTGAAGGAACGCATGTGTAAGTGGTTGTGTACCTTGTAGCAGACGCCGCCTGCTGGCCACGACTGGGGCAGTCTGGTGACGCTAACGAAATAGGAAAGTAGAGGACCTTAACTTGAAAAGGGGCGGCGCCAGTGACAGGTGCGTGTTTGAGCTTCTGCTGACAGTCTTTTGGCGACGCCTCCAATTTGTTTCTTTGTGTTTCCTGTCAGGGCAGGCCCTTGTCCTTTGTACCTCCTCTTGCTCCTGTTATTTCTTTGCACCCTGTCTCCTGGGCCTTTTTACAAGGTTTAGGCAAAGATGTCGAGGACGAGCATCGCGTCTGACAGTCCTTTCATATTTGAATCTTTCTTTTTGCCTCTTTCATTCCCCATTGTATTCTGTACGACAATTCCCCATTGTATTCTGTACGACAAAGGTAGAGGAGGGAGAAAGGTGGGCTTGGTGACTTGGCCATTGTCTGTATCATGTGTGCTATAAGGTCGCTATGTGCGTCCAGAAGTCACAGCTTTCTCCGATGTGCCATCACTTCCTTGAATTTACGTGTTTACCTGTGCCTCTTCTTGCTCCCCGTCCATCTTTTCCCCAGAACTCCTGTTCCCATGCGACGCACACATAACGAGCATACGCAAGTCGACAACTCAACACGAAACCCGCTGAGACGCAGTGACGCAGTGACGCTGTTCAACGTGCTCGGCTCCACTTATTAACCACCCTCCAGCCCCCGAGCCCCCCTGCCCCCTTCTTTGTTGATGCCCCCTGTTGAGGATGTGCGTCGATCGTTGGCCAGTTACAGTACTTTCAGGGTCTTTCGTGGCCCTGGCGAGCCTGGCCAGGTCAAAGGCGAATGGGCAACCACAGGCAAATCCGGTGTACCAGGACCCAGACCACCACACCCAGACCCAGATCTCTTCCCCAACAGCAGACGATCAATGTTGATCGAGCGGGAACCAACGGAACGCCACAGAAGGAACAGAGGCACGATTCTTGTTTGGACCGCCATTTGACGTTCTGTTTTCCTTGATTTCAGGCTGATCACGTTTTGAAACATCTTGTTTTCTATGACACTGTGGACGACCACATCAGCACACATACAGAAGGGAAAAAGAGGCCGCGGCCCGTTTGAACAGTCGATCGTCTCGATCGTCTCAAGTCAACCGGCAGACCAAGCAAGGAAAAGAACAAAACAAGCCGAACTGTTTGCCACAGGCTCATCTCGTCCCCGTAAGACCTCAGGACCTGTTTCCTGGTGCGAGTCCATTGTCTCAGGCTTTTCGTCTACGGCTGCTGGGCTGCATGTCTCAGATCTTTTGGCTTGAGTGCCCGCTACAAGGACAAGACGACAAAGTGGGTTGGTGGGATCCTGTACGGAGGTGAACGGCGCAGCTAGAGTGCTTTACTTTCGGGTGTTTTTTGAATATGAAGTAGAACTATCACCATTCTCACCAAACAAGTACTGGTTATTTCTTCCTGGAGAAAAGAAAGCCAGCGAGCTCTCAAGTTCAAAGACTACCAAGTCCTCGAATTAAAGTTCTTCGAGAAGTTATACAATAAATATCACAGATAGACAAACGGTTGACAAAAAAGAACAAAAGCACAAACCGCACACCACAAAAGCCCATCGAAAAAGATATTTCCTGCATGCAGCCAACAGAAACACCCTCCTCCGTTGCGCAAAGCCATTCTGTCTCCTCTTCTGTCTCCTTTTGTTTTCTTCTCTCCTCTTTTCTTTGCATGCACGCGCAAACATGAAACAGCGGGCGGGCGAAGGGGCACTCGTTTCGAAACACGCCATGGACCAGTCAGCGGCCAGAGCCGCCCACCCATTTGTCCCCTGTCGGCAGTGTCTTGGCATTTTGGCTCGTACCATGCCCTGAGCCATGCTCTCTCGCTCTCTGCTCCGCAAGAGGCCGATCCTTTGCCACTCGTCAACCACACTTCGCGTCATACTGTCAATCAGTCACCAGCCAGCTTGGGAACTTGGGAACTTGGGAACTTGGCGAGCTTGGGAACCTGACAAACGAACGTGCGATATGGCCACCACTGACAAGGTTGACAAGCTGACTAGGTGGTCGAGGTGGTCCATGGCACCGTGCAGGAAAGGCTCGACCACTGCTGTCATCCGGTATCCGATCCCTTTTGTCGGTTCTTTCGTCCCGTATTGCCCCATCACCAAAAGCCCTTAGGCTGGTCCTTCGTAGTGGCCTTGCTGATGGGCGGCGTTGGTGGTGCGGTGGTGGTTTGGGGTTCGATTTCGTCGAGCTGGCGTGCCCGCGACGTCGCTGTGTGGGACGCGTCGCACACTGCCGTCACTGTCTTATCGTCGGGAATGGCGCACGTTGGTTGCTTGATGACGATGCTGATGGCCCGAAGCCCCGGAATTGTTGCCATGGCGCGGGCCAGTGCACTGGGAAGCTGCCATCCGCGCTTGGCGTTTCCGTTTCCGTTTCCATGCCCGTTTTCATCTTCGTCGCCGTCCCCGTCGCCGTCGCACCTTTGCAAGTCCTCTCCATTTGTGTCAGGCCACGTCTCGTTGGTGAGAGCCTCACCGCGCTCCCACGCAGCGTCGTTTTTCACCGGGATGGGAACGGCGCCGACCGACTCGAACCGCGTGTCGCCGTACCACCGCCGCAACATCCAAAGCTGGAATGTTTCGGTAGAGCGCATCTCCTTCGGCAGCCAGTAGTACATGTTTACGGCTCCGCTCTCAAAGACGTGCCAGAAGAGGCGGATGGGGTTGCGGGGCCGCATCTCGCCCGTGGGCTGACGCGGGAAGGACGACTCGGGATGGCCGAGCACATAGGCGAGGCCGAGATCCACGAAGCGGTGGAAGCGCAGTCGTCGGGCAGCGATGCTTTTGCACTTGGTAAGATCGTCGACCGCCTCGCTCTCGTCCTTGAGGAAAACGTTCCGGGGTGCTAGGTCGCCGTGTGTGATGCCGTGGAAGTAGAGCCGGGCATATGCTTCAAGTGTGGACGCCACGACGTCCAGACGCGCCTCGTTCGTCATCCCATTCACATCGCCATACACCAGCTGTGCGGTCATGGGTCGGCCTTCGACGCGCTCCATCAGGATGAGGCGGACTCTTCGGACGGGTGTGGGGACTTGCAGGAGCGGGTGGTCTTCGCCCTTGACCTCGGCCAGATAGTCTTTCTGCTCGTCTGTCAGTGGCAGCTCGAGCGAGTAGGAGCCAAAGAACGCAGGCAACAGTTTGCCGTCGACGCCGTTACGGACAAGGTGCTGGTAGGCCGCCGTCTCCCGACAATACTCCATGTCCGCGAGGTCCACAATGTCATAGTCGCCATTGTGGTAGTAGTACATGGGGTCGAAGATTTTGGCAACGATCGTGGCCGGCGATGAGGAGGGCGGCCTAGGGCAGGTGGCTGCAGTCGTCGACGACGAAGAGGAGGAGGAGCTGGAAGGCGATTGAGAGGGGATGGTGCCACTGAGAATGCGGCAAGCGACGACGTGCGCTCCACAAGTCAGAAGCGGGCGGAGGGCGTCTGTGACCTCAATTTCCAGGCGAGGCGCGTCTTCGGCCGGTTCGGGGCCCGGTGGTTGGTTGTCTAAGCAATATATGCTTTGGGGGACCTGCTCCTCTCGCATCTGTGCGAGGATCTCCTCGCCCCTGCGGTGCTTTGTTTTGTAGCCGGTGCCAAACGGCGGAAGTGGCTCATGCTGCTGGATGGTCCAGCGAGACTCCGTACAGAATGGCGAGGCTGGGCGGCCGCGGTCCAGAAACGGAATCTTGAACTTTAGCTTCTTGGGCTCTTTGGGCCTAGGCCGCCGCCGTCTAGGCATGGTGACAATGTGTCTTGATCTGTTGTGAGGCGGAGATGGGAGTGATGGTGAAGAAGCAAATGTGAGAAGAAGAGTGAATGAAGAGATCAGGCACGAAGTGACACAGCAGTGACAAGGGAACTAAGCGGCGAGGCAGCAAGGCGACGAGGCAAGACGACAAAATAAAAGAGAGAACGGGAGATGCGAAGCGAAGTGCGAAGGAGACGCCGTCCGTGCACGGGATATCGTTGCGAGGTGAGGGCAGCCGTCCACAGAGCCACAAACAAAAGGTAGAGCACAAACGAAGACGAGCCGGATGTGGTTGAGGGAAGAATGAGAGAAAGGTCAAGGATAGCGAGGGAGCGTTTTTATATGCAAGACAGCAAGAAAATATTTTTTTTGCAAGTGACGGGTGACCAAGGTGACGGTGGTCATTGCTCGTCCAGTTGGGGAAAGAAGGAGCAAACGACGTGGCGGTCGCTCCTTCTTCTTTGGCATCGTGTACAAACGCACATTGAGTCATCTGACAAACGAAAGCGCAGGAAGGAAGGCAAACAGTCAAATCGAACACAAACCGTGGAAGAGAACAAAATCAAGCAGTGACCCAGAACAAGCACAATCGAGTCAAACCGGAACTCGACGCGAACATCCTTCGGGGGAGGATCCCTGATGCCAATGCGGCCATTTTGAGAACGGATATGGCTCGTTTTGCCCCGATGCCGTACACCTTCCAGACCGTCTCAGTCGTCAGCGACAGTTTGGTGAGGACTCGGCTGCTCCGCCAGTAATGGGCGACGGTGGGTTCGCACGAGCCTTTGGAACCGGTGAGCCTTCAAATCCCAAGACGTGCATATGTCTGGGTTCCTTGTTGGGACGTTGGGGACGGGAGCTACCATTTGTTTTTGCCTTCTTTTGGACACCACTTGACATCTGACCTCTAGACCGAATGTTTCACCTTGGCAAAGCGTGTGACTGCAAGTTCTTCTCGGAGGTAGCACAAGTTGTTTTTATTTGTCAATATGTGGTCTGGCATCTGCAGACGCGGACAGACGTGGGGACAGCCGGATGGTGTCTTTCGTCCGTGGTATCATCTAGTAACCTACAGAAATGAACCAAAACATATGACAGGTAACATAACACAGGACAATAACACAGGACAGAAAGACACTGCCTCGATTGGACTAGTGATACTTGTTCTTCTCGTGGTGCACATCGTTCTCGAGGAAGATCTCGGTCTTGCCGTTCATCTTGTCGCCAATGTCGAGACACAGGAACACGCAAATCAGACCAAGGCCTGCAAAAGACAGCGAGGACAGCGCAGTGATTTTGAGGCCGTGGGCATAGGACCACTTGAAGGCGCTGCTGGCGGCGGCGAGGATGTCGGCGTTGGTGCCGGGGACGGCCTCGAGGGCGGACGCGCCGAGCGAGAAGGCGGCCAAGAGCTGCTCGCCGTACTGGGGGTCGAGGCCGGCGGCAATGGCGGCCTGGGGCACCGTGGCGGCGGCGCGGGCCTTTTGGGTGTTGGTGAGGACAGACATGTAGATGGCCGTGGCCAGCGAGCCGCCGGCATAGCGGCCGACGCCGGCAAGGCCGCCGGAGATGCCGAGCTCTTCTTGCGGGACGCCAAGCTGGGTGAAGGCGATGCTCTCGTACTGGGCCCAGCCGAAGAAGGTCTGCATGAGGAAGCAGAAGGCAACCATGAACCCCTTGTTGTACGGGGTGCAGAGGGCCATGAGGCCGCCAAAGAGGGTCATGCCGCTCCAGGCGACGATGAGGGTGAGCTTCCAGTGCTTGATCCAGTCGCCGAAGCAGATGAGCAGCATGGCGCCAAAGACGAGGCCGAGACTGGAGGGGAGCGTGAGCAGGAGCTGCGTCGAGCGGGGGGTTGTTGCATCGACTGCGCTGGTTAGTTGTGTTTTACTCTAGTAATTACGTAGTGCGGGGAGCGATGTCGATGCCTCACCATAAAAGACCGAGACCATGGTCGGCCAGATGACGTTGATGCTGTAGTAGAACATGGTGACAATAAAGGCCACGACAAAAGGCGCCGTGAACTCGCGGCCGTTCTTGTAGCGGAAAATGTGCGGCGGGCAGAGCGGGTACTTGACGCTGGACACGGTCTCCCAGATGCCAAACAGAACCAGCACACCGAAGCCGGACACCAGGGGGCCCACGACGGCGGGCGAATTGGACGCCTTGCTCGTCGTGTTGATGATGCCGACGAGCGTCAAGCAGATGCCCGGCACCACCAGGACGCAGCCCACGTAGTCGAGGCCGCGCAGGGCGTCCTTCCAGGGAATGCCGCGCGGGTGCTTGGGCGGGAAGTACAAGAAGCCGATGCCGAGCAGCGACAGGAACTGGGCCACGAAGCCGGCCCAGTACACGTACTTCCAGGTGCTCTGGGCGCCGTCGATGACGTACTTGCCGACGATGGGGCCGATGACGACAATGACAAAGACGAAGCCGTCGGACAGGCAGATGCCAATGTGACGGTACTTGTTGGGCATCAGCTCGGGGATGGAGCACATGGCCATCTGGCAGAACCCGCCACCAAAGCCCGTGATGGCGAGGCCGGCGATGAACTGCTGAGACTCGTGGGCGGTGGCAGTGACAATAAACCCGACGCAGCAGACGGCGTTGCCAAACAGCAAGAAGATGCGGCGGCCAAAGAGGTCCGAGTTGGTGCCGGCGAGCAGGAAGCCGATGGCGTTGGCAGTCGTGTAGGCGGGAACTAGACAAAAGAGGTCAATTTTTGCAATTTGTACGATTGTTGTTTGTACCTGACCAGCTTGATCGGGACCGCTTACCATACCAGCCCACGAGGGCTTGGTCGCCGCCGAACCAGGCGACGATCTGGCTCTGCATGGCACCCGTCGTCGGTACGGGCCAGAAGGAGAGACCAAAGGTCGACGAGAGGATCTAACAGCGTTAGCATTGTATTGTGTGTAGAGCAGGTACGCAGGGAGCAGGACGCACAAAAATCACCAGCCATGTCTTCCACGTCATCTGGACCTCGCTGCCGTCGAGCGTGGTCAGCGTGTTGCCCTCACGGGGCGTCAGTGTATTCTCGACATTCTCAACGTCGTGCTTCTCGCTAGTATTGGCGACGCGGTCAGAGCCGCCAGACACCGACATGATGGGAGTGAAGAAGAAGTGGTGATGAATGAAGGAAAGAAACGAAAAGAGAGAGAGAGGAAGGTGAAGAGCACAAGACGCGTGGTTGCAGAAGAAACAGAAAGAAAAGAAACGGATCACAGTCACAGCGTCTAGATCTTGCTCTTTATTTTATTATCCCTCGGGGAGTCGATGGCGTCGTGGATCCGATCGTCAGATGATTGCCAGGGATCCAAAGGAGAGGACACTATGGAAGAGGTTACCAGAGATGGCCTCCGTACAACAATGCCACGCAAGATGGAAATAAAGGCGGAAAGTAAATGTTTTCCGAAGGTCCCATTGAACCCAAATGAGTGTGCTGGGCAGTAAGACGACAACAGCACCTCATCACAAACCAGGAAGAGGCCTAGACAAGCCACGGACAGCTTGACCGTGACATGCAATTCCCATACAGTCGGCGTTTTCTGTTTTCAAAACGAATTCGACATGGTCCGGCGGCAGTTACTCAAAACATTGAAGGATTCTGTTACTTTGTTTTTGACGTTCATGCCCTCCAGGGCTGCGCTCGATCCACGGCTTTGCAGTTCCCTTGGTAAGATAGACAAGAGAGACATGCAAGTCAAGTCATCGCCGTCCATTGTGATGTGCATACATAATCCCTGGATGTAATGGTGGACTTGGAGACGTATTGTATGAACATGTCACCTCTTGCTCCCATGCACAGCAAACATAGCATTGAACAACGGCGAGAGGAAGGTAAAAAAAAAAAAAAACACAAAACAAAACAAAACAAAGGGAGGTGGAAGCATGGCGTAAATAATGACGTCCCAATCGCCAAGAGGGCAAGGATGTGCACGCCCATACTCCATACGAAATAAATGTTAAGCCACGACTCCCCCATGTTGGATTTACTCCGTAGATACTGCGAGCTCCCTCACCAGACGTTTCGGTATTGCTTTTCCTGGTGGTTCCTGCGAGTGACGGTCGATCGCGGATTCTCCACTTTTGGTGCTTCTCCGCTCGCGTCGTTTTATTTCTGTGTTCCTGTATGATTACCCCAGGTTTTGCGGAGAAATCTTGTAAGTGAAAATGTACGCCGCTTTTATGGTGCATCTCTCGTTCTTCCCCAGCCTGGTGGCGATTACTGCAAGGCACCTTTTTGTTTGTTTTCATTAGCTCAACGTCCGCCACGAATGGTTATTTGATTATCTCTATTTATCTCGTCCCCGTTAACTCTCGTCCTAGACGGTTTTCGTTATCCTGTGGCGGTGGTATCGTTGTCGAGAGATGGCGTACGCGAAACATGACGATCTGAGCATGACCGTAAAATCACCCTTACCCCGAGCTATACTCTACCTGTAGTCCTCGGTCAGATACAGGCGGCTTCCACAGCTGGGACTAACTCGGGTACTATTGGAGACAGCTATACCGCGCCCGTCTCGTCGATACACTAATAAGGGCAGTCCATTTTGATGTCAAATATTTCACATTTATGCACGTTTTTCAAAACGGATACCGGGCACGGTTTGATGCCCCCTGAGTCCGATGGCCCTCCGGCCCTTTCCCCTAGCTTATGCCTCTGCCTCCACCTCCGCACTGCCTCCGCACCTTTGCAGGTTGATATCCGGGGAGGGGAAGATTTGTTCCAGAGCCGCTACGCTGCCCAGCTGCCCAGTCCAACGCCTCGAGCCAGTCCTGCAAGCAGCCTACCCCTCTGCGGTGTTGGGCTGGGCGATGCCGTCGCTCGTGTCGATGCCCGGGTGGCCTTTTCCAAACGCAATCATGTCATGGCCCGCGTACACGGTGACGGACGACGTGTCCATGAAGAGGTCGCCGTCGGCCACGAGCTCCGAAAAGTCGGGCGCCGTAAAGAACTGTTCGTAGTCGTCCCAGTTGCGGAACCAGAGCGTCGAGCAGCCGTCAAAGTCGAGGACCTGTTGGCCCATCTTGGCGAGACGGGCCTTTGCCGCGGGCGACGTGTGGTGCTGGACGTAGCGGAGGACGTTGTACTGGGCAAAGGGCGGCGCGGCCACGGTGAGGTCGGCGTGCACCGAGGCCCAGTGCTTGGTAAAGTGGTCAAACGAGACGCCGGGCTTCCTGCGGAAGTAGCACGAGGCCTTGACGCAGGCTGCGCGCGTTAGCCGTGGACGTTGACAAAACCAAAGAGAAAGCCACGCTGACATACGCTGCAAAGTGACGCCTGCGTCGTAGGAAAGGTAGTCGTGGGCAAACTCGTGGTCGATGCGCACGTGGCCTTTGGATGGGTCGGACATGATGGCGCGTGGTGGTGATGCGAGGTGGGAGTCGGGAGATGTTGGACGTGACAAGTCTTGTCGTGTTGAGCTTCGGTCTACGACGAAACATTGTGTCCGCACGATTCTTTAATACTTATGCACATTGACTGCTATCCTCCCTGAGGCTCTTTCTGTCCCCTCTTCTTCGCCTCAGGAAAAGCATGTTCAAAGGAAATCCGCAAAGAAACGACACTTCCAAACCAACCAGCACGGAAAATGGTTGCCTACATTGGTCGATCTTATGCTGCGGAGCTGCGTTCGGAGAGGTAATGTGCCAAATCCTTGGAGCAGAACAAGCTGTCTTAGGATACAAGAGAGCCAGGGAGGCCTGGGACTATGGGGACAATATAAATAGGAAAACTAGCTTGCAAAAACGGCCATGTTCGATCGTATGGATCGGCGAAGATATCAGAGAAGGCCTGCATTCCATCGATGCCATTTTCAAGGAGGACCTACGTAGTAATATGCTCCATCGTCTCCAATTTGTTTCCCCTGTAACTCTACAACATAATACATTGTTTGATTCCGCTTCGCCCCTTCTTGCCTCCAATTGCTGCCTCTTTGTCCGATGTGTTTCTCCAACTCGAGTCCAGACCCTGCCTACGGATATTGGCTTCCACCTCGTTGCGTATCAACGGCAGAGTTCGTGTAACGGACAGGTTGCAGGAGTTGCCACGTGGAGACTGAGATGGGCTTCCTTTGGAAGCTGGAGACAGAGGTCATTTGTTGTGTTTGGGATGGGAACGGTCCCGGCTCCTCTTGGGCACAAGGACGGAGGTTGGACACGGTAAGAATGCTGATAGGATGGTTTTTCTGATAAATCATAGCTCCATGTGTACGACAAATCCGTGTGTAGATAATATTCCACTCATGAAAGATCGAGTCGAAGTGACATGCAGCACCGTCCCGTTTCTTTCCTTCTCAGTATTCTCTTTTTATAAGTGTCTCACCACTGAGTCTGCGCTGGTCTGGAGTCATTCTCTCGTCTCCTCTTGCGGCTTGGTTGCTGCCATTTATTTACTTTTTTTGCTCTTTTTAATTCGCGCCATTCTTTTCGCTCCTTTTGTTTTCGTGACAGCAGTCAACAGGCAGTTCTGTATCCATGGTGTCCTGTTTATTTTCTGTCTCTAGGACACCTTTTTGCCTCTCCCATCTCATCTTATTTTCTGTTTTCGTCTCTCCCCACACAAAACGAGCTCTTGGTCGAACCATCACATACGATGTACCTCAGCGAGGCGTTGTCTTAACGCAATACGTCTAAATTACTCCCTCCTCTTTTGGCTGCCAAGCCCAGCGAGCCCAGCTACCCCAGACGATTTCTGGCTCGCTTGTCTGCATCCGTTCAAAACGGGTTGAGAGCTCCGTACCAAACCTTTTCAGCCTTTTATTTCCTACCGCCACAACCCCTGCCTTTCCACTCAAACGACCGGTCAAACGACCGCTGAGCGACTTGTCTCCACCCCTCCCGCACCCATCCTGTCTCGAAAGAGGTAAAGGAGCATCGAAAAACTAAGTTACTTCTTGCCTGGGAACGGCTGAGGTGAGGCCGGGGTGTTATTATTTAATTTCTGCGTCTACATCGCCGTACTTTTTCTCTTGTTCAACGGGTATGGCCGTGATCGTGCTGCCATGTTTGATTTGGATAGGTGTCGCTTGAGCATACGATGTATGACATACCAGAGTAATTCGTACACCGTGCTGAAAACTTTCCTGGGCTCCTCTGCTTCTGCTCCATGGCTTTATTTTATCTCGCCAGCCGTCCCCTCTCGCCCGCCTTACATTAAGTGGGGCGGCATGGTCAGTGTCAAGACATCCGTGCGCTTCACGAGGACATGGTCTGTCTCCTCGAGTTCGCTTCACAGCCTCAAGTCCTTGTCTTTGTAGCGAAACCTTTCTTGCCGACTCGACGGTCAACTGGACAGGTTTCCCTACATCCTGGCTTCGTCACACTGTCCATCACTCGAATCAGTGCGTACCAGCCGTGTTGCCGAGCCGTCCATCCTGCCCATCATTTGCCCCATCAACTCTCCATCACAGTCACACTCGCCATCCTTTCGGTCTGGGGATTGTCTTTGTTGTCAATCTTGTCATCCGTACGTCTACCAGTGGTCTAATTCCGACCCACTTACGGTGTTCCGGTTCGTGCGATTATTGTGATGCGTTCGTGTCATGTCATGTCAGGTTTCTTGTTGATAAAGGGTTGCGAGTACTCCGTACTTCGTACGGCTGAAGCAAATGGCTAGCAGCTGTGCCGTAGAACCCTGTACAAACAAGGGACGAAGGGTTTCCTCGACAGCCTCTGCAGGCTCCAGGATCCAGACCATGAAGCTTCTAGCCAAGGACCTCCGCTGCCTCCGTGCAGTTAATGCTTAGCAGTATTAACAGTTCGTTTTAGTAGCAAATCTTGTTTTTAACCTCGCCTCCTTTTTAATCCGTGCCCGTTCTGCTCCTCGTCTTTGCAAGCAGCGTCATGCTATAGACGGAAAAGATATACAAAGAAAGTTATACCCCGTACGGAAAGGACAAGATTGTCACAACGCCATTTGCAACTCTAGTTGAGGGCCTCTGGTCCTTGTCCCAGGTCGGCTCGGCATCCAATTCATACCCGGTACAAGACAATTGAAGAACAACAGTCCAGACTGACAGGGCTCGACATGCCATGGCCTAAACGACAAACGCATGTTGAACTACGACGTAGACGGAGATCCAGACCACGTCTTCCTGTCTTTTCTGTCTTTTCCCACGTTTATCCTTGACAGTCTTCCTTCTTTGCCTCGTCGACGCGTCAGCACATCAACATACAACATGTCGACAGCGGCTGCGGCTGCACCGGCGGCAACATTCGCTCTGGTTTCGCCGTTTGGTGATCCAACCCTGCTTCCACACGACTCAAAGAAGGCCGACATCATCGCCAGCGGCGTCATCACGCTGTTCCTCGCGGGCTGTTTTGTGGCAGCACGATTCTACACGCGCATGTTCATCACAAGGACACGAATCGGCGCGAGTGAATGGCTAGTCTTGTTGGCATGGGTGCGTACATCGTCCTTGACTTCAACCAGGCATCCCAATGCCACTAACACAGAAAACAGATCTTCTCGTTTGGTGTCACCATTCCTCAGATACTGGGTAGGTTACGTGCCCCAACATACTCTTCGCCTTTTCGTACATCCGCTGACACTACAAGAAACGGGATACGGCATGGGCGCCCATGTCTACGACATGGCCATTGGCGACATTAACTCTACGGACAGCGCCAAAGCTGGACTCATCTCCATCCTCTTCTACTCGCTGTCCCTCACATTCAGCAAGCTGTCCATGCTGGCCTTGTACCTCGTCGTCTTTCCTTATAACTGGGTCCGCTCCGTCAGTTTCATCTTGTTCGCCGTCGTCGCCGTCGGCCAGACTTGGGTGCTGTACGTCATCTTTTCAGCCTGCACGCCGCTCGAGGCGTTTTGGGATCCGACCATACTCGGCGCCACCTGCCATCCGCAGGTCTTCTGGCTCTCCAACCAGTACCTGATGATTGCCACCGACTTTATGATATTCCTGCTGCCGCTGCCCGTCGTCTGGCGCCTCAAGGTCCGCCCGGGCCACAAGGTGCTCCTCGTTTTCGTCTTTGCCATGGGTTTTTTGTAAGTTGGCACACACCGTTCCCTCTAAACGTCCCAATCATACACACTAACTTCCGGGTCCAGCGTCTGCGCCATCTCCGTGATCCGTATTACACTCATCATCCCACTCACCAACAGCCCCGGCCCCGATTTTACCTATTCCGGCATCGCCACATACTACTGGACCGATGTCGAAACCAACCTCGCCATTGTCGTCGCCAGCTCCATCAACCTCAAACCGTTTGTCAGCCGCCTGCTGCCCAAGTCATGGCTATCCAGTCCCGACGGCGATTTGGCGCACAACAATATCAACAACAACGGCCGCCGCTACCCGATCCACACCAGTCTCGTTGACCCCATTGCCACTATTGGCTCGCGCTTCTCTCGCCTGGCAGGCCGTGCGGGCCCGGGGAATGGTGCAGGCGCTGCCAGCCATAATATCCACGGTGGCCACAATGACCCCATTGTCGCAGACGACACAAAGGTCCTCAGCATTTCCACCTCTTCGCACGGCTCCCACAACGCCTCGTCGTATCTCGACAATGACTCGGAGTCCACATCGAACAGCCGTACTATCGTCGACCGCCACGGCAATGCTGTCGACGAAGAGATGGGCCTGCCACAGCATGAAGCCGGCAGCGAGCCCAAGCCGCACTTGCAGCACGCCGTCCACAGTGTGCCCAGCGACCAGACGCTGGGCCATGACAGACGATGATGGGCCGTTTAGGTTTCATTGTCGACGATTTTGATGCTTGTCCTCTCTTGAATTGCATTGGCACGGCGTTTTGGGTATTTTTGAGACGGCTTCTCGTTTCCTATTGTGTGGCACATATATTACCGTTTTCATTCGGAGAAAATTGTACTCTATACTGTTGGTAAAATTGCATTGATTAATTATAAACTCCCTTACTCTTATAATGAAAGTGCATTAAAGGTACGTTTCGGCAGTGGTTAATAACAATCAACCACAAATACATGAGACAGCAGGCTGCTCTATTTCGTATAAGGCACCCAGTAAATGGTACCAGTTATATCTTGACAAGCATGCCCCAACGCGTCTCCTCAAAGTTATGTCTACATGAAAAGACAATTGAAATATTTCCTATCAAATTTTGAAATTTAACAAACCAGTGAAAAGCCGTCCGTCGTTCGCTATGGCACCTCATTTAGGTAGTGATCTACTGACGCAACAGACAAGGTCGCTTAATACACCAAAGACAATCCAAGTTAAAGTCAGATGTTCTCGGATACTTTAAGAACATGATTTTTGAAACGATGTACAAAACAATAATCAAATCGTCCTCTGTTGTTTACATAGGAACGCTTCATTTGAAGAAAACGTGACCTTCCCAACACACGTGACTCGATTTGCCGCCTGAATGCAAAACCGACCAAAGACATCCCCACACATAAATTGAAAACAGTTAGATAGGAAGGAAGCACTGACCAGTCGTGGCTGGTCCTGACCCACCCACCCCAGCTGGTTTAGTTGAGAGCAAGACCAAACCACACAGTAATAGGAAAGGAAAGAGGAGAAACAGAGCAAACTGCCCCGATACGATCTCCGCCAACTGCTTCGCTTGCTTCGATCGATCGCGTCCCTCACGCCGCCGTCTCCCGTCGGACAAACAAAACACAAAACCAGGGATCGCCATCCCCTCGGAGGCACGTCAGCTCAAAAGGTTCGGACAGAGACACGAACGAAAAAAGATGCTCTTCGGCACATCGACGAAACCGACATTTTCCTGAGGCAACTCGTTTGCCTGCATCCACGCATCTCGGTGCATCGCGCCTTTTGTTTGCATCGGACGGGGGGCATCTCCCCTCTCTGCACGCTGCAGCGTCTGCCATTTTCCCAACTTACAACCTCCGACACCCATCCTCCGTACCTCCTCCCTCCTTCCCGCCCTCCAGCCCAACCTCTACGATGACCGCGCCAGCAGCACAGCGCAAGGTCTGGGTGCGGCGGCCAGGCGCGTCCGCCACGCTTGTCAGCTTCAGCGAGACCGATGTTGTCGACGACGTTCGCGAGATGCTTCTGCGAAAGTACGGCAACTCGCTCGGCCGTGTCTACGACGCTCCCGACGTCACCCTGCGACTCAGTCCCCGTGAGGCCCACCAGGGCGAGCGGACACTCGGCCCAGACGAGCTCATGACCCGCACCCTCGACGTCTACTACCCCGGCGGCCAGACCATTGACGAGGCCCTCGTCATCGATGTGCCCATCCGTCGTCCCACCCCCAACGCCTCGCCGCGCGGCGGCCCGCCGCATGCCTACCACCTGGCCTCTGTCCATCGTGAACACGCCGCCGCCCACCGCGACCGCGACCACCGTGGCGGCGGCGGCGACTACTCCTCCCACTCCCCCATAGCTCCCGACTACTTTGGCCCGGGTGTCGTCCCCGACTACTACAACCACGGCGCGCTGACTGCCGAGTCCGAATACCCCACTGCCTCGCTGGCGCACGAGTCGGCCATGGCGGGGGCGGGGGCGGGCGCTGGCAGTGGCAGCGGTGGCAGCGGCGGTGCAGGGGCTCGTTCCGCCGGCTCGCAACATCTTTACCCACCCTCGCCCGGACACCTACATCCGACACACAAAGGCTCTCTTCTTCGCTCACCGCCTGGCGGTGCCGGTTCTGGCGTCTCGGCGGCATCGTTACAAGACGGCGGTGGCAGTGGAGGAGCTGGCGGCAGTGGTGGTGGAAGCGGAGGCAGTGCTGGAAACAGCCCGTTGAACCACCCGCATTCCATCACCATCCTTGCCACCGGCCAGGCGCCTACGATCCCCAGCCTGCCGTCCCCAGGCGGTTCCTCACGGCGGTCGCATAAGGAGCGGCCCAAGATTCACCGGCAATTCTCGTCCGTGCCCGACGACGGCTCGGGGATCGGCCGCGAAGGCTCTTCGCCCCAGACCAACGGCGCCAGCAGCAGCGGCGTGTCGGCACAGAAGGGGTTGACCGCCAGCGGCCTGAAAATTCCCATTGCGGCTCCGTTGCCGGGGAAAACCGGCAGTGGCCGGGGCAGCATTGCCGATAGCTTGCACCAAAAAGCCAAGGGCGGCGCTGGCGATGGTGGTGCCGGGGGCAGCAGTAGCGGTGGTGGCAGTGCCGACAAGGATGGCGCCGCCGGCGGCGGCGGTGGTGGTGGTAAGAACGGCGTCTTACTTAATGGCTCGGTCAACGGTGGCAGCAACAATGCCGCCGCAGCTCGGTCGGTCACGTCGCCCCCACGGCCCATGTCGCCCATGCGCGGCAAACGGGCCAAGAAGTCGGCGCGCCCCCTCAACAATGGCAACAGCATCGTCAATGACAGCAACAAGACTGCGAACGACGACAGCCAGAACACGGTCCAGCTCGGTCCGCTGACCGTGCCGCCCATCAATGTCCTGATTGTCGAGGACAACATTATCAACCTCAAACTGCTCGAGGCCTTTGTCAAGCGCCTCAAGGTACGCTGGCAGACGGCCATGAACGGCCGCGACGCCGTTGCCAAGTGGCGTACCGGCGGCTTCCATTTGGTGCTCATGGACATCCAGCTGCCGCTCATGTCCGGTCTCGACGCAACGCGCGAGATTCGGCGCCTCGAGCGTGTCAACTCCATTGGCGTCTTTGCGTCGACGCCGAGCGACTCGATCGGTGTCGGCCGCGACCCGCAGTCCGACAAGCTGGCCAACTTGGCGCTCTTCAAGAGCCCGGTCATTATCGTGGCCCTTACGGCGAGCTCACTGCAGAGCGACCGGAACGACGCCCTGGCCGCCGGCTGCAACGATTTTTTAACAAAGGTATGCCCTGATTTACGAAGTACATTAGCCCCTTTTTTTGCCTTGGACTGACCCTCCAACTGTTTTAGCCCGTCAACTTTGTCTGGCTGGAGAAAAAGATTATGGAATGGGGCTGCATGCAGGCTCTGATCGACTTTGACGGCTGGCGCAAGTGGAAAGAGCAGAAGTTGCCTACGCAAGGGTCTTCACAGCCCGCACATTCTGTTGGCAACCACAACGGCGGCAGCGGCAGCGGCGGTGGCAGTGGCGCTAGCAATGGAAATGGACGCGACAACACCGCGTCCTCGGACGCGACACCCTCCAAGAAATCCAAACGGCTCTCGGGCCACGTCAAGCGCCCGTCCATGTCCTCGCTTAACAAGGGCGAAAGCTCCGAGACGACCAACACCGTCTCCTCGGCCGAGTCGCCCGGTCCAGGACACACGCGCACCAACAGCGGCAGCGTGGCCGCCGGGTCGGCGGGACGGTCGCCGCTGTCCAAGCCGTCCATCTCTGAGCGGCTGGCAGCAGCCTCGGCGGCTATCGAGATGGACAATGCTGCCAGGGAGCAGGACGCGTCCGAGAAGAAAGAAAAGGAGAAGAAGTAACGGCCGCGTTTTATTCAGCTTCCAGAATTACCGATCTTCCTTATCATCCTTTGTTACGCTCTTCTCTCTCTCTCTCCATTTCATCTCTCCACCTCTACTACCCGCTGCCACCCCATCTCATATTGGTTTCAAGTACAGCACGACGAGGAACATGATGCACGTATACCCACCATTTTGCCTTCTCTTTCTAGTTCTTCGTTCTCCGGGACTGCTTTCCTGTCGTCACAGTAGGACTCGGGGCGTCATAGATGTACCAATACCAACTCGCAAGCACGCAAGAGCATACAGGAAGCTTCGTTTTTTTTTTTATGTGTTTTTTTTTTCTTTTTTTAAAAAATTATTGTTCATTCTTATACCTATTAAAGAGTTTGTAAATCCCGTAATAAATTACGAAACACGAAACACGAAACTAGCAACTCAGTGCAGTTTCTTTCAGTTTTACTCCCAGTATTTGTCTTTCGACATCATGTAACATCGAGAGCACCACGGCTGATGATTTGTTTTATTTTGCTTTCGCATTATTTCCTCGTTCTTATGTCTGCCTTGCCAGAAATGCCAATCCACAATGCGACTTTGTCATGCACTATCCAGACCACATTTATCAGGGCCGTGCATACTTACGACAACTGCATGATCTTGGCCAAAATGGGACCAACAGTCGAATACCGAATGTCAAGATACTGGCCTTGGTGCGTTTGATTGGCCGTCCATGACCATTCGTAGTCGAACGGCTGAGTCTGGGGATGAGAAACACCCAACTTTGGTGTGTAGCCGACGCCGGTTTCCAACAGGGTTGCCTTCGAAACTGCCAATTGAAGCGTCAGGGACTCCGTTTGGAGAGAAACCCTTTTGGCCATTTCACGCCACGGTAACAGCGTGTGTAGACACTGTACACGTATTGATTCCATGGGCCAAGCCAGCTCCGCGATCCGATGCGGGGCTTTTGGTGCGCGTTTTGGTGACATCATCCACGTTCCAGAGCTGGAAGCCCAGAGCTTACCCCTCCAAAATGCTCTGGAAAGTTAGACGCGCCGTGCATTGCCGAGCACTGGCGGTGCTTGTTCGCTCTTGCTTGCCCAGGATTCCCACTTGGGTTTCCACGGCAGTCGCGCCCGGGCAACAGAAACTCCGGGGTGGGCAATTGCTCTTGCCCATTAGTAATTGTACTGGCCGCGTCCGAGGTACAAAGTAGCTCTCACCGTCTCGTTTCAATCGCGCTCTCTCTTTTGTGTTCGTATCGTCATTCAAGTGCACATTGTTAAAAAACGCATCTTGAGCTTCATCGCTTTTCGGTACGTTGAACGTTGGAAGGGCAGCTACATTTTTATAGCTGTCCTCTCGGCATCCTAGCTTCCCGTTACGTCTTTCGGCGACTTTTTGCTCGCATGCTAACCGACGGCGATTCGTGTGTCGTCCCAGTTTTCGACCATTACGCATAACCATAACAATGTCGACGCCTGCTGAACTCGGCCACAGTGACGTAAGTTTGGGGGGCCAGAGCGACGAGGCTACGTGCCAGGACATGGAACCGCAGACGGCTAATGTCTCCGATTGCTTTCTTTGAATAGGCCTGCTGCAATGTTCCTCCCATTGGTGAGTTCGACAGCAATACCAAGATTGTCAGGAACCATGTCGTACCTGAATTCTAACCAGCATATCAATAGTGGCCAGCGGCTACGAGATCAAGGGCGAATACAAGACCGTCGGCGATCTGAAGACCTGTATGCGAAATGCCCCTCCCCAGCGACAGCCCGTCATCCGTAGACGCTCCATGCCCCGATGACTGACGCCGCGATGTAGACGCCACCGGGCCCGATGAAGCGACCAAGGGCATCATCTATGTCGCCGACATCTTTGGCTACAAGGACCAGACGCTGCAGGGCGCCGACATCCTGTCTGTCACTGACAAGCACCAGCAGTACAAGGTCCTGATTCCGGACTGGTTTGACGGAGAGCCGGCTGCTCTGGAGATGTGCGTTTGCGCTCCGCTAGCTCATGTTTCTTACCCTTTCGTTTTCTTTCTTTTCGCCTTTTACAAAGGCGGCTTGCTAATGTTCATGACCCAACAGCTTCCCCCCGGACACCGAGGACAAGAAGGCCCGCCTGATGGCCTTCCTCGGCAAGCACCCGCCGCCGGTCACAGCCAGCAAGCTCCCCGGCTACGTGAAGGCCGCCAGCGAGGCTTACCCCACCATCAAGTCCTGGGGTGTCATTGGTGTACGTGCCTCGTGCGATTTTTTCGTCCTTCTTCTTCTTGTTTCGCTTTTTCTTTCTCTTTTTCTTATCATTCATGTTTTGCTATCTCCTTTTCCCCTGCTAACCGTTTAGTTCTGCTGGGGTGGCAAGGTCGTTTCGCTCGTCACGTCGAGCGCCGAGAACCCTTTCGCCGCCGGTGCCGAGGCCCACCCGGCCATGGTCGACGCCAAGGACGCTGCCGGCATCAAGGTGCCTCTGGTCCTGCTGGCCTCCAAGGACGAGCCCCCTGCGGATGTCGACGCCTTTGAGAAGGCCCTGACCGTGCCGCACCACGTCGAGACGTTTGCCGACCAGGTCCACGGCTGGATGGCAGCCCGTGCCGACCTGGCCGACGAGCACATCAAGTCTGAGTACGTCCGCGGCTACAAGACGGTCGTCGAGTTCTTCAGCAAGCATGTCTAAGCAAAGGGGGCTTGCGGGCGCTCTGGTGGAATTCGGCAAAATGCCATGGCAAGGCCAACAAATAACAAATTTGACAATACTGGGCAACGTGCATTTGTCTACCTCGTCCAACAGAATGAAACTCAAAATGATTCGGACTGCTATCCAGTGCTTTCTGTCGCCTCGTGTATGTCATAAGCCGTCTGAAAGTGAACAAAGGCATCTGTGAAATGTCGACCATCTGTCGTCTTGTCAAAATGCGTGCTTGATGGCCTCGCATAGCATGGGTTCTCTTGACACAAAATCCCATGGGACATAAATTGTCAGCCAAGACGCCCCTTTGCCACGGAGGCCATCCCCCTTGCAGATAGCGTCCATGGCACACGTCTTGCTCATTCGTTGCTTGCCGTCGTGGCTGCTCTGATATCTCGCTGTACAGGACGAATGCACGCTGCAGCGAATGCAAGGGGAACTCGGAAGACCGTTTCTCAGTCTTTCTTTCCTAGCATCTCGCTGCCACGCTAAAGTCTTACGCTTTTTGGCCTTGTTCGTCCCTTACCTCCCTCCACCTGTCCTGCGCTATAGGGAGGTTATTGGACCCTGGCCTCACACCTCGACTGCAACCATTGCACACGATACGTAACGCGTGTGCCTTCCATTGATCTGGGACCTGTTTCCTCACTTGCCCCGATTTGCCAACGAAAAGCCCGTTGCCGGGACGTCCTTTTCTGTTCTGTAGACGGGTTCACATTCACCTGTTAGCGACACTTCCGCCGCAGCTCAACATCCGCCTGGGTTATCGTCTTTTTGTTCAACGGTTTCTTGCTCTACCTTCCAGCGTTTGAGCCTTTTCTCGTACTTCGGTAAACCGCTACGCATGGGAACAAGCGTGACAAGAGACTCTTGGGCTTCACCCCTTTCGGATCCGTCCTAGGGTGCCGCCCGGACACTAGTTCCCAAAATGGCAACGGCAATTCTGAAAAAGGGGCCTCCACACCCAAAAGTTTCTTTTCTGCCCACCACCCCTGGACGATGGTTGTTGCCACCCCCTGCCAGCTCAACTATTCAGTTCCAAAACGACAAAGCCGTCATTTTCTTTTTGCTTTTCCTTTTCGTCCGGCAAACAAAACGGAGCCTAGAAAATGTACGAAAACTTTCTCACTGCACCTTGTCATGGAGGACCGCCCACGAATTTACAAGCAATCTGGTGATGGTATACGTTTGTGCGTCTACGTAGGGAACAACTCGATCCGTTCGTAGAAGATGCAAGTAAGATACTGCTGGCAACCGGTAGTGCCTGCCTGGGGCGCCCGTTTCAAGCCACAATCCCAATCCCTGGATGATCTTTTCTGGTTTCTGGAAAACACCAAAATGCATCGCCTCGCATTGATCTGCTCACACAACTCTCCGGGTTTACTTGGCAGTCGATCCGGCATGCCAGGAAAACTGGCTCACCACGCCCGCCAAGCAGTATCTCCTGGAATGTTTTTCGGCTCTACGAAATATTTCAGCTTGCGTCGTCACGAAACCGCCGCTTCCACTTGTGGGCTCCTTCCCCGTAGCTGCACTAGATCTTGACGTCCATTCTTGGGTCGGGGTCTGGGTCTTACGGACCCCGTCTTTCCTTCCTTCACAGGCCCGGAGGCTCTCATCGCTCACAAAGCCACTTAACCCAATGAGACCTGCCCCCTGTTCCCACTCTTATTGCGCCGCCCACGGCAGGTACCACTGACGTCCACCTACCATTCTCGCTTTCCACCTGCCTTCCCCCCTTGCATCTTGTGTCGTGCGTGTTGCGCCCTCCCGTCGCTCTTGCCTGGCATTTTGTAGTCGACCATCCAAGCCATCGTTGTTACCCTGTTAATGCTTCGGTTTTCTCGCTTTCCCTGACCATTTTTACCAGTGAGCAGTTCCCATTGGCGTGTTCTAAAAGCTTGTCACTCGCTCTTGCCCCATACTCAGATCTGTCCTGCATTCCACCCATCACTGTGCCGAACGTCTGGGACCCATCTGCCACTGCATAACAAAATAATAATAACAGTCTTCTCCCACCCGCCACGAAATCAAAACACTTATTGCATCTGGCATCAAACAAACACCCTGCATACTTTCCAGTATTCTGAACATTCTTGCGAAACAGAAGACGCCTGGCCATTCCAAAGCAGTCTCCGGACCCGTCCAGCTAGCCAAGTCGCCGGCCAAAAAAAGAAAAAAAAAGAAGAAAAAAAAAGGATACAAACGCTACCAGCAGCGTCGTAACCTCATCTCCCCCGCCCGGACCACCCTGCCTCTTTCTTTTCTTTCTCCCGCTGCCTCCTGTCCCTGACCCCGACTGCCCCCATCGTCCGTCGACTGTCCAACGTTTTCCTCCCCTGGCTTCGATTCTCGAATTTACATCGTGTTGTTGGCGTCCCATTGTCTTTATACTCGCCATACTCGCAGCCTGCAGCCGCCAGAGACGCTCGCCCAGCTGTTGATCTGAACTGTCTTACTCCTGCACGTGGAGAGCTCTCCACCAGGCTGTGCTTTGAGCTTCCCGTTCATTGCGATCGACCAATCTTCACCAAAACGGATCTTTGTCACTCTGCGCAAGCAAACAAACACTCGATTTGCCGACGCACTATCGCCCCAACCTGCAAGCACTGTCTATCAGCCCGTCAGGTCCTTGCTCAGAAAAGGCGTCTACTCGTGTGCCCATAGCCAGAGCTCCTTTAGTCCACCGCCATCGCTTTGCATTGTGTCTCCTTCTCCTGACATCGCCGAATCATACCGTCTGACGCATCCTCTGACCTCCAAAGGTTTATTTCACACCGCCTCCCCAACGCAGCCATGCCGGCCAGAACAAACGGGTCGGCGACGACCGCTCTGGCGACAAAGCCCAAACGGTTCGAGTTGCCCGCGCTTGATTTCAAATTCGGGTCCCTGACCGATGGCACCAACATCCCGCCGCCCTTGCCGTCGCCAATTGAAGAGGAGCCGTCGGAATTGAAGCTCAAAGAGAACAAGCCGAGTGCCACCAGCAGCAGTAAGACCAACGGAGCCCTGCCCGGTGCCGATGATGCCACCTCCAACTCTCTCTCCTCCCCAACGCGCCCCCTCGGCCGCGCGGGCCTGAAGCGCCCTGCGGATGACATCCCGGCCTCACCCACGCTGTCCTCGCGCCCCGGTAGCATCCGGCGCCTCTTCAGCCGGAATCTCCTAAACACCGCATATGCTAACGCTGAAGGGAACGAAGGCCACCTTCCCACCTCCAACAGCACCGCCACAGTCCCTGGCAGCATCATACGCCCTGAAAGCCGCAGCGACGGCAGCATCCTGGACGAGCGCAAGGCCCGCCGTTCCAGCGGCTGGTTCCGCCGGTTACGAGGTGGTGGCACCGGAGACAGCCTGGCCAGCTCAAGTGCAAGCATCAACGGCGGTGCACCGTCGTCGCCGTTGTCGAAGCGCTCGAGCGTCTTGTTTGCAGATGCTAAGAAGCCGCGGCCGCAACCGCAATCACAACCGCAACCGTCGGCAAAGCCCGCAGGCCCACCACCGCCCATGATCCCGGAGCTCGGCGAGCTCGAGGCCAAGGTTGATCTGGACGAAGGCAGCCTCGGTGGCGACCTGTTCAAAAATATCAAATAAGCTTTCTCGGCGCCTTCACACCCAGATTCCCAACGGCTTTTAGCACACACCCGACACCGGCGACAATATACATTCGCAAGCCCAGCGCAACGATATACTGTCTTCCACGCACATCGTCTTTACGCAACTTTTCATATCCCTTACTCGACCCCGGGTTTTCCTCTCTTTATTGCCAAAGGCGTAATCTAGCACAACCAACACCACAGCCACCCAGCACACTTTCATTTCTTAACACAACCTCATTCTTTCTTAGACCTAACCCGCTTACATCGACATCACCGACGCGCTGTTGCCGCACCCGAGTACAATAAGGCAGGGAAAATTCAAAATACAGGGAGAGGAGAAAAGGTGGATAAGTGATACCCGAGGTCGTTCACCGGCATCGCACGAGGAATGCTCTCCTTTTTGTTTTCTATTGTTCTGCTTTTTTTTTTTTTGCCACTTGTTTTATAAATATGTTTACCCCCCCGTGTTTTGATGGCATTCTCCTTTTCACCCACACATTTTGTATTACACCTTATTTGTTTTCGTTTTGTTCTTTTTCTCTCGCATCGACAGCCTTTATTGCTATACCTCTCTTATGTCAGTTTCATGTTGTATTGGGGGTTGTCTTGCGATTCTTGGCGGTGCCAATCCATTCGTTTGATTGCTTTCCCTGTCCTGTTCTTTACTTCACAGTGGCCCATGAAGTCTGGTCAGCCCGGTATGCCAAAGGCTATCAGCATGACCACGACTGGCTGGTCCATACGCCCACAGAATTTGATACCGGGCATCATGTTGCTCCCCTGTTACGGCTTCTCAACAACCCACCGATCTCGTTGGACGTCTCTTTGCCCCTCGTGAGTGACTTGCCGATTGACGGAGTTTCTTCAAATGTTCTACATGATTGGTACGGCCAAGGTGTATGTGGTGTCATTGGACGGACCCGTTTTGGCAGCGTTGCGTTCCGCGCTTTGACCTCCAGTCTTTTTTGTTTGTAAGATGCGTTGATATGCGGAGACTGATTCGTGCAAGAAGCGGCACACTCTGCAGGCGGGTCAAGACTTTATGCCGTGCGAGCGTCTGCGTGGATGGGAGACGACGTGGACATGGGCAAGGTGCCTTCCGCAAGTAGAGAAAAGAAGAACCAAAGAAGACGGAAGAACGGATGAAAGTATCAAAGCGCTTCCCTTAGATAATAAATAATACACATTTTGAAAGTCAATATCGTACTCTGTTCCTCCCGACTTTTGAGCTATTGATTTATGACCACGTGACCCGCTGCGAAAGTGGTAGGAACCGTTGGAATACAGTGCCTAGTGCATACTGTCGGTGCTGTTTGACAGCTCTTCATTCGCTAGAGCTTAAGCTCAGTTACCGAACAATGCCGTCATCGCATCAGACGATTTTTGAATGGCACACATGGACAAGGTCAAGTAACGGCCAATTCTTTCGGCCAACCATATATATACCGACAAGAGTGGTTTTGATCAACGCTCTTGGTACAAGAAAACAGAATATATAACGCCTTTGCACACGTCTCTAAAAGAAGCAGACGTCATGGCTGCCGCTCTTGCTCGCCCGGCCCGGTTGCCGATGCGGACGACGACATCCGTTGCTGCGGCTTGGAGACCCATCGTTGGGACACAGATGCAGACACAGCGCAGCCCCATGCTGCAGACCGGTGTCCGGTTCAAGTCCGGGCCCTACGGCTACACGCAAGCCAAGGCTCTCGTTTTTTCCAAGTTGGGCGAGCCTGCCGATGTTCTGAGGTACGCGTCTGACGTCTGACGTCTGCATATATCATTGGTTATGCTCCTACTGTAATGCTGACGTCCTTTGCTTCTCAGCGTCCACACACACTCCATATCACCCACACTGCCGCCCAATGCGGCGCTGCTGCGCACCCTGGCGGCACCCATCAACCCGGCCGACATCAACACGGTCCAGGGCACGTACGGCGCCAAGCCGACGTTCTCGGCACTGATTGGGACCGCCGAGCCGTCGTCTGTGCCCGGCAGCGAGGCCTGCTTCGAAGTTGTCTCGGTCGGGTCCGGGGTGACCACCCTCAAGCCCGGCGACTGGGCCCTGCCGGCCGCCCCCGGCCTCGGCACCTGGCGCACACATGCTCTGGTGGACGATGCAGACGCCAGCCTCGTCGGCATCCCCAGAGACAAGCTGGACGGACTGACGCCGGCGGCGGCGGCCACGGCCACGGTCAACCCCTGCACGGCGTGGCGCATGCTGCGCGACTACGTCGACCTCGTCGCGCTCAGCGTCCGCGCGGGCGCGGGTGCCTGGTTCATCCAGAACGGCGCCAACAGCGGCGTCGGCCGGGCCGCCATTCAGCTCGGCAAGCTGTGGGGCCTGCGCAGCATCAACGTCGTCCGCGCACGCGACACGCCCGAGGCGACGGCGGCGCTGCGCCGGGAGCTGACCGACCTGGGCGCGACGGTTGTGGTGACCGAGGAGGAGCTGCAGGAGCGCGGCTTTTCGAGCGGCCGGCTCCGCAGCGACGAGCTCATGGCCGACACGGAGAGCCCGCTGCTGCTGGCGCTCAACTGCGTGGGCGGGCGGCCTGCGCTGGGACTGGCCAAGTGCCTGTCGGACGGCGGGCGCATGGTGACGTACGGCGCGATGGCGAAGCAGCCCCTCACGATCCCGGCGGGCCTGCTGATTTTCCGGGACCTGGCCTTCCACGGGTTCTGGTTTAGCCGCTGGGGCAAGGCGGACCCGGCCGGGCGTCGGCAGACCGTGGAGGCGGTGCTGGACCTGATGCGGACGGGCAAGTTTTTGCCCGGGCCGGCTGAGGAGATTCCCTGGACGTGGGAGACGGAGCCCGAGACGCTAAACAAGGCTGTGGCAGGCACACTGGAGGGCTACCGGTCCGGCAAGGGCATCTTTGTATTCAAGGATACATGAGAGAGCTGCGGACGCAGAAAAGTTTGTACATATGGTTTCACAGCTCACAGTACGTCTTTCGACAATGGGATACTGTCTTATTCATAATTTCATTTGCTCACAATAAAAGGGAGGTCGAAGGGGAACAGAGACAACCGGAAAGTTGAACAATAGAAGCTAAAAGATAAAAAATGGGAAACCAACGAGCATCCTCCTTCTCGCGCTGCCGATCTATGCTGAGGTAAAACAAATACATGAGGATGCACAAACATAATCCAGAAAGACGCAACGGTAAGAAAAGGGAAACAGGGCACAGTGCGATAGGAGGAACCTGGTGAAAAATGGAAACGGGGCGGTAAAATGGCAAGGGGGGTTGCTAGGCGGAGGAACGAAAATGTAGAAAAGCAAGCCGTAGATCTAGCGGCCAATCGGTCGGCTCGTTGGTAACGATATACAATAGGCCGCATTCTCGCGGCAGCCGCAGAGCAGTTACCGAAGCTTCTGCCGTCGTCCATGGACGACTACGCTCGACTCGCCAGCTAGGGGGGGTTTCTGGACAACCAGCATCCTATTGCTCCTGGGGCATCGCATACTGCTTCGTCCACAGCCGTGCCGTTTCTACGGCGGCCTTCTCGTCCTCCTTCCATGCCTTGGCGACATCGGGCGCGAGCGGGTCGTCGGGGTTCGGGGCGCCGAGCAGGGCCTGGATCGAGAGCAGAATGGTGCGGATTTGGAGAGCAGGAGACCAGTTATCTGAGAGCGGAGGAGTTAGTATGCTATGTCTCTGCTGCCATACCGACTCCAAAAAAAAGTCAAGTCAGGAAACGAGGCCTACTCTTCAACACGTCCAGGCAGATACGGCCCAGCTTGTCGACGTTGGGATGGTACAGCTTGGTCAGGAAGCGGATCTTGGGCGGCGTCATCGGGTAGTCGTCGGGCAGGAACAGCTCCAGCTTGAACACGCCACCTGTGGAAAGGAAGAGCAGTCAATAAACGATATTCCAGACAAAGATATGACAAAGATATCTCGGGGCCGGGGGACGATAGACACTCACCCTCGTACGGAGACTGGGACGGGCCATGGATCTCGACGTCAAAATACCGAAGGTTGTCAGAGTGAGGAACGGCGCTGATACCGGGTACACTGTAGACGAAGGAAGTCACATGGTCAGCGTCATAAGTTGTCTTGACATTCACAGGCCATTGTCGAGGCTGGCCACGCGATGTCGGCCGGCTGCGCCGGTTGCGCAGAAGAGGCGAACTTACGGCTCGGCCATCAGCCGCTCCGTCTCCTTGATAATTCTCTTTGGCAGGGCCATGACGTGCGACTGTGAGGATATCGGTGGTCGCGTGGAAGCGGATAGTCGCGTGTCGTGTGTTGCAGCGTTGAGACGAGGCAAAAAGCACGTTTTCGTCGGGCTGCGTTTGGCGGAAGAGGCGGGGTTGCCAGTGCGGTACCTCTTTGGTATGGTCTTTCTTTTGCAGTACGCTTGCGAGCGATGTGTCGTCTGCTGCTGCTGACGTTGTCGTTTCTGCTGTTGTGGTGTAGTTGGGAATATTGTAGAATCACAAAGCAATGTTTTGTCCATTCGTTTTGTTTGATCGCGAGGAAAGAGGGTAGCGAGGTTCGCTAACGGCGCACCAACTCCGTCCAACTGCGCCCCACAGGAGGGAGAGACAGGCACAGGCTGGTCAGAGCACAAGGCTCCCCACCATGCGTGCGTTTTGGAACGAGCCCCACACCTGTAGGTTCCCAGTCGGGTCACCTGGGATTTGCATTGTGCCTTGTGCAGGCGCTGGAAAATGTACAGTGCGAACAAGATGACAACTGAGGAGCTACCTGTGAGATGCTCCATCGCTCCCTTAAATGCCCACTGCACTGTCATGGACAGTGTGTGGAATATCTTCCACACAGTCCGACTTAGTGCTCTTGCTGTAAAAGGAAAGCTCCCCATTCTACGAATAAGTATCCCGTCGCGAACTTCAGCAATCTGAAGCTGTCGACAACCGTCCAAATCGACACGCGACCTCTTCACCCTGACAACAAAAGCACATCCCCTACAGCCACCTGTCTGCCGCCGCACGTCCCCGACACGACACCCCGGGCGATGGACACTCCAAACTAAGCCCTGGTCCGTCTCCTGCGAGCAGCGTCCCATTCGGTCGCATCGGCAGCCATGGCGTCCGATCTCGACGATTCGGACGGCTCCGACGACTCGCTGCACCGGACCAAGATCATAAATTCGGCCTTTGACAGCGATAGTTTCGACTCCGATGGCACGATTCACGTCGAAGGCCTTGTCGGGTCGGCGACCATCTCACCCTCGGGCCGCGATGTCGCATTAGCATCGTGAGTTTTGTAGTGCGAGTTTTGCACTGCAACATAGCCCAGCTCCCCATTCTACACACAATCTAACTCTGAACGTCTCTCAGCCCCGACGGCCTAGCCATCATCGATCTTGACTCGCCCTACAATGCCCCACGGCGGGTCAAGAGCCACGGCATGCCCTGGCTCGTCGTTGACGTGCAATGGTCGCCCTTTGCGGCCCGCGACTATTGGGTCGCCTCGACGGCCAACCACTGTTGTCTCGTTTGGAACCTGAACCGCCCCGACGACTCCAGTGCCGGTGCCGTCGAGCACTCGCTGCGTGGCCACCGCCGCTCCATCACCGACATCAACTTCTCCGCCCACCACCCGGACATGTTGGCCACCTGCTCTGTCGACGGCTATGTGCATTGCTGGGACCTGCGTCGGCCCAGCACGCCGGCTCTGACGTTCATCGACTGGGTCGCCGGTGCCACGCAGGTCAAATACAACCGCCAGGACGACCATGTCATTGCGTCGTCGCACAACCGCTGCGTTCACATCTGGGACGACCGCAAGGCGTCTCTGCCACTGCGCACCATCGAAGCGCACACGTCGAAAATCTACGGCCTGGACTGGAACCGGACAAACAGCACGTCGTTGGTGACCTGCTCGCTCGACAAGACCATCAAGTTCTGGGACTACACCGTGCGTGGCGCAAACGACGGTGCCAGCAGCTTTGACGGCAACAGCGTAACACCCATGGGTACTCTCGGCCCCATCAACGAAGACGACGTGCCCGAGCGTATCATCAAGACAAGCTTCCCTGTCTGGCGCGCCCGTCACACACCCTTTGGTGGTGGCCTTCTTGCAATGCCGCAAAATGCGCCGGGCAACCTGTACCTCTACGACGCCCGGCCGTCTGCCATGCTGGCCGCCGAGGACCCCGCGACCTTGAACGATCCCGTCGCCGTTTTCCCGGGCCACGGCCACCACAAGGTCAAGGAGTTTTTGTGGCGCTCACGGGGTGGCATCGAAGACGGCCTCGACAACCGCGACTTCCAGCTCGTGTCCTGGGGCGAAGACAACAAGCTGCGTCTCAGCCGCCTCGACGGCAACGACCTGGGCACTGTAGGCTACCAGCGTGGCCGCCCTGCGCCCAAGAACCTGAATATCACGCGCAGGGGCGCCTCCTACAAGACCTTCCGCATCCTCGAAGACATTGGCGACTATGAGAAACGAAGCGCTACTATGAGCAGCCTTCGACCTGGCAGCCATAGAGGAACGGTCTCCTTGCCGGCCAGCCAGGGCGTAAGCCGACGGCCATCGCCCACGCCAGAGGACGATCACCACCACCACCATCACCATCATCACCACGGCCACGGCTATAGCCATAGCCAAAGCCATCACCACAACAACCTTCACAGGCATCAACAGTCCCGCCATCACAGCCACCAGCACCCGCCAGAACCACCCACCAAGGGCTCGTCTCCGTCTCTGCCCCCGCCGCGCTCGCTCTCCAGCAGCAACATTATGCGCGACGACGTCGCATCACCAACGTTGACGCCACAGCGAGGCAAGTTCGAGCAACGGCCTTCATGGAGGAACCCGTCGATGCGCGCCACCCAAGTTGCGGGAGCGAAGAACCCGGACCAGAGCAACGTGCAGCTCGACTGGATGAAGGGCGTCTCCATGAACAAGCGCAAGACAAGCACCGAGCCGGCCCTCACGTCGAGCCAGGAGCAGCTCTTGGACTCACAGTCTCTCGATGCGCAACGCAAAGTCTCGACCGACTCGGCCCTGTCTTCGCCCCTGCAGATGTCCACCCATGACGCATCCATCTCCATGAGCAGCGATACCAACAACGAGCCCGAGTCCATACAGGAGGAGATTGTGCGCATCACGGACAAGCTTCCGCGCGTCAAGTGGGAGGAACTCGACATGGACAACTTGACCCTGGTCGCCTCTCTGAAAGGGCCATGGGGCGGCGACAGCCAGACTGTGTTTATCAAAGTTCGCGTCATGGTGCCGCCCGGCTATCCCAGCGCTCGTTCGCCGCGCTTCTATATCGAGAACAGCTCGCTTGTTCCTGAGGCCACGCAGGAGAAAATTGCAGCGGACCTCTTTATGCTGACGGCCGAGTATCTGAAGCGACGGAGCAACTGCTTACTCGTTGCGTTCCGCTACCTGCTCGGCGAGGTCGACCTACAGAGCAGTCTGGCTCTTCTCAACCGCGCCCTGACGAACCCCCGACTGGTCAACGACGAGAGCGCCTCGTCCTCGTCGAGCGACGACGACGACGATGACGTGGAGACCGCCAGGAATGCCTTCCTGTCGCCCATCCAAGCCATCGGTTCCGAGATCATGATTGGCCCCATGCTGCCCCTGCCGCCGCCGCCGCCGCCTCGGAGCTGTGGTGCCGTCTTCACGCGGGACGGCCGCATCGTCACCTTCTTCCTCACCAAAGCCGGCAAAGCTAGTGCCAAGATTATGTTTGAAGCCCCTTCCCCTCCGACACGCGACGAGCTCGCCGAGCTCGAGCAGCCCGTCTTCATCGGCTTTGGAAAAGTTCTCCCGCCACGCTCGCGCACCCGTGGCTCGTCGCGGCGGCAGGTCGAGGGCGCCGAGTGGCACGACGGTTCGTCGTCCTCGGATGAGTCCGACTCGTCTTCTTATTCGGACGGATCGTCCGGCTCGTCATCGTCGTCGTCGTCAGGGGATTCATCGAGCTCTCGTAACCACTATTCGCCAACCAACCTGATGGATCCGTGGAGCACAAACATGGGCTTCCAACGTCGCATTGTCCGCAGCGGAAAATCGGACCGCAAGAGACAAGCCAGCGAATTTGACGACAACGATAGCGACTCGCTCGCCCGGTCGGGCACGCTCGACCCCGGCCTGCCCGTGGGGCCCAAGAGCACCGTTGCCATCGAAGACATGCGGCCGTACCTACCGTCCAAGCGCGATCTGGCTCGTGATTATGCCATCTTTGGCGACGGCGCCGACGTCTGCCAGCACAATGCGCGCGTGGCTGAAAAGTACGGCGAGGCCGACCTCGCCAACATCTGGCGCTATGCGGCCCTGCTGCTCAAGTCGGATGTGCCGCTGCGACTGGCGTCCATGTACGACGACTCTGGCCAGCGCAAAAAGTCCATCCTCGTCATCGCCCGCGAGGCCGTTGCCGATGCGAACAACCACGACACGGACAACGATGCGCCAGACCAAAGTCTTCTCATCCCAAAGTCACGCTCTCGCGACACGTTCTCAGGTCGTGTGAAATGGGGCCTGCATCCATTGGCCCGTGACTTTGTCGACGACCTCTTCGATTACTTTGAGCGACTGGCCGACATCCAGATGCTCGCCATGCTGTCGTGCGTCTTTGGCGAGTCCTTTGAAGAAGACAGCGTGGCTTACGCCGAGTCACACTTGTCAAAATCCGACACACCACTTCCTATGAAGGCCCCTTCCTTCTCGCTCGACTATGTTCCCACGACTCGAGGCCATTTCAGCGCGGCACCACCGCCCCGTCTTGTCCTGTCCGGCGCCAGCACACCCGGCGGCTTCGGCTCCGGCAGCAACGGCAACAGCATGCCCCCGGCACCGGGCGCTGTCGTCTACGACGGATCGATTGACCCGGACAATGACTTTGACGATGAGTTTGACGACTATGAATATGACACGGTCATGTGGGGCAACGGCACGCATGTGAACGGCCTCTCACAGAACAACTCGTACTCTGGTGGTGAGACACCGCCAAAGTGGCTAGTCGGCAGCGCTCCTAACGGCGGCAGTGGCACCGGGAGCGGTATGCTCTCGTCGTCTCCCCTGTTTGGTGCTGCAGCCGGCCGTTTCTTGCGCCGGGGCAACAATGCGGTCGTGTCGGCCATTGCTGCCGGCATCCCGCAGACACTGACCACTCTCCTGTCGTCCTCACCCAACGATCGTAGCGATGGCGGCCCCGTCCCCGTGTCGACACCACCAGCGTTGTCCCGGCGCCAGTCCTTCTTCGACTCGGCACCCCCGTCCCAACGGCCGTCTCCACAAGCCCGCTCCTCGTACCTTGGTGCCAACCTTCACGGCGGCCAGGCAGAGAGGTTGCAAAACAGACAGCAGCAGCCGCCTCCGCAACAGCAGCAAGACCCGCTTGTCCTTCACTCGCAATCAGCGCACCGCGACATACCCTTCCCAACATCCGTCTCCCAGCGGCTCCTCGGCGTGTCAACGTCGACATCACCCCGAAACACGTCCGCTCTCGGCAAGCTCTCGTCACTGTCCTCCTCCCCCCAAGACCAGGCTCCAATCCGCAAACGACCGAGCCCCGCCGAGACCATTTTTAGCAACTTGACGGCAGGCAACCTTACTTGGGCGGCCTCCGCCTTGTTCGGCGGTGGCGGCGGTGGCAATGGTGCCAACAGTGGCGGTAGTGCGGGCCCTTCCACCGAACCCGGGACGGCGGCGACGTCGGTCTCGGACGAGGGCCGCCGCCGCGAACAGGCCATTGCGGATGCTGCCGCCAACGCTGTGGCCAAGGGTGTCAAGGCGCAGGCGGAAGCAGCAGCGTCCAACATGGTCGCCGTCGACGTGCTCGTGCGCACGTACAACGACCACCTCTTTGACGATGACGGCTGGATGGTGGCATCTCTGCTGGGCGGGAAGCGTCGCCGCCGCCTGTACGCGGAATACCGGTACGCCTACTCGGAACTGCTGCAAGTATGGTCGGAACCTCTAGCACGCCTCGAGGTCCTCAAGTTCAACGTCCTGCGGGAGGATGCCATGAAGGCGGCGGCCGCCCGCAACGACGACGACGTCAATACCAATGCCATCGACGCGGACGGCACCAATGCCAACACCAGCGCCAACGCCAACGCCAACGCCAACGCCAACGCAGACGAGGATGCTTGTCTGCCGTCGGCATCGCTGGGCAACAACACCAAGCACGACCGGCTCTTGGCCGTGCGTAACTCTGGCCGCGGCCTCGATGCCGTTGGCATCTGCGAATACTGCGAACTACAGCTTGAGCCGCTCGAATACGATTCCCGCGCCGCACTGACGGTTTCCAGCGGCGTGGGCAGCAAACTGGGCGGTGCCGTCGGCGTCTGCCGCCGCTGTCGCCGCGCGCGGTCGCAGCTGCGCTGCGTCTACTGCACCGAACCCGTCGACGCCATCTACATGCCGTGCTTTGGCTGTGGCTGCGCCAGCCATCCGCGCTGTCTTCGGGCGTGGTATGACGCCGGCGAGCGCCTGTGCCCGGCCGGTGACGAGTGCGATTGTGCAGAGGAAGCGACGTCCGGCCGCATCGAGAGCTGGACGGCCATGCAGGCGCAGCTCGCCAGTGGCGAGGGGGTGGGCCTGGCACATGGTGGTGCAGGCAACGTCAGCCATTTGCCGTCGACCAGTGCGGACGCGGTACAGCAGCCGGCCGAGCTCGCGAGCACCAAGTCGCGCGGTCTCATTGCCCAGGCCCGGCGGTCAGCGCACTATGCCTCGTCGTCGTCGTCGGCCATGCTCGTGTCGCCATACGGGCAGCACTACCATGCCGACGGCGAGGGCCATGCCAGTCCCCGCGGCGGCAAGAACAGCAATCGCGCCAGAAGCATGCGCCATGTCTCCCTGTCGTCCTCGTTGGGCTACTACGACGACCCCAACGACGTGTTTGGCAACAACATGCTGGGAGCCGATTCCCTGGGCCGGGGCGGTTCAGGTTCAGGTTCAGGTTCAGGTGCTGCAAATACCACCAGCGACAACACCACCAAACCGCCCGTCACGACGACGACCAACAATACGGGCGGCGGTGGTTTCTGGGGCAGCAACCGCCGGTCCAAGCCGGCTTCGTCGGGCCTCCGCCAGCAGCTGCAGCAGCAGCAGATGGAGTACAAGCAACAGAGCGGTGGATCGCAGAGACAAACCAGCATGCAGCACGACGCCCGCCATGCACGACGGGGCCGGAACCAAGAGCAACAGCAGCAGCAGCAGCAGCAATCCTCACCTCATACACCCGAGACGTCGTCCCAGGGCGGTAGCCTCGTCTCCTCTGCAGGTCCCTCTGGTGGAGAAAGCCAAGCCGCGTCGTCCGCCTCGACCAGCGGCGGTGGCGGCCCCTTGTCGGCAGCGCGTCTGAGCCTCTCCAGCCGACTGCTGCGGAGCTCTGCGCTGCGTCGGCAGGCGGCGTCCAGCAGCCCGTCCAGCAGCACCGCCGGCGATCCGAGCGGCAAAGACAACGGCCATGAGGCTAGTGACAGCCCTCATGCGTCACAGTAGTCGATGCTCGGTCTCGGGTGTCAACACTCCATTTTTTTTCAATGCATTTTTGTTTTATTTGATCATTCAGTCAGCGGGTGATGCGGACAGGGCGTTCTGCTATGCGATATGTTCTACGATACCTTTGTGTGTTTCGCACCTGTTTTCTCTTGTTGTATTAGTATATTGTACAATAATAATTTTACTGGAACAATTGTTTCCGGGAATGTGAATGTTCATGTATAAAATTTCTTGTTCTAAGAATAATAGTTGAAACCCCTTAATATGAGTCTCAAATAAGTTACCCAAGTCTTTAAAAAGTCCACATCTTACTATTAGATAGCCCTCGTAAAGATCCAACCTGAAGGGAAAGAGATGACTTGGAAGAATATCATGTGAGTGATTTGCAAGACCAATTCTCGTTGACAAAACGTTAAATTGATCTCAGGCTCAAAAGCAGTCCAGGACGGTTTGGAGCTCGTGAGGCTACGACTTCGACAGGACGACATACTTTGGCGGTGAAGGATAAAGTGGCGCTAGTCCGCGATAGGACGATATTCCTAGCGAGCAGCCGCGTGCCAGGTGGCAGGCTTTACACGCGACACCTGGCAGGCAAACCACTTTAATAGGTGGTCCACACAAAGGTCTCCACTTTATTTTCCCTCCTCCCCGCCAAAAGTTTTCTGAACTTTTTTAGATTTTTTTTTGCACGGCAGAACTTGACCATTTTTTTGTTGGACCCTCACCCTCGCCGACTTTTCGAGTTCGACGACGACCACCTGGCGTTTTCGACTTCGGCTCCCTCTTCGACGTCGTCGACCACGCTGTCTCAAGGGCACATTTTTACACAGCCGCACAATCACCCACACAGTCGACATCTCGAATCATCGCTTTCACAATGCGGACATCCTGGAAAGACATCCCGCCGGTGCCGACGCAGGAGGAGTTTGTCGACATCATCCTGTCGTCGACGCAGCGGCGGCTGCCGACCCAGATCCGTGCGGGCTTCAAGATCTCGCGTATCCGGGCGTTCTACACCCGCAAAGTCAAGTTCACGGCCGAGGCCTTTGCCGAGAAGCTGACGTCGATCATCACGACGTTCCCCCGTCTGGCCGACCTGCACCCATTCCGTAAGTTGCCTCTCACTGCCAGTTCTCTTCTCGGACCGTACTGGGGCGTAATGCTAACTCCTCCCAGACAGCAGCCTGTTCAACGTCCTGTACGATGCCGACCATTACAAGATCGCCCTGTCGCACCTTTCGGGCGCCAAGAACACCATCGAGACGATTGCCCGTGACTACGTGCGTCTGCTCAAGTACTCGCAGTCGCTGTACCAGGCCAAGACGCTGAAGCGTGCGGCGCTGGGCCGCATGTCGACGCTCATGCGCCGCCTCAAGGACTCGCTGGCCTACCTGGAGGAGGTGCGCCAGCACATTGGCCGCCTGCCGTCCATCGACCCCATGACCCGCACGCTGCTCGTGTTCGGCCTGCCCAACACGGGCAAGTCCAGTTTTGTGCGCAGCGTCTCGCGCTCCGACACCCCTGTCGACTCGTACGCCTTCACGACCAAGAGCTTGTTCTGCGGCCACTTTGACTACGACTACCTGCGGTACCAGGTGATTGACACGCCCGGTGTCGTCGACAAGCCGCTCGAGGACATGACCACGATTGAGATGCAGTCCATCTCGGCGCTGGCCCACATCAACTGCGCCGTGCTCTTCTTCCTGGACCCCTCGGAAAACTGCGGCTACCCGCTGGAGACGCAGTGCGCGCTCTTCAAGAGCCTGGCGCCCATCTTCGCCCAGCGCTCCGTGTACCTGGTCAGCAACAAGTCGGACATTCTCCGGCTCAGCGACCTGGACCCGGCGGCCCGCGCCCAGATCGACGGCCTCGCGCAGGCGTCACACGTCGTGGGCACGCTGGAGCTGTCGTGCGCGACGGGCGAGGGCGTGACGGAGCTCAAGAAGACGGTGTGCAGCACGCTGATTGCGGACCGTGTGGCCAAGAAGATGACGGCGGCACAGGCGTCGGCCGGCAAGGAGGGCACGCGCGGCGAGGCGGTGCTGCGCCGGATCCACGTGGCGTACCCCAAGGACGCCGAGGGCAACCCGCTGCCGCGCGGCGAGGTTGTGATCCCCGACACGATCAAGGCGCACCGCGCCAGCAAGAGCACGGGGGCGGCGGCGGCGCCGCCGACCGTCAGCCGCGAGAAGCAGCTCGAGGCCGAGCAGGGCGGTGCCGGCGTGTACAACTTTGACATGCGCCGCGACTACGTGGGCATCGACCCGGAGCACCAGCACGACCGCATGCCGGAGATCAAGAACGGGCAGAACGTGCTGGACTTTTACAGCCCGGACATTGTCGAGAAGCTGGCGGCGCTGCAGGCCGAGGAGGCCAAGCTGATTGAGGAGGGCTTCTACGACTCGGACTCGGGCGAGGGCGACGACGGCGACGAGAACTTTAGCGACGAGGAGGATGTCCTGGCCAAGGCGGCCATCATCCGCGAGAAGCTGGCGCTGATCCGCAACGATTCGAAGCTGCGCAAGCGGTCGCTCAAGAACAGCGCGTTCCTGCCGCGCTCGGCTCTGTCGCGGGCGGCGGACCACAAGAACGCGGTGCGCGGCCGCGACGGCGGCGCCGACGACAACGACGACGACGACGACGAGATGATGGACGTCGATGCCGACGAGGCCATGGACGAGAAGGTGCTGCAGGCCGTCAAGACAGCCAAGCTCAAGAAGTTGGGCCAGAAGACAATGAACCGGCATGCCCGGCAGGGCGAGGCCGACCGGCACATTGCGCCGTCGCTCACAAAGCATTTGGTATGTAGCCTGCCTTTTCTCTCCGTTCTCTATTTCTTTTCTGTTTTGGGCATCCACTAACACACCATGCAGCTGGTTGGCAAGCGTGGCATGGGCAAGACGAACCGTCGTTGATCCGATCGCTTGGACCTTTTCACGATGTTTGAGTTTTTCAGATACATCTTTTTTTGGGTTGTACTTCTTGCTGGCTTTTTTATTCTCCTTCGTTTTTGTTATAGAAACCCTCGTGGGACATCAAGCACACGGGACGGCGACACGACAACATTAGGCGTTATGTTTTTATGTTTATGTTTTGCCCATCCTCTTTCAAAAGCAATGCCACAACGATACGATATTCACCTTAACGAATTGCCTAGAGTGCCTTGCTTGGATGTCTCGTACTCTATGTTTATAATATCACGTGTGCTGCACCCTCGAAGAATTTGCGCACCTTTGGACTACTGTTGTGGAACGACAAATCATCTGCAAGTACTTCGTACGACGCGCGACGTTACTGAATGACGGTACACGTCACTGTCCGTCTTGATTCGTGTCGTGCAGACGTGCTTTACGGACGAAAGACGGAGAGTGACAGGGCAGCATAACACCAGCCGCTATCCTGGTCCCGGCCTGCATCTGCCCTGTCAAACTGCCCTTTGTCTTGTCTCGTGCCCTGTGTCTCGTGTATATCTTGGCCTTTTCAATGAGACATTAAATCGTATAGGGGGAACGAGGACACAGAATGCGCATTTTGTACCCCATATATGATCGTATTCGGGCGTCCATTGAAACGCTGCAACATTGAACCACTGAGACGCTGGAGAAGCGTTGGACATACAAAGTGGCGCGGCTGCCCAAGCTCGGATCACGACAGTCTGCTTGGATGGAATGTCATAAATCCAAAAAAGTGTCGAATCGAGACAAAATAGGAACCATTTTTGTTGACAGCGTCGTATTCGCGCATCTCGGACGTTGGCTGTGGGTTGCCAGCCTCTTCCTCTTCCAGCCTTCCTTTTGCCGTCGTTAGGCCACGAAGCTCTACAGACAAGCTTAGGTTCTGACCAAGGCGCGCCGGACACCTACGGGCCAGGGTGCCCCTGTAAAATGGCTGGAGGGAGGTCACTCTGGTGCAGCGTTTACGTCTCCTGGTCTCCTATGCTGTTGCTTTTTTTAGGTGGCAATATGCTTCTTTATTTTTGGTGCGTAAATTTTGCAGCGCTATCCCACGCTATCCCAGGTGAAGGCACGCTATCCTGTCTCGATCTGACAAAGGTGGCGGGCGATTGCAAACCCCGATCAATGGCGCCGTTTAGGTTTGGAGTCGCCTGCTGCTTGTTTTCTTTGGCGGCGGGGCTGACAGAGCCCAGCCGAGCCAGTCTCCAGTCTTTTCCAAGCGGACATCCAAGAACAGAAAAAGCGGGGATTCGATGTCTCTGATCGGATTTCTCGATTTTGCACCGCAAACGAAACGAGAAACAGAAGAAAAGTACGATTCGTACGATAGACGAGACGGTCAAACAGCGCGACGTCGGGATCGGCAGCCACTATAATGGACAACAGTGAGCCGCAAAACAACCAAGGCAGAGGCGTGTTGGTAACGGACGATTTGAACAGTGCCGTTCCTCCACGCCAGTCTAATGACGTACGACGGCCATATTTGTTGAAGACTACAACATACATCAAATAGTGTACGGCGTAAGACATACGAAAGCGGCTGCTGATCTTTGGTCGGGCGCTCGCACGGCCGACGATGGGATGACGACGTTTTCTGCGTTGCGGCACATAGAAGACACTGTGGGACTCCCCGCAGGATCGGTTTCTGCAGAGTCACTGGAATGGAACTCTGCCCAGCAAGAAAAGCACCCCATAAGAGCAAGAACAGGGCAAACAGAAGCGGCAAGTCCGCCGTCCGCGAATGCTCGGTGTGGAGAGTGTTGTGCGAGGAAGCCGGAAAGAACGAGGCGAGCAGGCAAGGTGTACGATTACAGAGAACAGAAACAAGCAAACATGTCTCCACTTTCCATCCGGCGCAGACGCAGCCAGTCCCTCAGGCCCTTTTGTGCCTTCCTTCGCAGCCTGCCCCCTGGGAATAATTCATCGAATGACAGCATGCCAAGACAAACAGCGGAGCATACCAACAATACTTTGGGCCCCACAAACTGGCTTGCTTTGGTATGAGTGCTTTTCTCGTATTGAGCTGATGTATTTCGTACAGAATACTGTTCTGAGAGCAATGAGACTACTGGGTATGCGAGTATGTTGTTCTCCTACGGGTTTGGAGACCATCTCCCCTATGGCAAACTCGTATTATTGTAAATGGCGGGAAGGACTGAATAGGGAAGCCTCGAGTCTTGGCGCTGCTGGTTGCCCACTTTCGGTCATGCTCAATTGGGTTGCGCCTCCCACATTTTGGCTCCTTTTCATCCCGTCATTTCCGTTCCTGCCTGCCATGCTTCCTACACCTGCCCACGTTTACTGGTCTTGCCAGCTCTTGCCCTCTATGACGATGGCTGAAATACACTGAACCCACCTCACTCCTTCGCTCCTTCCACGGCCAACCCGGGCCCGCCTTGCATTGTACAATGGCAACACTTCTCCTACAGCAAACAGCAAGAACTCACGTAGAGAGCCGATGCTAGCGGGCAGCTCCTGCCTCGTTCGTTCTGCGTAGTTATGCAAGCGGAGAGCGTACCATCGCACCTGCCCCGATGGTATCAGTTTCTCGTATCGTGTGCTGGGAGGGACCTTGTCCTCATGCCGGGCAACGACGACCAGGCTTCCCCATAATATCTCACCAACTTCCCGTATTCCACAGCTTTTTTATGTGGGCCTCGCAAGACGGTCCATGTAAGTGCCCAACCGACTATGGGATCGCGCTGTAGTGCGCCTCCACGTAATGCATGGTGTGTGCTTGTGCTTTGTGTACTTGTATACGAGAAATCGACAGCAGGAGCAGGCTGCAGGTGTCGCCGGTCGTGACCGCCACACGAGTACCCCGAACTCTTTGACGTTGACTAAGGCCAAGCAAGAACCAACTTCCCTAGCCGTGCTCGCCTTCCTTCCTTTTCTGTCTCATTCGTCCTTTTCGAATGTTTTGTTCTTTTTTCTATTTTCTTAATATCCATCTCGAATTCGAATTTCCAGAATTCCTTTTGCTTTTGTCGACTTTTGCGCCATTGTTTCTTTCCTACCCTGCAGGGCGTCTTTCTACTCCGCACTGCACCATCTGTCCGTCGCTAGACTGTCGGTCGCTTGAGTGGCTCTGGCTTACACGGCTTCATGGCGCCCTGAAGCTGCAAAACAAGCATCTCGACGACATTTTCTCATTCTTCTCATGACTACACCAAGTAATCCATTAAGCAGACCCCGGTTCGCTTCGACCAGCAGCAGGACGACGTGCACGAACTCATAGACAGTCGCGCACTCCGCTCGCGCCTTCATCATGGCGGCTCTTCGCGGAAGCCAAGGCCGTGGACGGCTACACCGGTCGCTCGACGCCTTGGCCACCTCGGCGCTGCTTCTTTTTTCCACAACGGCAGCCGCCTACAATCTCGATACGTCGTCGACAGGTATGTCCCAGCCTGCAAATGTGCCACCTATCATAGTAAATGGCATGCGAGAGTTATGCGCTTCGGGGTGGCACAGCATAGTGCTGACATTTGTAACAACCAGACTCGATCAAGAGCGTGGCCAACTCCATGGCCGAAGACATGCTCTCATTCTACGATGGCAATAAGCCTGGCGGCACGCCCGGCTTGCTTCCCCAACCATACTACTGGTGGGAAGCTGGCGCCATGTTGGGCTCGCTCATCGACTACTGGTACTACACCGGCGACACACGGTACAATGAGCTCATTACAGATGGCCTGCTCTTCCAGGTCGGCCCAAACAACGACTACATGCCGCCCAACCAGACCCTGACCGAGGGAAACGATGACCAGGGCTTCTGGGGCCTCTCCGTCATGACCGCCGCCGAGTACAAGTTCCCCGATCCGCCAAAGGGCAAGCCTGGCTGGCTGGCACTGGCCCAGGCCGTGTTCAATACCCAGGCCGCCCGCTGGGAGGACGCCGACTGTGCCGGCGGCCTGCGCTGGCAGATCTTCAACTGGAACAACGGCTATGACTACAAGAACTCCATCTCCCAGGCCTGCTTCTTCAACCTCGCCGCCCGCCTTCTTCTTTATACTGGCAACGCCACCTACGGCGAATGGGCCGTCAAGACCTACGACTGGATGAGGCATATCAAGTTCATGGATGAGCATTACAACATTTACGACGGCGCACACATTGAGTCCGGCTGCACCGACATCACGCCGTACCAGTGGAGCTACAATGTGGGAAACTTCCTCCTTGGCTCCGCCGCCATGTACAACTACAGCGCCCTTCAAAATGATTCGAGCAACGAGGCGCTGTGGAAGGAACGCGTCGACGGCTTGCTCAACGGTTCCGCCGTATTTTTTACGACCAACGACCGGAACATCATGACCGAAGTCGCCTGCGAGCCGGTCAACCTGTGCGATCTCGACCAGCAATCGTTCAAGGCCTACCTCAGCCGCTGGATGGCCGCCACGACCAAGTGGGCGCCCTGGACCTCGACAACCATCATGCCACTGCTCAATGCGTCCGCCATAGCAGCTGCGAAGCAGTGCACTGGCGGTGACAACGGCCAGATGTGCGGCCTGCGCTGGACCGACAATGGAAAATGGGACGGCTCCACGGGCGTGGGCCAGCAGATGGCCGCCATGGAGGTCACACTCGCGAACATGATTAACAGCGTGACCGACCCGGTGACCAACAGCACGGGCGGTACCTCCGTGGGCGACCCCAACGCCGGTGGCTCCGATATTGGACGCACGCAGCCGCAATCGACGCTGAAGCCCATCAACACGGGCGACCGTGTCGGCGCGGGCATCCTGACCGCGCTCGTCTTAGCCGGCATCGTTGCCGGCGTCATCTACATGTTGGTTGACGAAACTGTCGATGCGACTCCCAAGGAACGCCTCGGCGGCTTCGTCACAGCCGTCAACAAGAATGGCAAGCGTCTGGCAAAGCGCAACTTTGGCAGCGACCACGGCGATGGACTCGGCGGCGTCATGTCTGAAAAGGGCAAGCAGCCGCGCGTGCAATCGTTCCGCGTACTCGACCGCAGCAATGGCGACCGGAGTAGTGGTTCGGACATGGTCGGCGCCGAGGGTTTCTTTGCCGGACGCCAGCACAATGTGCAGCACACAGGCGAGGTGTCGCACAATCCGGTCACTGGTCCTGTGGATCCGGAAAAGGCCGTCGGTTTTGACAGCGGCGGTGCTCCTTCGAACACGCCGGCGCACCACAGCTTCTTTTCGCCCGCCTACTTCCGCAAGCACAACGCTGGCACGAGCGAAAACAATGCCGGAAACAACGTCGCGCGCCAGGCTCGCCTGTCTCAGCCGGGACGGGCCACGCCGCTCCCGGGAGCAGGTGCTGCTGCACCGGTCGAGACCAATGCTGAGGCCACAGCCGTTCGATTCCAGCCCACCCGCAATAAGAAGCGCAACTACATCAAGCGGAAGCTGCTGCAATCCAATCAATGATGTCTCCTACTCACAGTCTCCACGCTTTTTTTTCCCCTCTCTCAAAATACATGCCCGCTTCCGCATATATGAAACCTGGGGGGGGGGGGGGGTCCTTGTGACGTACGGCCCCCGATGAGCTCATGAAAGGCTCGCGTACATATTTTTTTGACTTTGGCGCGAACGGGCTACTGTTAGCCTGTTTATTGCTTTGCCATTTCACGCCTTGCATTTTTGGATTGGGCCATTCGTTGTTTACGACCATGCTCTTTTTTATTTTTGATTGTTTTACTATACTGCCTTTGGTTTGCATACGGCGTCAAAACAAACGGGGTGGGAGGCTCAAAGGGAACATTTGTTTACATTACATCCACGTTTTTGTACTGGTCAGGGAAGGAAAGAGACTTTCCCATCGGCGTCAGGCATCGGTTTGGGATAGCAGTACGGCTTCATTACTGGGCATCGGAGACACACAACTCTGGGTAAGGCTTCGGCTTTTTGGCAACATTCATTTGGTAGTATAACTTTTGGAATACAATGTCGGTGGTCGTTTGATATTACGACCTATTTGTTCACGACTATCCTTAATTATAATTCCTCACTATTCAATACCTGCCTGGTTTGTATTTACGTGATGAGTTTTGGTTTTGGGTACGTTTTCTTCTCATGTAAAAGAAAAAGCACTGCCATATATTTTGATACATGATTGAATTATCTAACAATCAATATCAAAATTACGCCGCTGTAAAGGAGCCCATCTAACATTGACTGCGGTTGCACACAACTCAAATATTCCATGCACATCACACGGGGCGGTGACCTGGGCAGACCATGGCAAAACTGCATGACTTTGGAGGTCAAACAAATTCAAATCCAATACAAGAGAGTGACAGACAATTTTATTTATTATTTATTTTGCGTCCGTACATGCTACTGTTGCGAGTGCTCTTGCTGCGGCGGTTCCTTGTCTGTGTCCCACCGCACTGGCCGTCCCTTTTTGTTCTTCAGCGGGTGCTGTGGTTCGGACGAGGCCGACGCAGTACCTGCTACTGCGGGCGACGTGGCAGAGGCAGCCGTCGTCGCGGGTGGTGCAAACGGAACATTGGCCGTCACCTTCACCTCGCGCTCGGCACTCCGCAGCTGGTTGTGTGACGCGACGGCCGCCACCGCCTCCTCCTCGGCCGCCTGAACGGCGTGCCGCGTCTCGGCCGGCAGCTCGCTGTCGCTGTTGGCCTCGTTGGGGTTGTTCGTCGCCCACAGCCGCGCCACGCACAGCTCAAAGGGGCCCGGCACCCGGTCCGTCAGGCCCAGCCCCACCGACCGCACCTTTTGCCGCAGCAGCTCCGTCTGCGGCTCCACGACGAACCCGTGGTTCGTCCGCACAAAGTCGGACCACGGCACCACCACGGTCTCCCACTGGCCCGGACGACGCGCAAACAGGCGGTGCTGGTGCAGGTCGGTGGGCGCGACCATGGAGTCGGTCTGGACGTTGACGAGGTAGCTGCGGCCATCGGAGCGCACGCGCAGGGCCAGGTACGCGTAGGAATCGACGTCCCAGAGGGAGCGGCCAAACACGGTGGCCTGGCGGTCGGCGGTGCGCCAGGCGGCGTAGCCGGTGCGCTGGATGTCTGGGCGGCCGGCGGGCAGACGTGTGGATATGGAGCCGCGGAAGCGGAGGTAGCCGCCGGACGATGGTGTGGAGGTGGACGAGGGATGTGATGGAGACGAGGAGGATGCGGAGGTGGTTGCTTGTGGTGGTAGTGATGATGGCACCCAGTCGAGTTCTGCTGTGGAGAAGCCGCCAATCTCGTCGTCGGTCATGAGCTTGCAGTCGTCGAGGGAGGCCGGGTCGCTAAAGGCCATGAGCTCGTACGGGCCAGAGGGGCCCTTGACGCCCTCGAGGCGGATGGCTGCGAGGTGATGGGTTAGTTCCTCCACTCTGGTGGCAAGCGTTTCTGGACGCACACGGGCGCGCTCAACCTACCAATGTTGGACAGACGTTTGAGCTCGTCGTAGCTCCGACCCCAGAAGCCCTTTGAAGGGCGTATTAATGTTGCGCGCATGGTGGACTGTGCTTTGTAGAGAAATAGAAAATCGAAGAGGGACCACCGAGGTTCTAGGTCCGGGCAGTCCGGACGGGAGGCAATGTCGTCGGTCCGGATGTGGTTCGCTGTACGCTAACTGGATCGCGAGGTATGTCGACGTGGTATATCGTGTTCGACGTTGGGCCAGATTCGTCGTAAGTAGAGTCTGTAGCTTTTATGAAGTAGTGTGTGTCTGGCGTTGATTTGGATGAGGTTCAAGCAAATCGCGGGCAAGACAGACGCCCCGGTTTAAGCATATAAAACCGACTGCCGGAAAGGCGTCTCTTTGCAGAAAATCCCTGTAAAATGGCAGAGAAAAATGACCTTTATTAAATTCAGGTTAAATATAGCATCTAAATCCAGTACTCTCAAGGTTCAATTCCAATGACAGACGTCAGTTTGAAACATCTCGTTCAACCACTTCTTGTAATATGCAGATATCCGTAAGAAGGTTTACAGTGTCAAAACACGCTAGACCTATCCGGGACAGCTGCAAAACTTTTGATGTGCAAGTCGTCGCGAGAAGTTCACAACATGCCATGCTTGCATTTTGCTTCCACTGTTTTCTTCTCTATAGTCTCACAATTCACATCAACTTGCAGAAAAGGCCGATTGCGGTCTTGGGCAGTTGTGGTACTCTCCCCTTATGGTGGCCAGACGGCCGCATCTGAGCGGCATTGTGTGCCTTCAGTGCGAGTTCCGTCGGTTCCATTCGACAACGCAACGACGTCTTCCACGTTTTGTTGCGCCGACGGTCTTCGTCCATGTCCAGAGACCGGCGGCAACGTGGAACCGACGTCCTGAAGTACCGGCAAACCATCTTCCGCGAAATGCGCCGGCCTACTTCCACAGCGGGCGCGAATTGTACCAAAGCCAACTGCACTCCAACGCCGACATTCCCCTAACGAACGGCGATCTTGCCGACGAGCCACTCGACGAGCCACTCGACGAGAAGATCACAGACGCTGATGCGGAGCAGATATGGAACTCTCTGCTTGGGGAAGAGGGCGAGCCGACCGAGGCGGAGGTGTTCAGCTACATTGATGAGCTGCGACCGGCCGACGAGACGATCCTTTCTGAGAGCGCCTTTAGCAAGAGCGCCCGCGAGCTGGCCGAGGGCTTCACCGTTGCCCAACTGCTGGCCTACATCCGAAAGTACCGCAAGCCGACCACGCAGCCGACCGTATATCCGTGGGAGGTGCGGCGGCGGCCGTGGGTGCCCGATGTCTCCGGCGACGAGGCGGTGGTCGATAGCAAGATCAAGGCGATCGGGCCCGGCTCGAGCCTCTTGCTCAAGGGCTACATCCAGGCATCCATGACCAACAAGGAGCGCGTGGTCGTGCAGCTGATGCGCGAGTGCTGGGGCGTGTCGAAGCGCGAGGTGATGGAGGCGGCTGGCCGGCTCGATGTGACTGTGCAGGAGCTCGAGTTTGCACTGCTGACAGCCGGTGCCCAGACGTGGCTGCGTGACATCTCGACGGCATACTCGACCATCACCACAACCACGGCCACGGCCAGCCGCAGCAGCAGCCGCTCGCACAGCCGCAGTCAAACGCGCCACCACCGGCATATAGAGCTCCTACCCGGCCGCCAAAAGCTGCGCATCTTTGCGCCTGCATCCACAGCCGACGCCATCCTCGCCGAGATCCACGGGATGCTGTGCCAGGCCACGACCAAGCGCTTCCCGCTGGCGGACGTGGCACGGCAGGATGCTGTCATCACGCCTGCCGTCCTGCGGGCGGTCGGAGCGCTCACAGGCAGTTGGGTGCGCCTCCTGCGTAACGAGCAAGCAGCCAAGGATGACAGCGGCAAACGTTCGTCCGAAGTGGTGGTCAGCTGGGTGGCCGCGGCCGACCGAAATACCGACCTCGAAGACACGGGTGACTTGGTGTACCGACTGCTGCTGCGTGCCTTTGGGCCGACGAGCCTGCCCGCGGCGCACGCTACGAGTGTGCTCGACTACACGCCGCTGAAACGATCCAAGGCCCGGTTCCTGGCCGAGACGGATGAGAGCAGCCGCGAGACGTGGCCGTGGGAGCAGCGCCGGGGCAAATGGGCGCGATTGATCGAGCCGGCGCCACTGGATGCGTCCACGGCCCGCCAACGCGCCGCCCAGGCGACAACGACACCGAGCGAGGAGGCTCTACCCATGGCCTTCACACGGCCGACAACCTCGGCCATTGACAATCAACCAAGCCCGATGTGGTACCAAGCCAGCCGGACATCGACCGTGGCTACGTTTGGCCGGGTCCTCCACGCACAGTCGATGCATCATGCAGGGTTGCTGTTTGGTGTGGAGGGCGCCACGTCTGATATGGCACCGCCGCTGCCCGACCTGGCGCGCATCCTCTCACCGACAGTGCCACCGCTGCTTGGCCTCAGCTCTCTGGCAGACAGGGGCCCGGCACCCGCTACGGTGGAGGACAAAGCTGCAGTGCCGCCTTCCTTGGCCACGACATCCACGACAATCACCTTGCGCTTCTTGCCCGACCCCAAGACGGCACTGGCCAGCCGAGCGCCGCTTCTGGAAGTATTCCTGGACGCGGTGCCAGGCCAGCGACCCGTCTTCTCCCAGCTGCACGTTGTGACGGCAACCAACACGAGCGACGTCTTGTTCCCTACGCAGCCCGTCGATGTGCGCATCACCCAGAAGCAGTTCTTCGCCTTGCCTGGGGCGGACATACTGCCCACGGCCGATGCGGAAAGCAACAATACGGGCCTGGGGCCGCTCGTCCGCTTCCTCGACAAGTCCCAGCTCCAGCTCGATGGCGGCCAGCCAGGTGCAGCCGTTCTCGCCACGCCTCTCCGTCTCGAGGGACTGCCGCTGCCGGCCGACGTACTCCTCTCTGCTGAAGTGGACAATACTGGCGGCGCGCAGCAGCACGGGCAGGTGGCTGTGGACTACGTGTTTGCTGGCCTGGAGGTGCGCCGGCGGGTTGCCACGGCGTTTGAGGGCTGGACGGCGGCTCTGACGAGCGTCGAAGCTGGGCGTGGCGATGGACGCTGGACTGAGCTCAACCTGGCGGCAATTCCAGCCAGCTCCGTCTCGGGCTTCCCGTCTGCCGGGGATGCGTCATACGATGCCAGCAAGGCGAGCTTCCGCCAGGCAGTCGGCCATATGGTGCATGGAGACCGCGTGCAGTGGTTGATGCGTCACCGGCAGGTTGTATGAGGAGGAGAAAGGGCGGCGATTTGATGACTGGGGTTTGCTCATTCACTGTCCTTTCCCGACAACAGTCACTGTATATGTATTAGCATGGCGCGGGGTGGTGTCACATTTTGTACGATAGATCACGGTAAAGCTGCATAGTACGATCTCATAGACGGGAGCACGTTCCCATGGCGTTTTGGCAGACATTATGAAGCACCAAAATCATAAGATAAGACACTCTTAATAAATGTATATTCTCACAACCTAGTTTGCCCTGTTGCATCGTAGTTTTCTGTTCGATGACCCAGCCTCGACCCAGTATGCTGTGTCACCGGAACCACCCAGATAAGCGATGGATGGCCTCATGCGTGCTTCCTCAAGCACATCTGCGACTGTTTGGCCTTTCTGTCCTGGAACAGAGCTCGAACAAACGGCAGAGTGACTCATGCCGGCGCCACCTCATGCCTTCTGAAAACGATAACATCCGCACGACGTATTATACTCCGCTCTCCTGTGTCGAATGTCATCCGCGGGGCACCTGCCTTCCTATACTGCTCCTTTGTCGGTCTTGCTTTGTCTGTTGTCCGTCTGTAGCTTGTTGTCTGGCCTTTCGGCCCAAAATCCACAGTTGGGTATACGATGCAAAACGGCCTAGCGCCATTTTGACATTCCAAAGCCCAACGACTGTAAGACAAGCTCCTGCCTGTATGTAGTAACTACCTCCCCTTTCCTTCTTGATTTGGCAAGGAGCGAACAAGCTTTGCATGCCGCATAGAGAAGGAACGCTCCTGCTCCCGTTTTCGTGCTGGCGAGCATCGCAGCTTCTGCATTTCCATATGGAACACGCCGCGCAAGCTACATACCGCGTACAGTACTTGTAGATCGAAACCCCGAAGAATTCTCTTGAGAGTATTTCGTAACGGCATGATTATTACGACTCACCGCCCGTGTCGACCTCTCTTTTGCCCCCCGAATTAGGATGTTGCACAGTCACGGGCCAGTTGCGCCGGCGCCTCAGCTTGCCGCCCGCGCTCCTTCCTTACTTGAGTAAGTGGCGATCTGGTTGGCCTGCGAAGCACGATATGCACGATAGGCAAGAACCGAACAACGAAGCTGCTGAAAGCGGCCAATGAACTGCAGGGCGGTCGCAAAGGAAGCAACGAAATAGAGGCAGAGTGGACAGGCTGGCAGGGAAAGAACTGGGGGGCAGAAAAGTTTTTTTCCCCCTGCCTCGCATTTCTTGCGATGGCAACCGCGACCTCATGCACCAAACCCCTCTGTTTGGGCTGGACTGGCTTCCAATCAAGGAAGGAGGGGCACCTTCCCTCCACTGAAGCGGCGAAAAAACGGGAAGGGAGACACAAAATTTTTCCTTCTTAGTGTCGTTTTATTTTCTGCCAGTGGGGCACAAAGCCCTGGCAACCAACCACACCCCGCTCTTGCCTTTTATTTTTTTTTTGTTTCGCTCCAAAACCAGCCCAAAAACTCTGCTCCGCCATTCACTTGCCCATTTTCTCCCCTCCCGTCTCATATAAACCCCTCCCACGCACTTGTTTCTTTTCAAACTTTTTCCCTTCCTTTCTCTCCTCGTCTGGCACACCTTGAATCGAGCATTCTGATCTGCTGTAAGTTTTATTGTCATCGCATCTAGTCGATTTCCATCGTCAACTTCGACTTTCCAATAATCCAACCGATCTATCGGAAACGGCATCTTGTCTTCGGCCTGACCATCGCTTCTGACATTCATCCCTATTCAGATTCTTCAAGAAATAAACACCAACAATCAAAACAAGCAACTAGCTTCAATCCGTCACCATGGGGTATGTTTTGGCTCTTCGCCCTCTGGTCAGCAAATCGTTTCCATCGCTCGCTGCCATCGTCGCCGTTGTCGCCATCGATATATCATCTGATGCCTGTCAAACGGCGGCGGTTGATTTCCATCAGCACTGGCAACGAGCGATACAATGACCATCGAGCTTTCATCTCAAAACACACCTGCTAACCACTGTCATGTCTACAGTAAGGAGGAGAAGACTCACATCAACGTCGTGGTCATCGGGTATGTGCCTCTACACCCCTTTTTGAGCCGACTGGCTCGCAACGGCTCAATAGCCGCAAGCTACGCCACAGACAAGTCTAACATATAACAGCCACGTCGACTCTGGCAAGTCGACCACCACCGGTCACTTGATCTACCAGTGCGGCGGTATCGACAAGCGTACCATTGAGAAGTTCGAGAAGGTTAGTTTTGACACCCGACGAGTCGATATTTGAAACGCGACTTTTCTGCCATTTTCGGCACTTCCCATCACATATCAGCACATCAGATTTCTTTGACGTTTCTCCTTATTCCCTGGCCTATCTCTATGTAATTTGTCTGTGTTGGGCAAAGAGAAAAAAGTTTTTTAGCGCTCTTTTCCCTTGTCCACCAGGCTGCGCAAAACATACACTTTCTCTTCGACTTGCCCCTCTTCCCTCTTATTCATTTTCCCCTCCAACACATAAAAGTGGGGTGGAGGGGCAAATGGTGTCTTCCACCTTGCATTTTTCTGCCACGTTGGCATGTCTACATTTTTTGGCGGTCAATGCTCTGGGCGCCAGTCATCACTGCGCATAGACCATCCCAGAAACCCTCTTCACTTCAACCCACTCCATCTGCCCCTGCTGCTTATCCCCGCCTAATGCACGTCACGTCTGCAAACCAACAGCCGCTAACAACCACAACAGGAGGCTGCTGAGCTCGGCAAGGGCTCTTTCAAGTATGCCTGGGTTCTGGACAAGCTCAAGGCCGAGCGTGAGCGCGGTATCACCATCGATATTGCTCTGTGGAAGTTCGAGACCCCCAAGTACTACGTCACCGTCATTGACGCCCCCGGTCATCGCGATTTCATCAAGAACATGATCACTGGTACCTCGCAGGCCGACTGCGCCATTCTCATCATTGCCGCTGGTACTGGTGAGTTCGAGGCTGGTATCTCCAAGGATGGCCAGACTCGTGAGCACGCTCTGCTCGCCTACACCCTGGGTGTGCGGCAGCTGATCGTCGCCATCAACAAGATGGACACGGCCAAGTGGGCTGAGGCTCGTTACCAGGAGATCATCAAGGAGACCTCCAACTTCATCAAGAAGGTCGGCTACAACCCCAAGACTGTTGCCTTCGTCCCCATCTCGGGCTTCCACGGCGACAACATGCTTGCTCCCTCGACCAACTGCCCCTGGTACAAGGGCTGGGAGAAGGAGGGCAAGAGCGGCAAGGTTACCGGCAAGACTCTGCTGGACGCCATTGACGCCGTCGAGCCCCCCAAGCGCCCCACGGACAAGCCCCTGCGTCTGCCCCTCCAGGATGTCTACAAGATCGGCGGTATCGGCACTGTCCCTGTCGGCCGTATCGAGACTGGTGTCCTGAAGCCCGGCATGGTTGTCACCTTTGCCCCGTCCAACGTCACCACTGAAGTCAAGTCCGTCGAGATGCACCACGAGCAGCTTGTTGAGGGTGTTCCCGGCGACAACGTCGGCTTCAACGTCAAGAACGTCTCCGTCAAGGAGATCCGTCGTGGCAACGTTGCCGGTGACTCCAAGAACGACCCCCCCTCGGGCGCCGCCACCTTCAACGCCCAGGTCATTGTCCTGAACCACCCCGGCCAGGTCGGCAACGGCTACGCCCCGGTTCTGGACTGCCACACCGCCCACATTGCCTGCAAGTTCACCGAGATCCTTGAGAAGATCGACCGCCGTACCGGCAAGTCGGTTGAGAACAACCCCAAGTTCATCAAGTCGGGTGACGCCGCCATTGTCAAGCTGACGCCCTCGAAGCCCATGTGCGTTGAGGCCTTCACTGACTACCCCCCTCTGGGCCGTTTCGCCGTCCGTGACATGCGCCAGACCGTTGCTGTCGGTGTCATCAAGTCGGTTGAGAAGGCCACTGCCGGTGCCGGCAAGGTCACCAAGTCGGCTGCCAAGGCCGCCAAGAAGTAAATTTCTTTGCCGAGCTGAACTGAAGAGGAGGGAGGAGTATGGGCCGCAGGCCAGTCTTGATGCTTTACTGCCCGTGCAGCTGCATTCGTCTTTTATACTAGGACTAGGTAGACAAAAAAATATCAAAATTGGGCATGTGTTTTTATGGTACTGCTTTCTTTGCTTGTGACGTATCGACTCTTAATGTTGAGTGCTCCGTTCTGATATTAAGATGTGCGTATGATATGTATGGATACAGTCCCTCGGTATGGCAATGTGCTGCTGTGCTCTAGGAGACCAAAGGATATGCTGTGATACCATGTGCTTGATGTACGGATGTCCCATACGTGACCAACTGGTTCACATGTTTTATCCTGCTTTACGAAAGTGCGCATCACTGGAGGACGTAGGTGAGGAATTGGATTGAATAACAGAGGCGTGATAATATGAGTGTTTTGATTAGTGCATCTTGCTTTCGAGATGTTCGGTCAGATGAGGGAGTCGAACCAGAATCTCGTTATGTACAAACTGCCTATCACTTCTTTTGAAAAACCACTTACGCAAGAACCACCCATATTTCCCTTTTGGACGAGATCGTTAGTATGGAGCATTTATTACCGAAGACAAGCAATGGTAAATGAATTTCAATCAAAAGTTTCGTATGAGATAAACGTTTCTAGATCGATGGCGCTTATCCAGGGAAGGTACACGATCGGACCACGGTAGCATCCTATGATTCTGCATGTGGCTCTGTATTATTCCTTCAAACTTACCAGCAGTCTTATGTGCCTGGAATTTTGAGGCCCCAAGCCGAGCCGATTACGTTTCCATGTCCTTTTCCAGATGGCTTTTTGAGATGGCGAGAGAGACCTCAGAAACCGGAGACGAATCGACCCTTCCCACTGACCCGACAACCAAGACACACATATGGCAGTTGGAGGTCTACATAGTCAGCTTCTAGCTGCCGCCACATGTCTTAATCGTCATGTGTTGTACGACCACGATTGTGGCCTTGTAGGGCTGTGGGCCTTACATCAAGTAATTGTAATTGCTCTACTTTGTGCATGCACGCTCCGTTGTTGTTAATGATATACTCTGCGGTCTGCAGTCTGTGGTCTAAGGCGGTCTGCTTCCATCTCTGTCTGGCAGTGTGGAAAGCTTTTGCGCCGACCCCTGGAAGGACAACTGGACAGACATAATGTGGACTCCGTTCAAATCTCGAACCGAGTTCAATTCACCGTTATGGGATAGTTGTTTTTAGAGGAGCTCTTTTGGAGTCTAGGAACACCGACCACAGATGCCTTGGCATGGCATCCATGCCGCAGCCGCCCTCCTCCACCCGACTACGACTACGACTACGAGTACGAATATGAGAGGGGCGGGGACGGATGTTTCACGTGGAGGCCAATTCGTCTGTCCATATATTTTTCGACATCGTCGACGGACTCACTTACGTACAAGAGTCCGGGCGAGTGCCCGAGGACCAAGTTACCAAGTCCGTATTGATGAAGGGGAAGGGGGGGCGCATTTTTGCGTTGCGTATGCTTTCTATGCCCGGTGTGTTATTTTTATATACATCGTTTTCCCTTTTGAACTACGGAGTGGACACGACGAGGCTGTACGGCGTTATACACCCATACTCCTTCCATGTACTCTATAACCTGTTCAATGAGAAAAAAAAAGAGAAAAGAAGAAGAAATACTGCTGCATCGTACGCGCTCAGCCTCCAATGTTCCGTTAAAATAATCTATTCTGAGTTTCGGTCGTGGGCGTGTTGTGGTCAGTTGAATGTCGTTGCACGGAGTTTTCCTGCTGCCGTCAGTACTTCACTGGTGCCTCTCCCCGGGAACGGGAAACTCGATGAACCCGAAAGGTTGGGTCAGGGGGGCCAAGAGTGAGGGGGCGTGTGAAATGTGAACGTAGCAAAGGCCAAAACGGTGGGTATTCGAGCATGCCCAGGTTCGACGATTAGCTTCCAGACATACGAAATACGTTGCAGGATATATTCCCGTTACATCCTTTTCGACGTCTTGTGATACCGTAAGATACAAGGGGTTTTTGCTTCGTAGGCCAAGCTGTTGGGTAATAATATCGATCAGAGAGGGCAAATTTCGCCGATGCGCATGCTGTACGGCTATACGGCGCATTGAGCGTATTTGACGGTTGAATGCGTCGTAAGCCAGGTAAAGCCCTACCTAGCGTTCTAGCTGACGGGTGTTAGAGCGCCCGAATCCCTTTCGGATGTTACGACGGGGTTTACAGCACGAATCTTCTGAACTGAAAACGGAACCAAAACCAGCACAACGTTAACAACGGACGGAATTCGCACCCGGAGACCTTATTTTTTGTCCCTGTCAACACTGCTCTCGGTCTCGCTCCCGCTCTTGTAATTAGTTTTCATGCTTTATGTATTTTGTGGGCAATGCGACAGCCAAACCCTCGTCTTTTTTTTTTTTTTTTTTTTTTTTTTTTTTTTTTTTTTTCTATTTTTTTAGGGGAGCGTTTGAATACTCTCACTGCTCATTTGTCGATCATTACAAGTCATTGCCCTTTTTCGATATTTGTCAACGGGATTGAATTTGTGGCGCTCAGTGCCCCATTCATCTCGCAACCCCTAATTCGTGCTCCTTTGTTTACAAAGCAGAGAGAAACCCGAGGCACAGTAGCGGAGTCCGTCGCAAACGGCAGCGATTTAGTCCGCTTCCGGCCGGCGGGCCAATCGCCGGCGGAGAGATTGGCGGACAGATTCACCAGAACAGGGGAGGGAAGCGGGAAAGGGCTGTGTTTCTCAAGCCGTCTTGTGTTGGCAGATGGCAGAGAGGATCGAAGTGCAAAATGCCCTCTGAAGAGCCTAACAAGGCTAAGCTTAGGAAATGGAAAAGAGGATCCTCTGTGGCATGTATGAGCAGAAACGAGGCGTGTAGAAGGAACTTTTGGAACCTTTTTTCTACTTCTGACTGGCGAAACGATATCGTCAGGAACGTGCAACAGGGAAGAAGACAGGCAGATGAAAATGTCCGCGCCCGTACGACATACCCCGTCCGCTGTGCATTGGAATACGGAGAGGGACTTGACGATGGGAGACAAACCGCACGGTCATCAACGGCATTTCGTCCGAAGAAATCTCCAAACTGGGAGCACATCCCGTGTGAGAAGTGAGAATTTGGACCGAAAACGGTAGCTTTCTGCGAGTGTGCGCACGCGCGAGGCCAAATCAGACAAGGGTTCAGGGGTTCACCCCGTTGAGCCACCCACTTTTTTCTCGGTTCCTTAAGACAGGATTTGCGGAGTACGGCGTAGTAACAAATCAGTCATCCAGCTTCATGGGCCAATGCGAAAATCAGCCACGAATGCTAGGGTGGGAGAGCGAGCTGTGGTAAGAAAGCGTAAAAGTAAACCGTGCAAGAAGTAACACATTGCTTTTATGGTTGCGAGTTTGTATGTTAATAAGGAGTATGCCAGGGTTGACCGTTGCAGACTGTCGACTGTTGCCAAACCTAGAATCACAGAACAGGATGTCAACAGCACGCTGGTCATCCAATATGGCATGCTCTCTCTGCCAAGGCTGGCAATGCAGGGCTGTAAGATGGAAATGTGTCCTGCCAGCCCTTGTACGCCGTTGAACTTGCGTCGGAATTACAGTTAGACTATAACGGACAAAAGGTCACCGGTCAGAAGCGAGGGCTAGCTGACTGTACGGCGCTGTCAGACAGTGCACCATGATGACTTGGGTGTGCAGGGCCTTTGTGCGTACGGAGTACGAAATACAGAATACGGAGCATCAGAATGCACCATGCACGGGATATCTTACGTGGGCGAAAATGTCGGTGGAAATATCGAGGACCAGCCAGCGCAAGCAAAGCCCATGTGGGATCGGCACAACATTCCAGCGTTGATGACAAGTGCACAAGGGCACATGAATAGTGAGACTGATGAAAATCCCACAACAAATTGAGAACAAAAATACCCCGTGCGCAAGCCGTAAGGATCAGATCATACCGAAAACTAGCACTTTGCGGACTCGGATCAGCCAACCGTAAGCCAGAAAGACGGTGGGAGGAAAGGAACAAGGTCCCAGCGCGTGCAGAAGGGATTATGCCAGAACAGGGCGAATGCCGCGCGCACTCAGTTTCCGCGCGAGCGCACGCGGAGTATGGAATTAAAGGTCGATCAGAGGCTGATGGAAATGGACGTCCAAAAAGTGTGCTGCAAAAGCCGGCGAACGGACGGGCTTAACTCCGTGGGCCGGACGGACGAAACGTGTTTTGTAAGTTCCCCCGCGACAGAGGAGGGAGTTTGGACGGGAAATGGCATCGACGAGACAAGGATTTAGGAGGAAAGGAGAACAATGACGAGGCATAAGGCGACGCACGATGATCCTGGATCTTGGAGACGAGGGACATAACAGGTGACGCCGTTGCAACTTTTGTATCCTGAAGTGCAGGTGTGGCCGCCCTGCACTGCCCCGTGAGTTTTGTTATCTTACACAGGCCAGTCCAAACAAACGTCGACCTTGTAGAAAACGGAGAGGGGTGTAAAACGGAATTGTGCCGTGCAACATAATCAGATCGTACATCGTACCTACGAATCGTCACGACTTTGTGTCGTACTTGGTTGAAACCTCCCCTGAAGGAATGAAAAAGGGGACAGGAGAAAAACGGCAAAAGCTTCGATGGGCTTCTTCCAAATAACTGTGCCTGGATTCCAAAGCACGAGCAGAAGCGACCCACGAAACCAGTTGTGGCGACAGAGCTTTGGGCTTCTCTGATTTCAAATGCGGGACTGAATTCTTCCTCGAGAAAAAAAGAAAGAAAAACAGAAAAGGCCAGGCTTTGCCATATTCCCCACAGGCCCCCCAGCCCACGAGAGCATAACGATAATGCTCATCTCACGGCCCAGCCTTATGCTTTTGTGCTCATTTTTCACTCTGTCGTCCGCCGGCGGACGGGCGTTTGAGTAAAATTCCGGGATGACTGTCTTTTTCCACCTCGCGCGCGCTGAGCTGTAAGACGCCGTAAGAATGTCAGACAAGCCGAGAGAAGGGAGCATCCGTTTCGGGCTGTGAAAACGGAGGATCTGTCGGGCAGACAAAACGGTCAGATTCGTGTGTTCTCAATGTACAGAATACGTCGCTGATGGTCAGATCCCTGCCAGGGCGGAGTTAGTGCTGTGTTAGTGCTATTTAATACGTTGCTCTTATTTTCTTGTGAACCTTTTATACGGTTTCCGCTGACAGGATCACCTCATGAAGTTTAGAGTATTTGTGTTTTCTACACGTCGTACATCATAGTTGCGCCTTATTGTTCTCATGCACGCCCCGTATATTGTCCATTGGGGCCACAGCCAAACGAGCCCCAAAGCATTCACATGGCTGAGCACAGGGAGGAAACAAAATGCGTCCATCGACCAGTCAGCCATTTTAGTGAGATGTGGACTTTTATGAGGTCATGGCTGGATGCTGCTTTGCAGTTGGTGCAAAGCCTTGTCAGACTAGAGACAAAACGAGAAAAGAACAGAAACCGAAAGTACGGCATACGACGTTAATGCGTCCTACGCCGTGACGTGGTAAGAGATGGCACAAAGGCTAAGAAGACCCGAGGGGACAGAAACAAAGCAACGGTTTTCCGTAGCAATTTCTGAACGTCGTAAGATGCCATCGTTGTTTGTTATCTGCCCGTTTCCTCCGCCCGTCCTGAGCTGCTTCTGAATGCAAGCGGCGAAAGTGACCACCAAACAACAGCCCAGACTTGTTCTCCTCTTCCCCAAGACTCTGGTGCTTGGTGCCAAGCAGAAAAGAAGCCGCCGAGGCGAACAAGAACGAAAAGCAGGGGGACAATCTGCGAACACGCAGGACTGCCCAGACCCAAGGCCAATGGTCGTACCGCGAGTACCTGTTTTGGGGAGGAGGGGGGGCCCTGTGCATCTGGAACATCATCTTCCTTACCTCTACGACATACTAGTCTCTCCCCTCCCATGCTTCTCCTTTGTGCTCTTGAATTCCCGTCTGCCTAGACAGCCAAGCGTCACTTTGTTTTTTTTGTCTATTCTCCCATCGCCCTTTCCTTAGTGTGCCCAGTCTGTCTCGGTTTCTCTTGACAGGCGTATTTCGTATTTCTCCTCATTGTCCATTTGTCTTGGGGGCCACTTGAGCAGCTCTTCATGGTGGGGAAGGCTGCTGAGCCTTGGGGCGTCACCATGCGTATTTGGCTCCCCAGTCTTCGTCTCCGTAACATCTCACGTAGTCATCAACACTTTCAGCGGTCAGAAGTTTGAGGTGTGATATACTGGAGGATGTGCTTTCACCGTGCGCCTTGCTCCGTAATACGCTGCAACGTGGGCTGGCCCAATGCTGGTAAGGCCACCACCAAACTCTGGGGCACCAGCGAAACGGAAGAGCACAGCCTCGCTTACCAGTCTTGGAAAACGAAAGCGACACATTTCGGAGAGAGGCAAGAGTATTCTGTGGTGCCCGACGAAGAGAGCAAGTTTATTTGGCAATAGAGTCTCAATGCGTTGTTATTTTGTACATTGTTGAACGGGGACGGGAAGAAAGATACGACGTCGGCCAATTAGAACTTTCCGAACCCCTGAAGGGTCCCTTGTCTTCGCCATCCTCTTCTCGAATCCCAATACCGCTCGTTTTGGTCCAGGAAATACGACTTGAATGCATCAAAAAACACCTCTATTCGAAAAGGAAAAAGGACAGCCCGCCCCCAAAACACCTAAAAGAAAAGAAGGGGAAAGTAAAACATGTGACACCTCCACCCAATGCAATGCGGACATAAAACAAGATAAAAATAACGCCTCTTAGCATGAAAAGGAAAGCATTGAACCCCTCCCCCCCTTCACAAAAAGCCAAAATAAGCAGGCCTTCCATATATATTGTATCGTTCGTAGAGGGGACAAACGCCGAGCAGGCAGCAAAATAGGCAAAGGGCGGGGAGGAGAGAACGACGAGAGACTGCGCCGTCTGCATTGCGGCCAGCCTCGTGCGGGCGTTCAACCCGCCAATTGGCGAGGAAGCCCAAGTGAGCCCGTCTCCAAAAATATTCAACCAGATAACTACATCATGTTGTCGTCGTAGTCGCCCGCGTAAATCATGGGGTCGCCCATACCGAGCATCAGCTCCGGCGTGTCAATAACATGCGGCTTCATAGCGCCAAAATTGGACTCGAGCAGGCCCTGCCGCAGCATCTCCGACGTGTAAAAAGGCGTCGTTCCGCTAATCATGGGCATCGAAGACGTCGCCATTGTCGTCGGGATGGAGAGGGCGAGAGGCGTATGCTTATAGGTATGCTGCTGCTGCTGCTGCTGCTGCTGCTGCTGTTGTTGTTGCTGCTGCTGCCGGAGCTGCTGTTGCTGTTGGAGGAGCTGCTTCTGCTGCTGCAGCTGCTGCTTCTGCAGTCGCCGCTGTTGTTGTTGCTGCTGTTGCAATTGTTGCAGCTGCAGCAACTGCTGGGACTGCTGAGCTGCCGCAGCCTGGTTTGGCGTATCAATGGGCGCTGTTTGCGTCATCCAGTTGGTGTACTGGGTCGTCGTCGGCATGGTGGGCGAGGGGGCGGCAAAACCGTCGGACTGGTTCGAGCCAACGTCAAAGTCGTTGAAGCTGAGGCTCCGGGGCGACATGGTCGTGCTGGCGCTGTTCACGCTGCTGCCGTTGCCGTTTCCGTTTCCGTTTCCGCTGCCAAAGACGTTCTTGCGGTAGTCGTCCATGTCGGAGAAGGCGTCAAAGTCTTCGGAAGAGCTTGCACGGTCAAAGCGGGCGCCGAGGCTAAAGTCGAGGGCGCTCGTGCTGGCTGCAGCGGTGTTGTTGTTGCTCGCAAGAATGCCCGTGGTCGTCGGCGTCGACGTCGACATGGTGGGAATCGGGATGGCCGTCGCGGCCGTTGTCGTCGTCTCGCTCTGTTGGCTCTCGGCCTGAGCAGCGGCAGCTGTCGCGGCCTGCTCAGCCTCGCGCTTCTTCTGGTGGTCGTCGAGCTGCGAGGCGAGTTCGGCAAGGTCCTGCTCGTTTTCGGGGAAGACGGACGAACCCATGGGCAGGTCGGGGTCGTTGTTCGGGCGGATGCAGCCCAGCTTCGAGGCGATGCTGTGGATGACGGGCTGGCCGCGTTCGTTGAGCTCCGGCTCGCCAAGCTCCCATGCGTTCGCCGCACGAACCATGGCGTACAGCTTGTGCACCGTTGCGACTAGTGCGAATTGCGTGTTCTCCAAGACCTCTGCGTATCTATTGGGGTTCAGGGAGAGTTAGTCAGCTGTCGATGGTGTGTCGATGGTGTGTCGATGATGTATTCGATTGAACGTCGGACAATGGAACATGGAATAAAGGAAACCATATATGAAATTTCATTGAATCTGAACATTAAGAGACTTGTACATACCCTTTCGGCAATTGCTTATATTCGGTTTTCTTGCGCGTGCCTGCTGTGCAGACAAGGCCGTCGTCTTTGCAACGCTTACACGGGAATTCACCATCGCACTGTAAAGGATTAGCCTGCTGTGGTTGCTATTACAAACCTATAAAACTGCAACAAATAAAAATGCAGCTCATATAGCCCGTACCTTGGTCTTCTTCATGCGACACCGCTCACACGCCTTCCATACACGCTTGTGGCGGCCATCGCCGTCGTGATGCGGCGAGCCATGGGAGTGGGCGGCCGCAGCAGCAGCAGCTGCTGCAGAGACATTGCTACTGGACTGGTGAGAAGAGGAGGAGGCAGAGTGGTGCGAATGCGAATGGGATGACGACGTCGGCGTCGTACCCGACCGCTTGGAAGCACGGTGGCTGTTGTGGTGATGCTGGTGCGTTGTCGTGCCGTGGGCATGGCTGGCCGTGGCATTGCTGCCGCTGCCGTTGCCGCTCTTGGCTGCCCGTGATGACGGGACGGTCGACGGTGGTGATGCGGAATTTGAGCTTTTGCGTGAGACAGGGCGTGGCTGTTGCTGCTGCTGCTGCTTCTGCTGCTGAGTTTGCAGCAGCTTCTGACTCTGCTCGTCATACGGCGGCGTTGGTATTCCGTTCTGCATGGTGCCGGTATTGTGTTGTGGCGAGTTTGTTGTGAATTCAACAACAGCTCATAAAACAGATAAGCGGCTTTTATGTTGTGGGTTTGAGATATGAAGTATGGAATATGGTAGAAGATATATCAACGTAAACTACAACGTCGAGACAGACGGGGCTGGCAGACGGTGTCGACAATGAACCACATGGGAAGTTGGGACGTGAGAGGCGGGCGAGACGAGGCGTGGCAAGTATTTATTGGGGGCCGATATATCAAATAGTGTTGCGGTGTTGTAGGACGTGATGCAAACCCGTGTCAAGAGAGAAACAAGAGACGTGAGACTTTGTAAAAAGTAGAAGACGGAAAAGAGACCAGAAGAAGAGTGGGAGGGGGCGAAGAGGAGCAAGAGAGGGAAGGTGCGAAGGGAGTGGGAAAAGGAAGCAATATAAAGAAATCAGCAAGAACAAGAGCAACAAGCAAACAAAGACCAGGAAAGTGCGAAGGGGACGCTCCTCGCAGATTCGTGGGTGCAAGGCCTACAGCCTAAGCAGTGAAAAAAGGTACGAGGGCGCTACAGAGCAGACTCTACAGGCCACCTCCTTCCCTATGTGCTACCAGCGTCCCTTACAACGGGCAGGAGCGCATGAAACGGTCGCCGAAGGGAAATACGGAGAACAGGAGATCCAGCAAAAGCGACCCCCCCTTCCAAAAAGGGCGTTGTGCTGGATCGCCCTGTACGCCCTGTTGCAACTTACACGCCCCCCTCTTCCCTCGAAGCGCCCCACTAGCACAAAACAGCGGGGACCTACCGTCAAGAATGAAAATAAAGACGGCAAAACGGCGACTAATAAAGGAAAGCGCGAAAGCGCGAAAGAAAATAAAAGTGCACACAAAAAAAGAAAAAGACGAGAGAATGGGAGAGAAGAATCATTAGCAAGACACAATCAATCATACTCTGCACAGACCTGGAGTGAAAAGCACAATCACCCACCAAACGGCCGTATAATTACTGACGACGGAAGATATAATGGCCACGCGGGCATTATTAATTCACAACAGTTCTCTGCCGTATAAGCATGATGCTTTTTCACGGCCCTGTTTCTTTTCGTTTTGTTCCACCTCCGCGAGCTATGTTGTACTACGAAGTTGTTCATTGACCCTAGGAAAATTTATGCGAGGCCATGAGAAATTCAAACGTACTTGTTGCCATTGGATGTTTGTAGCTTACATGGATAGGTTGAGATGTGTAAACGACGTAAGGACATTGCGTTATCTTTTGAGTTGCAGAGTAAGGGCCAGTGACTGTGGATAGGGGCGCCGCCTTTGTCCATTGTCGTCCAGATTATGTGATACAGTTGCATTTCCTCGGCCGTGTCTTTGTGTAAGCTGCGCACTTCGTGATCAAAACATGCTCTCTCTGACAGGCTGGATTTATGACTGACTCCCTGCTTTCAAAGCTTGCAAACTTGCATGACGTGAACCTTACAATTCAGAACAAGCGGCGGTCAGTTCATACACGCATACGAACGGCACATGCATCACGACAAAAGGGCAATCCTTTACTTTTTTTGTCCGTTTTACGCGCCATGGCCAAGACATCACGTTCACGACCGGTGTGGGCCTATTGAATCTCACTTTACAATAGGCAAAGCATCTGAGCATGTAAAAAAGAAGCATTAAACACCGTCAGAAAACCATCAAATAGCTTCCCTGTTCTGTCCAGCTGACACAATCCATGGTTCAAAGATGGGAACATCTAAACTCCATGCAGCTGTTGAAGCCAAGGTCCAAAAAGAACGCATAGGGAGTAAAGAGACATCCGTACGAAAAGAAAACAAGAGGCCCGCAGGAACGGGATTTTCAATCCTGTCCGGACGGAGCAACGTTAACGGTCGGTGTGAGTTTTATGTCCGAAGCGCGAGTTGGGGAAATCTGTGCATAAAAAATTGTGCAACGAGGCACGGGCCCATGCACCGTCTTTGCTTGGAGGTAGATGACAGCAGACAACATACAAAACTACCACGATTACGAAAAACAAGATGTGTCTATGAGAACAAAACTATCGGGTGACGGTAGATCAAAAAGACGATAAACCAGAAACCAGTCCGTGATCGCCTTGTGTATCGAAATGAAGCGCGCTCGGAGAACATTGAGCGACCGCCAGCCAAATAGACGGGAGGCGCAGATTTTAGCAATAGTCCACAGGATGACTGATTCCACGTTCCTTCGTCTCGAACCCTTTACACAATACACCAGGATTGCCTAATTCTCACGTCTGCTCTGCCTAAGCATTGGGTTGTATTCCAAGTGCAACGCGCAAAGTCCGGCTTGCTTTTGCATAACCGGTTCAACCAAGGTAGGTCAGGAACGTGTCCCGTCTTTGCCACACATGCCTGCTGCAACATGAGTTGGGACAACCGACGGTTGTCTGGTAAAAATTGAGAATAATGATGAAGTAATCAAGGACTAAACGTTATGTCTCACAAGAGCGTGTTAATGTTGTGTTTTCGTGTTGTGGCACATGTGCTAACATAGAACCTTTCTTAGTTTATCTTTCTTTTGTTTCCCCGTCCCTTGGCGCCTGGTTTGTTTCGATTTCAAATCGGTCTGTCACGGTGGACAAGAGGCAGTCTCGAGATTCCTTTTCTGCTTTCATGCTGTGCACACACATTCAGATGACCATCAACGTTCAAGTCACGGTTTGATTAGGCGCTCCGTGACGGCTGGGTTTTTACGCAAAAAAATATGGAGATCGAACCCAGTCTGAATGATGACAATGGCAAGTGACGTCGGACCTAGCTTTCTTACCAACTGTTTCTAATCAAACAAACGGTCAGAAAAAAAGGTATTCCAGTGGAGGATTCATTCTTACGCTCGTCCGGCGTGAGCACGAAAAGTCTCCGAGTCCAGTGGACTTTGGCGAGTTGCACGCCCAATCCAGAACATACGGCTGGCTTTAGATAGTGTCCTGGGTGGCCTTTGGCCCCGTTGGAAAACGGACCTTGTCCTGCCTAACAATCAGCTCGAAATACAGGCCAATCCCCACCACGTACGATATTTCTTTCATGTCTTTCTTTATTCCCACCGCGGTCGAGTCGCTCAAGTGCGGGACGGCACCCGTTCCGTGCATATCACCGCATTTTGTCCGCCTTGCCAATTCACGAATCTCATCTGAATACTTTTCTTCGTGTATTTTCACTGTCCAGTTTCAGGTTGCTGGCCGCACGCCATGGTTTGGGGATTTTGTCACTCTCCATTCTCTCAAACCCTTATTCACTTGTTGTCCTTCCCTCTTCTCCTTTTCTTTCCTGCAAGATATGTAGCGTAGTGGAGGCTGGAACCAAAGAAACCGTTCAGAAGCCGATGCAACAGTCATAGTCATACAAAGAGCCACAGAGGCACCCTAGCGAGTAATTACATCGCACTAGGATCGGCGACCGGCACTGGCAAAGTCGCATTAGCCACAAGGCGCGACATAAGGTTGGATGAACCCAGATGACAAACAATCGTATTTGACGCGAGTTAAGACAAATTACATTAAAACTCCTCCGTTTCGCACAGCAGCCTCCCTCGTTGTTCGCCCTTTGATCGCACTGGACCTTTTTCCTTTTTGTTTCTGCCCATATCTGTTAAGTCCTATCACCTGATGGCGCCAGCAAGCAATAGCCGGCAATAAACCTTCCAGCGTCTTACCCATTACAGTATTCCGTACGGAGTACAATGAGAGGATGTTACTACGTGCACAGATATAGGATGGGGCGTGTATGATTTTTAATCGCAACGGAGCACACCCCGTTGACGGTTGGGGTGGTCGACATCGACAAGTAATCACCCTCCGTCGTTTTCAACTGCCACATGGTCCAATCGCGTCGAAGACAGGAGTGAGGCTCCGACTCAAATGCCGTGAATTAGAGCTACACTACGAAAAAGAAAAGGAAGAGCAGCTATGGCGAGCTGGTCCACGAGGACACTTTTTGTTCTCTGAGATGGTGTCCATCCCTACCCCAACGTTGTGAATTGGCGAAAACAATCAGGAACCAGACTTTTAGGGTAACAATCTCTTGGGATTTGGAGAATGGACAAGGCCATTTGCACCGCCGAAAAAACGGTGGATGGCACCCACGAAATAAAGAGCCAACAGAAAATACAACCAACACCAACAACACCAACAACGTCAAAAACGCCAACAACGCCAAGACCGTTGCCCCAGTTTGCCTAGCCCTTGACCGTTTCTGCGCCACGCCCCAGAGGGTATTACACATACGTCTGCAGAGGGCGGGATTCAGGTACAGCATTACATAACTCTTTACGCGCTTGGGTCGACCTTTCGACCCTTTTCCGCAGACACATTCATGGGACGGAGTCGTGAAGTCGTCCCGTCTCCCTCTTGGTGATTTTACATTTCCTCGGGCACTTTTCGGAAGATTCTCGCAATCTCTATATGTTTGTTTTCAGCGGAAAATCCAATCCAACAAGACGGCCACTCTCAAATCCTGAACAACGAACGCAAGAAACGTAAGAAGACAGAAAAAGGACCGTGGCCAGTCTGACAGGTGACATACGACATACAGCAGGCAAATGTTCCGTCAATCCATCTAGCCAGGGTGCATGTCTTTTTTGGGGGAGGTTCCGTCTTTGTCTTTCACCTCACCTGGCCATATTAGTTCCTCCGTATATACCTCAGACGTCGTATGACGTACGAACGTCCATCATATGAGCCTGGATTGAAACTGAGATATACATGATGCCGTTTTAGCAATCAAGACAGGAAGATACGTCACTGTCAACTGAGCCTGGCCAAGCCACGGCTCTGCAGATTTTGAATATTCCAGAAGCCCGACCCCGAGGTTTTGTTCGATTCACGCCTCATGCGACTGGGATGTTCGTTTTCGGCAGCCTGCACCCCGTGGTTTTGTACAACATACTACATACCACGTACTGTTGTGTCTGTTCCGTCTTACCTTTTCCCCTCGTTTTATATTCCCCTGTTTTTATTTTCATAATTGGTTTTACTTTCATAACTGG